GGCCCAGCCGTGGACGGGTGTTCTTCTTTAGTACCGCCGGCGGGTTCATCGCGCGGGCGAGCGACTTCAAGCCGGGCTTGGCCGCCCGGCGCTTCGTCGTGCAGCCCGGCTGCACGACAGCATGCAAGTTTTTCCGGTGCGGGACGTTTGCAACCGTCCGCACCGCCTGCAGCGTCGGCTCCCGGAGCCGACACGCCATCTTCACCTTGACGCCTGTTATTGGCGGAACCCTCCATTACGGAGGGTGCGTCGGCTCCCCGAGCCGACGAATCAAATTTGTCCAAGCTATCGACTCCCGGAGTCGATGCGACTTCAATACCTCGACGCCAACCATTGGCGGAGACCCCCATTACGGAGGGTGCGTCGGCTCCCCGAGCCGACGAATCAAATTCACCCAAGCCATCGACTCCCGGAGTCGACGGCGTTACGTCACCTTGGCTCTTATTATTGGCCAAAATTGATCCAATCAGATTCGCGTCAGCCTCCACTGCTGAGGCGTGTGACTCGTCTGCGTCATCCGTGCCCCTTGAGGTCGGAGACTCTTCCTGATTCGCTGAAAAGCGGGTGTCGATCTCCGAGGTCAACACATTTTCTCCTTCAGCCGTCGGCGGCGACGCCGACGCTTGCTGCTCTTGCGCGCGTGCTCGCGCGCGCCCAGGGCGTTCCGGGATAGCGGCATTAGGCGCTGTCTCGAGTGGGGAGTCGCGCGCACCTGTCGGTGCGTGCGTAGCGGCAACAGGGCCATCGCTCACTGTTCCGCTGTCGCGACCGAAGCGCACGAGAGTGCGCTTCTCCCAATCGATGACTGGATCATGTCGTGCAAGCCACGGCATGCCAAATACAATGTCAAACTTATCGTCCAGATCCAGGACGATAACGGCCTCGACAAACTCTTGATCTTCATGCGTGAAGTGCACGCGTACCATGCGCTTCTCGGTCTTCATGACGGCACCCGTTGACAGTCGTACTTCCAACATACTTCGAGGTATCTTTAAATTCTCGAAGTCAAGGCTTGATAGACTTCGCAGTCGAACAAAGTTCTTCGACGCGCCAGAATCTACCAAAGCACGGAGAGAGCCGCTTGTTCTCATCGAGTTCACATTCAGGATGACAAGGTCAGGCTTGTCATCTTGGTTCTTGCAGTGAGAATGAACCTCACTGGGGGCTGCAGTCCTCAGTGTCGCGTGTCCAAGGTCGACACCCGGAACTGCATTACCAGTGGGGTGCCCCGCGCCTACTGGCGTCCAGCGTTTTTTGTTTGGTTGCGACGGTGCCCGGCACCGCCGCGATAGCCACCCTGCTGGTGCACGGGGTCCGTGCACTCCCGAGCAAAGTGACCGATTCTACCGCATCGGTAGCATCGCACATTGTTTCCTTGCGACTGCTGGGGTCCAGCAGTTGCAGCGCTCGAGAGGTCCATGGGTTCTGGGCCTCCCGTCCTCACTATCGGGCGAGGCTGTGGCCTCGGCGCGTGTGCATGCAGCTTAGCCTGATGCAGGCTAAACTCCTCCTGCATTGCAAGAGTGATTGCAGCTTCGAGAGTACTCGGGTACTCACGGAAGAGATAGGTCTTCACAGGCCCATCTCTCAGCCCCTTCATGAACGTGACGACTTTGGTCGCCTCGTCGATCGGATTGGTCACGATGTTCGAGACCAAGTACCGTGCTCTCTGAGCGTAAGCATGGACATCATGCTTGCCCTGCTGCAGGTCGAGGAACTCCGCCCTCGACCGGAACTCGTTTTGCGGTGGCTCAAACGCTTGTCTGAGCTCTTCCTTGAAACCCTCGTACGTGCTAAAGCACGTAGGATCCGAGAGTCGGCGTCCATACGCCCAACTTCTTGCACGTCCGCCAAGACATGACATGGCGAACGCGACCTTCAACAACGGGTCGACGATGCGTCGAGCCGCAATGGTAGTGTCGAGTTCGACAAGCCAACGGAGGAGAGGCTCGCCCTCTCTTACAACGTAATTGCTCACGCTGAGCTTCAGCGATTGCGCGCGCGGTGTCGTCCCCGCCGACACCGTGGTAAACGAAGCAGCATCTCGCTGCTCCCTCATGATGAATCCCAGAGCAACACCATGTTGCTCTGTCGGCGTTAGCGTACGCAGCATCGTAGCTACAGCCGCCTCACCAACGGCTGTTGACAGTCGTTGGAGAGCTTCCCACTCTGGGTCCGACAGGTGGGGACAGTCAGCGCGTGCAACGTGAGTTGAAGGCGTAGTGAAGCTTTCCATGGACACCTCCGTATCCATGGGAAGGTTCTCAGCTCCGCGTTCGTGCGGTGACGTACGAACTCAGGTAGTCGGTCGTTGTTTCTGACTTCCTCTAAATGTAATACTCTAAGATAGGAATCTGCCAACGGCTGGTTGGCAGAATTCCAATGCTATGCATGTCGCTCATTGGCTAAGAGATGCTGCTCTCAGCCAATAGGAATCCTAAGTCTCTATGGACCACCCGTCGTGGTGGTCGTAAATGTATGTAGCCTTTGGTGTGTCTACACCAAGGTCGAGAAAGTCTTTCGAACCTCTAACAGACGTCGTGTCTGTTAGAGTTACAAGTGACTGTAGCCTCTTGTGCGTGTAACCCTGTTACAAGTCGCGTCTGCTTTGCGGCGAACTCGGATTGACTTTGCGTCTTCCACTGGGATCAGCTTTCCATTGGCCCAATCCTTGTGCCAGATGTCCCAGCACGTCATGGCCACCCCGCGCACCTTCCGTCGAGCCCTCATACACAGAAATATCGGTCCCACATCATTTCAGTCGCCGCAGAAGTACGTCATTGTCGAGGCGCGCTGCTCGCCGGAGCGCAGAGCAGAGCAGACCTTGCAGGCGCGCTGCCTGCGCTTCGCCTGCGTGCCTTCATTGCGCCACTCGTCGACTTGGCGTGCTGTGTGGGTCGAAGGCGGGCCAACACCAACTGGGATAGGTTCGTAGTTTGGGGTGGCTGGCTGATGCTGCGTCCCGAAGCTGTTTCCTTCCTACATGTCAGTCGCTTGAAGCTGGGTAAGTTGTAAGTGGAGCTTGATCATGAACTTGACATGCGTGAGGGGGCGCGACTCCTTGTTCTTGTGGTAGGCCTTGTGGACGATGTAGGCGTTGACAATCGCCAGGTCGATCAGACCCAGCACTAGCGACTTGTAGTACTTTTTGAAGCGGAGTGCGCGTTGCAGTGAGTAGCGCTGCGAGCGCAGCTGATCGTGAACGTCCACGCCCCCCATGAACGCGTGGTAATCTTTGACGACCCGCGGGCACGGCACCTCCACCTGCTCGGCACCATCCTGGCGCCCAACTCGATCAATTTCAGTGCTCCCGCCCGTGCAAAGGAAATACAGTGGTCGGGAGTCCCACCAACTGATTGCCGTCATGTTCGGAACAAGCTTCGATCGAGCGATCTTGAATGAGCCTCGTGGAATAGTGGCTGAATTTCGCAGTGAGGCATGGCATGTGGTCAAGTGCTTTGTTGGACCATGAAGAACAAAAGTTTGTACATCAAAACAAGTTTGCCCGTCACTATTCCGGCCGTTGTTATTTTTAGTTTGAACATCGTAAAACACACGAACCAGAGCAAAGATCAGACGCCACTGACCTTCAACCTGAATATAGGTGCGTTGGGCAATCTTAGTCCAGGAATACCAGCATGAGCGAACACTCTATCTGCTGCGCTGCTGCAGTACAATACTCTCGTCTCCGTCTGCCCACATACCGACTCGATGGCATCGGTCGAGCGCTTGCTCGCCTTTCAAGACTATTATCAACGGACATCGCCAAGCCATGCCTTCATGGTGTGTTTACTGGCTCTTCTCCCCGCGTTTACAGTGGTCTGGTCGAGTCCATTCCGTTGAAGCCGCCTGACGAAGGCTGGAAGCCAATTACACCTTCTGGATCCGTTTATTCGCGTCGTCACTGCCAATTGCATTTGGAGGGGTGTACCAGGTAAAAGAGGTCCTCGAGCCAGGAATCATTTCTACGACCGGAATCATCGCTACCGCCGCCGGTTCATGTACGGGGTACGTGGCGTTGACGATGCTAGTCGCCGCTCTGTGGAAGTTTCCCATCCCTTTTGGGTACGTCCTGACTGTGGGTCCGTTCGTGGCATTCTACAACTTTGTGCGGTCTGCTTCGTACCAACGTGCAATCAAATCCGAAAGTCGCAAAATTCATATTGCAAATTTTTAGTTAGCAACTTCAATTACGCATTCAAAGATGGAATTACGGCAATCAAAGTTGGACCTCTAAGATCTCCATGGCTACGTAAGCTGGCGTGCTGTGCTCGCGCCAAAAGCAAGGGCGCGCGGGTTGGCGCGCACTATAGCTGACGCCGACCGAGGGGAGCTCGCTTCGCAATTCGCCTTCTCCTTCGCAGATGTCCCTCCAAGGCCGCGTTACTCGCCACACCGTCCTCGAGAAGCAGCGTGTGCTTGACGCGTATCGCGCCGGTCGTCACGACCGGCTAGCGGTTGCCGCCAGCAACGATATCCCGGTGACCACAGCCTACGACATCGTCAGCAAGGGACGGGCGGAGAGTCTTCCTCGCGGAGGTGCGAGGAACGTCAAGATCACCGCCGAAGCGAAGTTGTTCCTCGAGCAGTACTTAAACGACGACTGCACGTACGCGCTTGCGACAATGCAGTTCATGCTGCTGGTGGACTGCAACATCAAGGTGCACACGTCTACCATTAGTCGCCACCTCAACAAGCTGCTGTACACGGTCAAGCAAGTTCGCATCGAGCCGACCACGTGCAACAACGACGTCAACACGGAGAAGCGTCGCGTGTTCGCCAAGAAGCTCATGGCTCACCAAAAAGAAGGTAACTGCATCGTTTATTATGATGAGACTAACTTTAATGTGTATTTGAAGCGCCAACGCGGTCGTGCCAAGCGCGGTAGCCGAGCTGTCGTGAAGCTTCCTCCATCGAAGGGCGCGAACCTTCAGATGCAATGCGCGGTGTCGACCAGCTTGCGGCTCGTCACCTATCGCCTTCAGCGCGGCAGCATTCGGATGGCGAACAACGCCGCCTTCGTGGAGGACATCTACAAGGCTGTTGAGGCCTCTGGCACGTTCCAGCGGTACTTCCAGGACAAGAATGTCGTGATCGTTCTGGACAACGCTCCAGCGCACCGGCAAACCGAGGAGCGTGTCACGGAGTACCCCGACATGGAGCTGTTGCGCTTGGGACCTTACTCCCCTATGTGCAACCCCATCGAGGGGTGCTTCAGCGTCCTAAAATCCCGCATTAAGCGTGACTTGGCTCTGGATCGCCACGAAATCTGTGATCGCTCGCGTGAGCCGGACAGCAACGGTGAGATCCTCTCCATTTCGGAATGCCAGATGTGCATCCTGGAGCGCGCCGCGACCTCTAACACGAGCGTGATGACCCCAGCGCTGGTGGCCAGCATGGAGCTGCACTGTCGCGACTTCGTCACCAAGGCAGCGAACAACGAGGACATGGTGTACGGCATGTAACAGGGCTCGTCGGACAAGTAGTAGTAGCCTACTGTACGAATTTGATTGCCGTAATTCCATCTTTGAATGCGTAATTGAAGTTGCTAACTAAAAATTTGCAATATGAATTTTGCGACTTTCGGATTTGATTGCACGTTGGTACGAAGTAGGCCGCACATAGGTGTACATGATTTTCTTCTTGCTAAGTATCGGACCACGAATACTAGCAAACTCCCCCGCATTACGTCAACAAATTTATTCCCAAATGCTGGTAATTGCAGCCCAGGGGATGCTGGCGATCGCGTATTCGACTTTTGGAGCCATTTTCAACCAACTTTCAGGGCACGAACAGGCCGCGTTTGTCTTCGTGTTACCAATCATCAAGTTCTGCATAAAACAATTTATCGCCAAAGTTTCCGCACATCTGCACGAATTCGTCGGCCCCACGGTGGTGCTTTCAGTGGACGTGTGCAATGTCCTCTACGTGGCTATCTGCATGCAGACCGCAGTGTCGCCAATAACTTCTGGTCTACTTATCGCTTCCGACGCGTTTTACGTCCTGCGTTGCGAACAATCTACTACCAATCGAACGTATCTCATGCTCGACGAAGGGCTCTGTCTATAAACTCAAAGCTCCCGATCAACTTGAACTACATCCACAACCTCTGAGCGTTGCTGCGTGAAGCTTTCCAAAGCTCAGACCCACTTGGAGCAGAAGGTGTGCCGATCCGTATTCGTGCTCCATTCCCTTTATCGCAATCAAATGAAAGCACGGCGTTTCTAAATGATCTGGAGCTGACACGGAGAAGATACTCGGTTGAAGGTGAGCCCGGTAAAGACGCCCATGTAGAGTCAAAGTCAACTGAAAGCAGTATCAGAACCCCATATCGAAAGTCGAGTAAATCAACGACAACATCTAAACCAAGGTCATCACGTAACTCTCAGGAGCTCCTCGAGGTGGACTCCAGCGGAACGGCACCAACCCGTAAACTATCTGCCCCGACCTCGGGTTCTAATAGTACCACCCGTTCTAAACACAGCAGCGCGACATCAAGAGCGGCGCTTTACCATTATCAAGTTGTCGTAGCGAACGTACAGGACTCTTTCCAGGCACTCTTCCACTCCGAATACGTTGTGGTGGCCGAGTTCATTGAGTGCGTGATCCCAATGCTGTACGAAGTCTACCTCGCCGTCCTGTACCACCTCCCAATCGCTGCGTACTACCCGCATACGCGTACGCTAACCCCAGAGAAATTCATCCGAACTGAGCTCAACATTATACTATACGCGGCTGTTGAGCTCGCGTCGTTCGTTGGACTGGATCTGCTTCTCCGACGGAAATTTGGATTCTCGCCGCTGTACCAGCTCGCGTTCGTATGCGAAACGCAAGTGCGTACTCTCCAAAGCCACCTCTTCGTCTGGATCTTGTGTATTCTGCAGATCACACTGGTTCACAATGGTCAGATGAGATGCTCGAAACGCTGGTCACGGATTGGGCCTAGTGACAAACTTGTGTTTGCTGTGCATGTAGGTGTCGATCTTGAAGCTCCTTTCAAATGAGTTGAGTATACCCACAACACTGGTAAACTACTTAGCAAACTAAGGCATTTCAAATTCTTGAATGAATGAATGGTTCGATTACCGATTTAATGTCCTTCTCGATTTGGACAGATACTATGTACTGGTACTAGTCATACTAGATAATGAAAATAAAACTAATCCACCACTGTGCGAAACACCACGCCGGTGCGGTATGTGAGACGAAGTTGTACATGTCGTGTGCGAAAGTTGGATGCGTTCCTTTGGATGAACGCGCCTAAGTGCTTGGATTGCCGTAATTGTCGCAGAACACGCTCGTATTCTTTACGAATGTCGGGGCTGGAAATCCGGAGTAGTCTGCAGTAGTGGCAGCAAAATGCTGAATGAATGCTTGAAATTGCCGTGGGCATTGGGTCCGGTTCTCTGTCTTCGAAGCAGATGCAGTTCCCTTCTGTCCACTGGTGGTGAAGTGTAGCGCAACGAAGCACATTCCACAGGCGCAGCAAATTCTTAACAGAAAACACAGGAAGTAATTCATATTCGCCATAATTTAACGTTAGTAGGAGGGTTTAATCGTATTATATATTGCGAAGTAATATACCATAGCTGTGTTATCATTACTGAGGCAGAACTACGACTGGGAAGATGCTTCCTGTACGATTAACCACCTTCACGATCAAAAATAAAGCTACTCTATGAATACCTTGTCCAGCCACAAAACTTTTCCTCTCAGCTGTATCAGCAGGTCAAGCCTGAGGGGGCGTTGAGACGGAATGGTGTTTGGACACAAGGCCTTTCTTCCTCTTTTCCACCGATTCGTTGACATGGTTTACTTTGTTAGTGACGGGGTCAGCGCCGCATGGGGGCACTGGACAAGCATTCAAGTCGGCCATCGCGGTAAATACTCCGTCGAGCGTCTGCTATCATTTCGCGATTATTACGTACGCACATCTCCTACGCGGGTGTTAATAGTTTGTGCGACGGGAATGCTACCAGCGTTCATAGTCGCGATTTTGGTCGAGTTCATTCCGTTGAAGCCGCCTGACGAAGGCTGGAAGGCCAACTACACCTTCTGGATCCGCTTGTATGTGTCTTCGCTGCCCATTGCGTTCGGAGGCGTGTACCAAGTGAAGGAGGTCATTGAGCCAGGAGCTATCTCCACAACTGGAATTGTCGCAACCGCCGTCGGTTCCTGTACGTGTTACGTGGCTCTCACGATGTTGGTCGCCGCATTGTGGAAGTTTCCCATCCCTTTTGGGTACGTCCTGACTGTGGGTCCGTTCGTGGCATTCTACATGATTTTCTTCATGTTGAGCATCGGTCCGCGCGTATTATCCAGCTCGGCGGTGTTGCGTCGGCAGATTTTCTCGCAGATGCTGGTGATCGCTGCTCAGGGGATGCTGGCGATCGCGTATCCGACGTTTGGAGCCATCTTCAACCAGCTCTCGGGCCATGAGCAGACCGCGTTCGTGTTCGTGCTGCCCGTGATCAAGTTCTGCATCAAACAGTTCATTGCCAAAGCGTCTACTAGTATGCACGAGTACGTTGGACCGACTGTCGTGCTGTCTGTGGACGTGTGCAATGTGCTGTACGTGGCAATCTGCGTGCAGACGGCGATTTCGCCCGTTACCACCACGCTCATGATCGCCATGGACGCCTTTTTCGTCTTGCTCGCGTTTCGCTCGATCTACAAGCAATCTTACGTGACTCAAGCCAGATTATCTGCGAGTCTGGTGGATGCTCCGAAATCCAACTACGTGCAAAACGTGATTGCGCTAATTCGTCAAACATTTCAACTCGCGCGTGTTGTTGATGCGCTACCGATGCCAATTCGAATCCGCGCACTGTTTCCTCTGCCTCTGACGGATGAAAGCGTGGCGTACATGAAGAAATTAATCAGAGCAAACGAAACATCTGCCGAAGAAGTGGAAATATCTGCGGATAATCCGTCGGATCCCCCACTTATCCCTTGCGAAGACGAAATTGCTGCTGTAACTCAACCAAACGCATCGCAGAGATCAACACTAGCGCTATTAGATCGAGTTACCAACCATAAACGAATCGCACCAGCCCCAGAGCCATCAAACTCTACCCAGCCAAAGCCCCCGTCAATATTGATCCGGCTGAGTAAAGTTTTTATCCCGCACCACCCCGAACATGCAGCAAAATCGAAGCTACCCGCGCATATCACGGTTTTCGCAAGATATCACTCATCGGCCGTCAATGTCCAAGACGCGCTCCAGGCGCTTTTCCACTCTGAATACGTCGTCATGGCCGAGTTTATCGAGTGCGTCACGCCGGTTCTGTATGCGGTCTACCTTGCCGTCCTGTACCATCTCCCGACTGCTGCTTACTACCCGCACACGCGCTTGCTGACGCCTGAAAAGTTCGCAACTACAGAGACAAATCTCATTCTTTACGCCCTGATCGAAATCTCGTTGTTTGTGGGTCTGAATATTCTGCTCAGAAGGAATTTTGGGTTTTCCCCGCTCTACCAGCTTGCGTTCGTGTTCGAGACGCACGTTCGCACTCTCCAAAGTCATCTTTTCGTTTGGGTATTGTGCATCTTGCAGATCACTCTCGTCCACAATGGTAAGATGCGAAGCGATGGCTGCCTCGTCGTGGCTCGGAGGCTAAGACAGGGGTTTTTTGTTTGCTTGTGTAGGTGTTGACCTCGAAACCCCGTTCAAGTGAGGGGGGTCCGCGGAGAGGGAGTTAGTGCGCTATCTTCAGATTATTACTACAAGTGGTACGAAGAGAAACAGATCGAATTTTTCGTGGTTGGTGCGTGGCAGACTCGCGTTGTAAGTTGACTGTCATCAAGTCATTTTTTACGGAGCTCCACCTTCTCTATTTCAGTTCGAAAGAAACACCGGGGTCTGATTAGAGTTCAATTCCAGGTAGGAATCAGTAGCACAATATTACCTCGCCATTTATAAATCACACCGGGGTCTGATCTGTACGTGGGGTAAATTTGGCATCTTCGTGACATCAGCAATAAATGTATTCCGGACGAACTGCGGTTAAGAGCGGTGCCAGCCAACGCAAGAACGAGCTGGTGGTAGTGATCAGTAAGGCTGTCCATCTTGGTGACTAACCATGGCTTTTCAGCGGAAAATCTACCCAGCGGGACCCTCGAAGCCGGTTCACTGCGTGCACAACGTGAGTAAGAGTCTGCAGAAGTTCATCCAATCTCTCTGGGGCTACTGGAATCGGGTTCAAGTTGGACACAGAGGCCGCTACTCCGTCGAGTGGCTGTTAGCCTTCACCAGCGCACCTCCCTCCCCCATGTTGCCATCGTGTGCTTACTGGGTCTACTCCCAGCTTTTGTAGTCGCTGTTTTGGTCGAATGTATTCCGTTGAGGCCGCCGCCTGAGAGCTGGCGAGCCAACTACACTTTCTGGATCCGCTTATTCGTGTCTTCTTTGCCGATTGCGTTCGGAGGCGTGTACCAAGTGAAGGAGGTGATTCAACCTGGAGTTATCTCCACTACTGTGTTACGTGGCATTGACGATGCTAGTCGCTGCTCTATGGATTTTTCCGATTCCATTCGGCTACGTCCTCACCATCGGCCCTTTCGTGATTTTCTACATGGTTTTCTTTCTACTAAGTATCGGACCACGAGTGCTAGCGAATTCCCCGCCATTACGTCATCAAATTTTCTCGCAAATGCTGCCCAAGGAATGCTGGCGATAGTGTATCCAACGTTTGGAGCCATTTTAAACCAACTATCGGGACATGAGCAGACCGCGTTCGTCTTTGTTTTACCGATTATCAAGTTTAGCATGAAGCAATTCATAGCGACGGTGTCGTCTCACTTGCAGGAGTACGTAGGACCGACCGTCGTGCTATCGGTTGACGTGTGCAACGTCCTGTACGTTGCTATCTGCGTGCAAACCGCCGTGTCGCCACTAACCTCGGCGATTCTGATCGGCAGCGACGCGTTCTTCGTCATCCTAGCGCTTCGCTCGATCTACAACCAATCGGATGAGGCTCGAGCGCATCAGCGTGTGCTTTCCTCCAGCTCGAAGATTCTGCTGAAGAATAACTATCTCCTCGATCTGATGGGCCTATTGCGTGGCGCTTTCCAGACTTCGGGGGCATCGGATTTTCCAGTTCCAATTCGAGTCCGCGCTCCATTCCCACTCAAGTATATTACTCAGTGAACAACGCACAGACAGCAAGTTGCATCAACTCGCACCTGGGGTTAGAATAGGTTTCGTCAATGCAGCGGCCGCTGGTAGAAGTGATTTTGTTTTTCTTTTTTGGAATTAATGACCGCTTTTAAAGCAGGTGTCGATCTCGAAGCCCCTTTCACGTGAGAGCATCAACCAAAGGGTATCCGCACCATTGTGGTTTTGGTGAGCCATGATGTTGGAATTTCTATTCAGTAGCAAAAGCTTGGCCAGGTGTTCCTACGGTGTCTGTAATCATGTTGCTACAGCTTTTATCTTTTCTTTTTGCTTGGTACAAGTATCTGGTGATCGGTAAGATTACGCTGAAATGCAGCTAGTAAGCTTCCGTCGAGGAGTTTACGTAAAGGGTTGAAGGTCCGATAGATTTGACTCACATGTGAGTCAAATCTTCGAGTACAGTAAGTCTCGTTATCAAATCTCCATGGAAGTATGCTGCGTGATCGATTACTTTCCTTCTCTTACAATAGTAGGTAGATGTGCCTCCGCTTCTTGGGTGTCTGAAGAATGGGTTCATGCTCAGTTTACCCTCTGAAGAGCATGATTGAAGATCGGCTGCACATGGTCAAGAAGTAAGCACACCAGGGGCAAGGGTCGAAAGTGCGAGCCGCTTGTATGGCCGCCACCACTCCTCATTCTCCATTTCTCCTCGCCTCACCAAGGACACTCAATCCTTTTCCCCCTTCGTTTGGATCAAGAGAAGAATGCGTCTGTCCCGCTCCTTGTTCGTGGTTCTTGCATCCATCCTCGTCGCCGATGGTGAAGCCGTCGAGTCCGGTCAAACGGACAAGCAACATAGGGCGCTTCGCTCAGCTGACGCGGAGGCGACCAATGCCCAGCGGAACCTTGCTCCCATCTCGACATGGCTGAGTCAGTGGATGGCGGGGAGAATGTCGTGAAGAAAGCCCAACAGGCGAGGCTCGGGAGGGCCGGACAGCAGAGGTTCAACAAGAAGATCGTGAACATCGAGAATTACGTTTTCCCACACTGGTACTCGGTGCATGCCGAGAAGCACTTGATGGTGAACAAGTCCCCACAGGAGGTTTACCAGATCATGAAGGCTCGCGGCGAGCCGGACTGGTATGCAAAGTATATCAGCAAGAAATTCGACGAGTACATCAAGAGCTTTGCGAGGATGCTGGAGTGAAAAAAAGCAATTGAACACAGTTGGACCAACAAAACGAAGGTGGCTGGAGTCTCCCCGTGTCTGGTTTTTGCTACACTCATGGTAATTGGTGTAGTTGGCAATAAGATACGTTCGCGCCTACTAGTACATTTCTTCATATTGAAGCTGAGGTTCTTTAATCTAGTTGGGATTATCGTCGGATAAATTTTTTTAAAGCTCACTGGGGGTTAATTAATGTCAGCCTCGAACACTGCGCGTCTGCTCTGTCGTCTATCAGACCTTTTCTTCTTTTTAAAAAAATAAATTGAGTTTCTGAACAAGCGATATGAATCTGATACTACGAGATGCGACTAAATCTATAGCACCTTCGAGATCAAATCGTGCAATGTTCATCGTTAAATGTTGCGCTAAAATGTTTGTGGTCCAGGATCACGCCCTCGTTACTGAGAATCGGCCCTCACGCTCAAGTTGCGAGTCAACACGAATAAAGCGGGCATTTCTTGGTAGCTGACTCGTTGGCGCCTCTTCTTCTAGATGTGACCTACCTCTTCGTTATTGACCGAATCGAGTCAACACAGACTACCGACGACTGCGAACCAACAAGACGAATACTGCAAAAGAGCGCGCCTTTCTGGTCGAACTTTTTTACAAGATTACGGAGCAGTTTCAGCGCATGAAGACCCATCCTGAATTCCTCAAGACTTTCTTCGAGTTGAGGAGATCGGGCTCCAGATAAATTGACGACGTCGTGGCTTTAATGGTGAAGTAGGGTCTAGGTACAAACGATGTCCAGCACTACGCAAAGCTATATCTTGTCCACCTCGCAGTCATTAATCGAGTGGAGGAGGTGGGCTGTACCCCTACCGGGTTAGTGTTATGACCGTAATTAAGATTTAATGGATGGTAGAAAACAATTTGCACCATCCTCTAATATTCCGACTTGGTTTACCTTCAGGTTTGAAGTCTGAGGAAATAAGACTACGTGTCGAGCGTGATTCAGTTGGTTCGTGTAGCCGAGTTCTATCATACATTTCTCCTGCGCTCTGGCCCTCCTAGTCGTGGCGGCCAGACAGATAGATGACTCTGAAAACACATTTCTGAGATCTTACGAGACTGTCGACAGCGTAGATGAATAACAACATACCGTGGACTAGCGTCTTGTACAATCTACCGGGGCGATTAGATGGTATAAATCTGCATCAAGTCTGAGGTACATGACGAAGCGAGTGGTTCGTTGGTCCTTATAATTATCCTCATTAGGGTTGGCCAACATAAATTTGGCTTTCCCGAGGGTCCAAGCACCGTTGCCCCCAGACAGCAAGCCAACAGCTTACAGGATGCAATTGAGTTCAAAGATCCATCCTGAAGAATACCCAAGGTCGCGATGTATCGCCGTCGTTCACGACACTCTCACCCAACTTTTTGATGGCGCAGCACGCTACTGGAACAGCCTCCAGGTCGGCCACCGAGAGCGATACTCCGTCCAGCGTCTGCTTTCCTTCAGAGACTACTACGAACGGACCTCCCCGACTCGAGTCATCTTCGTTTGCTCCACGTCCTTGATTCCAGCTTTCGTGCTGGCGGTGATAATGGAGTGCATCCCGTTGAAGCCACCTGAAGCAGGATGGAGAGCGAACTATGCCTTCTGGATCCGATTGTTCGTGTCCTCGCTGCCGATTTCGTTCGGAGCCGTGTTCCAAGTGATAGAGGTGATCGAACCAGGAGTTATATCGCCTACTGGGATTATCGTGACTGCTGTCGGCTCCTGTGCCGGCTACGTGGCCCTAACGATGGGTCTCGCGGCTTCGTGGAGATTCCCAGTCCCATTCGGATACGTGTTCTGCGTGCCGCCATTTGTGACAATCTACATGATTTTGTTCGTACTCAGCATTGGGCCCAGAGTTTTGGTTCGAACGCCTCTACTACGCCGTCAGCTTTTCTCCCAGCTGCTCGTCGTAGCCGCTCAAGCCGTTTTAGCGATCGCTTACCCGTTTTTTAGCGCTGTGTTTAACCAGCTCTCGGGGAAGCAGCAGTCCGCCTTCATCTTCGTTCTCCCGATCATCAAGTTCTGCATCAAGCAAGTGATCACCAGGATGGCGTCGCACCTCGAGGAGTGCGTCGGACTGATTGTCGTTTTCTCGGTTGACGTTTGCAACGTCGTCTATGTTGCGGTTTGTATGCAGACGGCGATATCTCCGCTCACGTCGACGCTTATGCTGGCTTCAGACGCCTTCTTCGTCATGATAGCGCTTCGCTCAATCTACAACCGTGCGGATACGAATCATACGTGGAGGAAAGATCGACAGCTAAAAGCTGGTTATCTCGAAGACTTGATGGACCTCATACGCGAAGCCTTCCGGTTTGCCAACAAGCCGAATGCCTTGCCGGTACCGATCCGAGTTCGTGCTCCGATCGAGCTCCCGCTCTCGTTAGAAAGCGCTCGGTTTATCGGGGATCTGGTTCATGCAAAGCGAAGAAATGCGGGAGAAGCGCAGTCCTTTTCGACTTTATCCACACATTCAATGTCAAGGCAAGAGGCAAAGCAAGGAGCGATACGCTCACAGGTTGATGGGGGCACGACCAGGAAGGGGCCAAGCCTTGGGACCGTTGATATTATCCCGAAAGGACCCGATCGTTTACAGGCGATGTCCAGCAGGTCGTTCGTACGAGCGAATTTTGAAGAGGTTATGCGAGCGAGTTCTCGCGCTACGACTGCCGCGCCGTCTTGCCACAGTGTTGCTATAGCAGACGCGCGAGACGCCCTGCAGACGCTCTTTCACTCCGAATATGTCATCATGGCCGAATACGTTGAGTGTGCGATCCCCATCCTGTACGGCCTGTATCTCACGTGTCTGTACCATCTCCCGACAGCGGCTTACTACCCTCATACCCGCTCTATGACGCCTGAAAGGTTCAAGAACACGCAGCTAAACTTCATGCTGTATGCGATGGTCGAGTTGGTCTCCTTCGCTGGGCTTAACCTCCTGCTCAAGCGCAAGTTTGGGTTTTCTCCCTTGTACCAGTTAGCCTTCGTGCTGGAGACGCAAATGGGCGTTTTGCAGGGCCATTTCTTTCTTTGGGTCTCGTGGATATTGCAGATTACGCTTGTCCACAATGGTAAGCTTGAGCTTCTTTCTACTACGGTGGCAAGAATTATGCTAATACTTTCTATTTTGACTCAGGTGTTGATCTTAACGCCCCATTTAAATGAGAAGCGCTACTATTTGGCCTCAGCTTTCAACTTACGCGCTACATGTACCAGAGTTAGATGACGAAAAGCTTGAAGTTCATAAAAAAAGCTTCGAGTTGACAAAAAAAATGTCGAACTGACTCAAAACTTCTGAGATGCCAGATGCTGCTTGTCGAGTGAAAGGTGTGTGATGCTCATAGTGGGAAAAACATGCTATCCGGTGTGAAAAACTACAAAGATCCGATACATGCACGAGTTGAGAAAATAGATACGAGTTGAGTCATGGATGGGAAATATCCGGATTAATTACGATATGCATATTGCCTCCCAATCCAAGAAAATACATCATTTAAGTTTTTTTTAGTTTTCACCATGCCGATAAACAATGGACACTACGAAAAGGAGTGAGTGAGCGATATATCTATCATCTTAGTTATATTCTTGTTTGACTTCATCAAGTAAGAGCAGGTAGAGAGTAGCCTCGCGCAGGCTTTTTGGTGAAGTTGCACCATTGTTAGCGCTGGTGACGAGTATCGCCTTCATGAGGGTTGCCAATAGGCTGAAAAAATGCGTGTGACGCGATCCCCTGGTTTGTGATTGACATCGCTAAGGAGAACTCTAGCTGTATAGGCGGCGCCAGCGTCTTTGACTGCAACGGCGTGTCGGCTATTGTGTAATTTTGCAATTCAGCTTTGAATGGTGGAGCAAAAGGTAGATAAATATATTATAAGTTTCATCTACTTTTATTAAAAAATCTACGCATAATTTAAATTCGACTCCTTCCCATCTTGACGATATACCAGGCTGGTATTACCAGCATCAACCAAAACCGTGTGCATGTGTTGTCTTTACGGATTTTGCAACGGCTTCGGTATTCCAAACATTTAGGCGATTTCATCAGCAGACATGACAACAGATTCAAGCTTCGGCATGTACAACTACACTTAACATCCCGCTCTGGTGTGGTGTTCCGCACTGTTGTCGAGTAAGTAGCACATTAGTTCACATAAATTGAGAAGTCAGATAAATCGGTAATCGAACACATCTTTCTTTACGGATTTTGCGCCGTCATTTCAGGGTAATCGTGCCAATCACCAGGATTCAGCACTCCACCAAAACAGCGAAGTTACCTGCTGTACTTTGCTAATCAAGGTCAGAGACAGTGTATGCATGGCAGTGCGGTGTGTTCGATGAAGCGACGTGTATAACGGAGAGGAGCGTTCTCGCCTTTGACTGGTTCGACCGAAGCGGCGACGATGACAGGCTAGCCGAGTTTTTTATTGTACTGTAGTGGCATGGGAAGCATCACCAAGATCTGTCGATCGTCCGATCCGATACCTACTGCATGTAACGTGAACACCTTGTAATCTCCCTATGGATCGGCCGAGTGTAATGGGGGAATAATCATCTATGAGTGGGGTTACCCTGAGTACGTGCAGGTACATGTCATAGGTCAGAAGCTCAGAACTCTCACTTTCGAATTCTCCTCGACGACCGCAGTTCCTAACTCCGACCAAACACGATGCGCCTCTCCAGCGGCCTTCTCGTGCTCGTGGCAGCCGCGCTGCTGGCGGTGGGCCAAGCTCTCGACTCGCAGTAAACCTCGCCGACATTTCTGCGATCCGCCGACGCAACGACTCCGACCATCCAGCGGAGGCAGTGGGAGGGCATCAAGGCGGCCGTGAAGAAGCCTGTCATGTCGCTGTCCAGTCAAGCCATCTTAAAGGAGGACGCCAAGGCGCAGGAACAGTTTATGTTTGCCAAGTGGTTCGTGGCCAAGAGAGACGAGAGGAGAACCCCGCTCGACATTTACAACAAGTTTATCAAGCGGGGCTACGACGAGTATCACTCCCTGTCGGTATGAGAAGTACTACAACAAGAGGACGTCGCCCATCCCTCTGGTCTCAATTACTTCGTAGTGGTCTTCCCTCATTCAGCCGGATATGGCGACCCAGAAGAACCTGCAGCTTAAAAAAAAGTACAGGCCTTCGCGCATTTTTAGCTGGTCCGTTTCTGTCTTCTTTAGCTCCTTCGTTGACGCTTTAATGGGTCTGCAGCATGTCAAGGTCAAGTCCAAGGTGCCGTCACTGCCAGCTCGAGTGAAGAACAGTCGCCTCGCCACAATCTATCACAGCCTAGCGCGGTCATGGTACCGAAGCCAAGTAGGCCACCGCAGCCAGTACTCGGTCGAACGCATGCTCGCCTTTCGAGACTACTGCAACCGGACTTCGATCACTCGAGTCGTCGCAGTTTGCTTACTGACTCCAATCCCTGCCTTGATAGTGACTTCGTTGATCGATTGCATCCCGTTGAGGCCTCCCGAGGACGGGTGGAGAGCTAACAAGACGCTGTGGATCCGGCTGCTGCTTGAAGCCTTTGCAGTTGCAATGGGGCTCATCTCGCAGGTTCGAGGCGTCATTGTGTCTGGCACAGTCTCGAACGTGGGTGCTGTTGTGATCTCGGCAGGGACGAGCGTCTGCTACGTCACAATCTCGATAGTGGTCGCAGCGTATTGGGAATTTCCAGTTCCGTTTGGGTTCGTGATTTCCGTTGCCCCCGTCGTGTCTTTCTTCTGCTTGTGGACAGTTTTGGTCGTGGGGCCTCGAACGCTTTATACGACGCCACTGCTCCGCCAGCAAATCAAGTCACAGCTCATTATCGTAGCGACTCAGGGGCTTGTTGGAGTTCTTTATCCGGTTTTTAGTACTGTGTTTAACCGCCTTTCGGGGGTTCGACAAGCCGCGTTTGTGCTCGTCATGCCCCTCATCAAGTACACGACCAAGCAGATCATCGCTAACGCTGCCGCAAGTCTCAACGAATACGTCGGCCCCGTCGTGGTCTTTTCCGTGGACGTGTTCAATGTCTTCTACGTCGCGATCTGTATGCAGTCGTCTAAGTCCGTACTGACAACGCTGGTCATGGTGGTGGCAGACGGATTTCACATGTTTGTGGCGCTTCGGACCATTTTCCACCTCGCTAATGTCGTGAAAAAGAGGAGAATAGACGACGTCTCTAAACCGCCACAGATCGACTACGTTCGAGACTTGCCACGCATGGTACGGAATGTTTTCCTTACGTCAGCTGCGACCTATACTCGAATTAGGGTGTTTGCACCCTTCCCTTTATCTCTCTCGAACGAAAGTGTTGCCTTTATCAATGCAATTGGGAAAAGCAGGCGGGAGACCCACATTTACGCTACGTCGAAGCCTTTGGCACCCCGACGCAACAGACTGAGGTCGGTGTTAGGCTTACAAAGTGCTGGGATCTGGCGTAAACTAGCGCTAACAGGAGGTGCTTCCGCCGCCAGCGTGGCACCAAAAGTCCATCAAATAGCCCCCGCAAGTCCCGTGTCCAAGCGAAGTTTTGGCTCGTTCCAACAGGGAAAATATACCTCGCGCAAGACGTCGATCTCCCAAAAGTTGGTTAAGCTGATGCACGCGAATACTACGATTACGTCGGACAAGGCCTTGCGGGCGGCTATGGGCCGTCGAGGGGTTGAGGAGGCTGCTTGGGAGGGACTTCGCGCGCTTTTCCACACCGAATATCTTCTCATGGCCGAATACGTAGAAGCTGTGCTTCCCGTGTTGTACGTGGCCTATCTAGCGCTTATTTATCACTTGCCAGTGGCAAGATTTTACCCTCATACCGCTTCTCTAAGCCCCGAAAATTTGGTTCGGACGGTGGTTAGTGTCCTGATGTACGCCACAGTCGAGACGGTCACGTTTATCGGCCTATTGGCCTTGATGAGGAAGAAATTCGGGATGTCGCCACTGTACCAGCTCGCATTCGTACTGGAAACACAGGCGCACACGCTGCAGGGCCACTTGTTCGTCTGGTCCATCTACATTCTGCATCTGCCGCTAGTGCACTACGGTATGGATCTCAGCTTGGGTTTGTCGTGAGTCATCACCCATTCTAACGCTATGACATGGTGCTGTACGGACTCCAGGTGTGCGTTTGAGTTGATTCTTATCGCCTTTAGTTATCGGTTCAACAATCCAAAGAACGCATGTTTGGGTAATCTGGGCAGATTTACTTAACCTTTTAACTACTTTAAAAAGTGTACAGAATATTTTGCTCGACGATGAGAACTTATCTTAAAAGTCGTTAGGAGCCTAAGTGACTGCAATTTAAAAAAAAGTTATAAAAATACGACAAACTTTAAAAACACTGGCAGTCCGAGATTGCATGCGAACAGCGATTGACTGAGTCAGGCTTGTTGCCGCCCGCACTTTTCGAGTTCATAGGACATGGGACATCTAGTAAAAGTCAAACCTGCACAGGCTCAGCTGCCCACTTCTTGTTCCATGGTAGCGAAAGCTAAACAGCAGGCAGTGAGCACCTGGAGCCGAAGTCAAATTGGGCACCGCAGTGAGTACTCGGTCGAGCGCTTGCTCGCATTCAAGGATTTCTGCCAGCGCACTTCGACCGCGCGTGTAATTGCTGTGTGCTTCTTCACCCCGTTGCCTGCGCTGTCAGTGGCCATTGCGATCGACTGCATTCCGATGCGACCTCCGTCCGATGGGTGGAATAATCCCGGATTCTGGGCCAGATTGTTTTTTACCGCGTTCTTTATCGCCGTGGGGCTCAGTTTCCAAGTGAAGGAGGTGCTCACAGGGAAGATAATCTCGAATATTGGGGTTCTCGTGATCTCATTTGGCACATCGTCCTGCTACCTATTGATGATGTTTACAATTGCAGTCACGTGGAGGTTCCCCATTCCTTACGGATTTGTGGTCTCGGTGGGGCCCTACGTGGTCATTTTCTCCATTATCACTGCGTTCCTTATTATTGGACCGAAGATTATGGCACAGTCACCGGTTCTGCGGCGGCAGATTATGTTGCAGCTTCTCATTGTGGCGACGCAGGGGGTTCTGGCCATCGTTTATCCGATTTTTGGCGCTATCTTTTATCGACTGTCGGGGGCAGAGCTGACAGCTTTTATCATGGTCATGCCAGTGATCAAGTTCATCACGAAGCAAATTATCGCGGCAGCAGCCAAGCACTTGAAAGAATACGTTGGCCCCATCGTGGTCTTCTCGGTGGATGTTTTCAACGTATTTTACGTCGCTATTTGTATGCAGGCGTCCACCTCCTTAGTGACAACCATTTTAATGGTGGCGTCCGACAGCTTCCACGTTGTTCTAGCCATTCGCGACACCTTTCGACCTACGAAAGGGAACGATCGAGTCTCCAGTGGAAATCTCCAGAGGTCAAGGAACTACCTAGAGATTTTGCCAGAACTGGTACGAGAGGCCTTCTACGAGGCTGCAGCATCAATGTCACTGGTGAAATACATTCGCGTGTGGGCGCCTTTTCCTCTGAAGATGTCGGACGAGAGCAAGAAACTATTATCCGACCTCAAGATTATCGGACGTGGTGCAAGAGCGAGCGGAACTAGAAAATGTGCGACTAATTTACCCTCGACCCGGGAGTCGACCGGAGGGTTTTCGGCCCGAGTGGACTTAGGAGGAATTTCTTCCAAGATTTTGCATTCGAAGCACGACAAGCCGATGCAAGTCCCCACGCGGCAAATTCGAGTCCTTCCGGTAGAGAGTGGACGATCCGTGTCAAGCGCTTCAAGGGCTCAACACAGTAGCATGAGCTCAAACTCAAGGCAACATGCATTGTTCCAGCCTCGGAGTGCACCTTCAGAAAGTTCCAATTATGCAGAGGTGGCAGTGCAGGATGCCCTACAGACGCTTTACCACTCTGAGTACGTCCTCATGGCGGAGTACGTCGAGTTTGTACTGCCGATGCTGTACGCGCTGTACATTTCAGTGCTTTACCATCTCCCACTGGCGAAGTTCTACCCGTACACGGTGTCGATGACAAACCAGAAGCTCGTGTCGACTGTTGTGAGTATTTGGCCTATTCCACCATCGAGTTCGTGTCATTTGTCATTCTCGTGATCCTGTTGAAAAGAAAGTTTGGGTTCTCGCCGCTTTACCAGTTGGCGTTTGTGCTGGAGACGCAGGCGGGGGCGTTGCAACGACACCTCCTCGTGTGGACTGTGTACATTCTCCATCTTACGCTAATACACTATGGTACGTTGGGCAAGATGACAATTCGGTGGCCTCCGACTAACTTGTTTCAATGAGTACAGGGATTGATTTTAACGCAAAATTTCGATGAGCGGCCCTGTATCACAGTTGTCTATTGTAGACACCTCCGACGTTTTAGACTTTAGAGGAAAGATCACAGTTGTGGGGATGGCGCATCCCATTACGAGTGATGGGTCGGTACTCACTACATCGCAGCCCTGCAAGTGCTCCTTGACCAAATGCCAGCCTAATCATCACCTTCGCTATCATTAGTGAGACAAGATCACGAAGTGCATGACCGATGACCACCAAGGTCGACTGACCTGAGGTGAACTGCAACAGCTCCATTTAAGGAATTTCAGGAAAGAATTTGACTCATCAAACAGCGAACACCGCTGCTACATTACGCTACGCAACGTGAGTCCATGGGAACTTCGACTAACTCCAAGCCGTCGAAGCACTCGTATCAAACTCCTCGGGATGGACTGTACTCGAAAATGATTTCCAGGACATGGGATCGGAGCCAGATTGGCCGCCGAAGCGAATACTCCATCGAGCGGCTACTTGCGTTTCGCGACTACTACGAGCGCACTTCAATTCTTCGTGCATTTATGGTGTGTGCGCTCACCCCCATCCCGGCCTTGCTTGTAGCTCTAAGTATCGACTGCATCCCTTTGAAGGTGCCATCGGACGGCTGGAGAGCGAACTACGCAGCTTGGGTCAGGCTGTTCGTCATGATGGCTGCAATTTCGCTGGTTATGATTGAACAGATCCGAGATGTTATCGTCAGAGGGACGATATCCAACGCAGGGGCCGTTAAAGTCGCGCTGGGCACTGCTAGTTGCTACGTTGCAGTGTCCACTGGAGTGGCAGCGGCGTGGAGGTTTCCAATCCCCTTCGGATTGGTGCTAATGGTGTGGCCCTACGTAATTATCTTCTCGTCTTGGACAGTGTTGGTGATCGGCCCTCGACTGCTGCTACAGTCATCGCTGTTGCGTCAGCAGATCAAGGCTCAGCTGCTGACTGTGGCTACCCAGGGCGTCGTAGCTGTGGCTTACCCTCTCTTCAGTGCCGTCTTCAACCGCCTCTCTGATGCCCCTGATCAAGTTTTTCACTAAACAAATCATTGCAGATTCAGCTCAGAGTCTGTCGGGCCTATTATCGTCTTCTCCGTGGACGTCGTCAAACGTCTACTTACTACGTTTCGATCTGCATGCAATCGGCGACGTCCATCACCACGGCGGTACTTTTCGTCCTCGTGGATAGTTTTCACGTTGCCGTGGCTATTCGCACCATCTTCCGACAAGCACGAGCTAGTGGCCAAGACGAGTGCTCTGGCCACCATTACTTCCGCGACTTACCATCCATAGTGCGAGCCTCAGTTCAAGAGACCAAAGCTCTACCGCCTCACACTAAACCCATTCGACTATTCGCACCGTTCCCGCTCCCTCTCACGAACGAAAGCACAACTTACACGGCTGAGCTGGAGAAACTGGCTATGGAGGTAGCTGTCGCTGCTAACAGGTCCGGTCAAGCGTTGGATTCCAACGGAAAGCTGACATCCGAGCGAACAAGCAAAAGTTTGTCAAGAAAGTCGTCGGTGCAAAGGAAGTCGATCCCAAAAATTACGGTTCTACATCGGCATCAAGTGGTGCCGACAAACCGCGACCCAGCGCCACCTCCACCTCTGAGACCGGTCCGACTGTCGAAAGTGGCGTGGAAACTGAGTCAAAGCCGGTCTCGAATTATGTCCAGCAAAGATAAAATATTGGCTACACCTAAGCCGAAGCCGTCGTATCAGCACGTGTAGGACGAACTGCAGGCGCTCTTCCACTCCGAGTACGTGCTCATGGCCAAGTACATTGATTTTATGCTGCCAACGCTCTACGCGTTCTACCTCGGGATTAATTTCCATCTTCCGGTGGCCGCGTACTACCCAGACACAGCATCCTTGTCGCTTTACAAACACTCGTGAGCATCTTCGCGTTTGCATCGGCCGAGTTCATCGCTTTTGGCTGACTTTTGGTCCTACTCAAGCAAAAGTTCGGCTTCTCGCCGCTTTACCAGGTGGCCTTCGTGCTGGAGACGGAGGTTCGCACGTTGCAAGGCCATTTGTTCGTGTGGGCCCCGTTCATTTTGCAGATGACACTGGCCCATTATGGTTTGTGGGTTTCGATGCTGTTCAATTCATTAGGTGAAAAATCTAACATTCTCCTTCATGCATGCACAGGGGTGGACTTCACATTTCCGTTTCTACATTTCTGATTTGGCTTTGTCTGCGGTCTCTTTTCCCTCTTGATGCCGTTTGTTATGGCATTATGATTTGAAAAAAGTAAATAAAAAATAATGAGCCCAAAAATAATTCTCCTAACGGCGGATATAGTAGTCTTCATTTATACTTAGAGGCGAAAAATATAGCCAAGAGCCATACAACAAAAGGCCATAGCACCACTGCACCAGCATGACTCCTGGGCATAATGTGCAGCTGGGACCCTCGATGCCTACGACAGGGATCCGGCATCCTGCGAGGCCAAGGTGTTTTGAGCTGTTGAGAAGGGTCCACGATGTGGTACTGCGCACATACAAGCAAATAACACGAACGTGGCTCCAAGTCCAAATCGCCAATCGACAACAGTACTCCGTCGAGCGCACTCTCGCCTTCCGCGATTACTGCCAACGAACGTCGCGCGCCCGAGTGTTCGCCGTGTGTCTGTTGACCCCAGCGCCGGCTTTTGTCGTAATGTTACTGATTGAGTGTCTCCCGCTCAAATCCCCGGAAGAAGGCTGGAGAGCGAACAAGGTCATGTGGGTGCGAATGTTAATCTCAAGTGTGTTTGTTGCAGGTGGGATAGTGTTCTTAGGCAAGGCACTAATCAGTGAAGCCCCGATCTCGACCGGCCAAGCGATTGGCATCGCCTTTGTGTCCGCGATTTGTTACACTGGAATGGGTGTGCTGCTGGCTGCTGCGTGGAAGTATCCTGCCCCCTTTGGTCTCGTGCTGATGGTCAGTCCTTTCGTGACCATCATTATGTCTTGGTTCCTCATTTGTATCGGCGCTCAAGCGCTGAAAACCAACAAAAAGCTTCAGAAGCAGTTGATCGGCCACACGATCGCCCAGTCAGCGCAGACGCTGCTAGTGGTGGCGTACCCGACGTTTAACGCAATATTTCTGCAGCTCGACAGCGTGCAGCAAGCGATTTTCACGTTCGTGCTGCCAGTCATCAAGTTTTCTGCCAAGCAGATCACGGCTAGAGTGTCGGCACACATCCAGGACTTCCTGGGAGTAACGATCGTGTTTTCGGTGGACGTCTTCAACGTTCTCTACGTGGCCATTTGCATGCAAACCGCTCGATCTTTGCTCACGACGGTGCTGCTCATGTCCTTCGACACACTCCACAACATTCTAGCGCTTCGCGCAATTTATCACCACACGAAAACCAGCAAAACTGACTCTGAGCTCGGCCACTCCAACTGCGTAGAGAAGGTGGTATCGATGCTAGAAGCGCTCAACCCGCAAACGGGGTCCTATTCTGGAGTGATTCGCGTATTTGGACCCTACAAACTTCCACTGTCGGCTCAAAGTAAGACTCTGCTCGACACTCTTGAACAGAAGCTGCGTGTCCAAAACGTAGCGAATACCGCAACGAAATCCGTAACAACTCGCTCGATACGAAGCTTTTCAGCACGAGGCATCGGCCCGCGTATTCAACAAGTTTCGCCTCTCAGTTTCGGGCAGTCGTCAAGGTTTGCGATTAAAGCAGATTTTCTGCCTAGTTCCAATTGGAGTGCAGTCGTTGTCCCTGAGCCTTTGAGACGTAGTTCAGGGCCGCGGAGCTGTCAACACACGACGGCACAACGTCCATCCCAACGCGCGAGGAGGCCACGCCGAACAAACATTACGCGAACGAGTGAGGAAGAAGCGATTGCAGAGAGGCTGCAGGTTCTCTTCCATTGCGAGTACGTCATCTTAACCGAGTATGTCGAGTGCACACTGCCGATATTTTATGCAGTCTATCTCGCTGGGCTTTACCACCTGCCGACTGCAGCCTACTACCCCTTTACCAGATCGATGACCCCAGCCAAAATGGCGTCGACGCTCGTCCAGCTTGTCATCTACGGATTTTTCGAGTTTGGATCTTTGGTGGGGGTGTACTTGCTGCTCAAGCAGCGCATGGGCTTTTCCCCAGCCTACCAACTTGCGTTTGTGCTAGAGACGCACGTGGTGCTGCTCCAGAGTCTGCTTTTCATTTGGATCATCTTTATTGCACAGCTTTCACTGGTTCATGGAGGTACGCAGTTGAATAAGCGGAAAGGGCTGCAAGTTTCGATTCGCTGATGTTTTTGTCTATTGTGCAGGTGTAGATTTTGATGCCCCATTTAAATAATTAGAGGCAAAATGCACACTTGGCAGTCAACAAGGTAAAAACCGACAAGGAGTTTCTACTTCTGTAGTTAATATTTGTCTTGGGCTACGAATAGCAACGAGATCTACTATATATATTGAACTGGACAGTGTCGTCACGAAGACCGCAGAGGCAATTGCCTATTGCCGTCTTCCAGTGCTCAATGCGAAAGGACCCAGTGCCACGATGGTCCACCAGCGAAAAATCCAGCCGTTTGAGGTATCTTCCTTGCCGACTACAGATCGAGAAGGCCCCGTGCAAGTGTTCTTGGAAACGTACCGAGAGTGGGTAGTGCTTTGGTATCGCAGTCAGATCGGGAACAGGCAGCATTATTCTGTCGAGCGCATGCTGGCGTTCCGAGACTACCACGATCGCACTTGGCTCGCTCGTGTCGTTGGTGTCTGCGTTTTGTATCCAATCCCAGCGTTCCTCGTTATTTTCCTGATCGAGTGCATCCCGCTGGCAGACCCCGCTGACGGGTGGGCGGCCAACTGGACATTGTGGATTCGCATGCTTATTTCTGCTTTCGTGGTCTCGCTTGGTTTGCTATTCCAATTCAAAGCTGCGATTGAACCCGGAGTTATCTCAAAGTCGCGGACTATCGGGGTTGCTATTGCCGCTGCAATTTTCTACACAGGCCTCTCGCTCGGACTTGCGGTTACTTGGAAATTTCCGATTCCGTTCGGTTTAGTCGTGTTGGCGCTTCCGTACGAGAGCTTCATCAATGGATTATTCCTTTTCAGTATTGGATTCTATGCTATAATGGAGAATGCGAAGCTGCGGGGCCAGGTTTAAGCCCACTTTCCTGTAGCAGCTGCGCAACTCTTGCTGGTAGCTGTGTATCCTCTTTTCAGCGCTGTGTTTGTTCATCTGTCAGCGTCCCAGCAAGCTCTGTTTGTCATGGTGTTGCCCACGCTGAAGTTTGTGCTGAAGCAGATGATTGCTCGTGTTTCCACGCATTTACACGAGCGAGTCGGGAGTCTCATCGTGTTCACCGTCGACGTCTTCAACGTCATCTATGTCTCCGTGTGCATGCAGACAGCGCAGTCGGTGCTCACAACCATTTTGCTCATGGCTTCCGACGTTTTCCACATTCTGCTGGCGCTCAGGACCATTTACTACGACACCAGCGCTATTCACGAGTACCGACTGCGGGCCAGTGTGATCTGGAAATTGAGATATCCAATCAACTACCTGGAAGGAATGCCGGCCATGCTGCGGTCGGCAATTGACGAGGCGCGGATATCAAAGGCTCCGCCATCCGAGGCGATTCGCGCATATGCGCCATATAAACTCTCCGTGTCATCCGAAAGTACGCTCTTCTTGACAGAATTGGCGGAAAAACGTGGAGAAAAAATGATCACTGCAGAAGTTATCGCTGGATCGAAGAAATCTGGCCCAGCTCTAGCCATGATCCCAGTGCAGGTACATGATTATTCGAGTCTCAAACTTTTTCGATCTCGCGTTGTGTTTGAAAGCCGACAAAATTCCAAGATGCCACCCCAAAACTTCCGGGTCGAGCCGCCCGCCTCAATAACGCGAGCACCTTCGCTACGTAAGAAGTCGTTGAGCGTATCGCATGCGTCGGCTCATTCTCTGGTGATCAATCTACGGCGGGCATCTCTCGTTCCCCTCGGCGCTCCGATCTGTGAGTTAATAACTACCGAGGAAGCAGCCAAAGAGGGGCTGCAGGCGCTCTTCCACTGCGAGTATGTCATTCTAACTGAATACGTCGAGTGCGCGCTGCCATTGCTCTACGCCGTCTACCTCGCTGGGTTGTTCCACGTGCCTACAGCTGCTTACTATCCACATACACGCGACGTATCTGCTGAAAAGATGCAGTCAACGCTGATTCAGCTCGTTGTGTACGGCTCGCTCGAGTTTGGCTCCTTCGTCGGCATCTTCTTCATGTTGAAGCGAAGATTTGGGTACTCGCCGCTTTTCCAGCTGGCTTTCGTGCTGGAGACGGAGGCGATGACGCTGCAAAGTCTACTGTTCGCCTGGGTCGTGTTTGCGCTCCCGCTCACTCTGGTTCATTACGGTAAGTAAAGTGATTTTTTCGGCAGTGCCTAGCTCTGCTGGGGTGCTCATATATGTATTTGTATCTTGCAGGTGTCGACATTACCGCCCTCATAGAGTAGGAGAGTGAAGTTTGGGAACACTCAGATCAAGTGTCAGGAAGGTATAAAGTATCGGTTGGCTTGAGCCAGCTTACGCTCAAATTTGATGAAGGCGGTGAAGGTATGTATACTGCTGTGGCCCATGTTGAATGTGGGTGTGTAGCGCAGCAATGGGCACATGTGAGTCAGAGGGTCTCGGCTGGTATGCGGATGGCACGCGCTCTCCACCAACACGCAAAATTATTTGCACTAGGCGACGAGAACCGTTTCAAGCAAGCCAGGAAAGGTTCAGTGCCTCAGCTCCGATGCGCTGCAATACTCTAGCCCTCCGACTACAAGCTGCCGGCTGGATCCGCTCATATAAATGTAGCCATTTGCTGCCTCGTTCTACTTTTTAGGTTCTATTTTTTGGTAGTCGCACGGATGTCTCGGCTTGCTCTGTTGGTGAGTGCGGGGGGGCAAGCCCGAAGATGCAGGCCAATGGTGTCAGCCGCTGGATGGGGCGACGAAGCTCTGGCAGAGAGAAGGAGAGCAGTTGCAGTCGGCGGGAAGGCGTTAAAAGGCGCCAAAGTTTGGCTGCTGGCCTTTCAGACGGGTGGAGCGCGCGTGTCCGGCGCAGCGCAAACACATTTGCCAACCAACCGCTTCCTGCGGCGCCTGTGGTCGGAGCCGGGAGCGCGCTCTCAAGCCAGATTTAGGTGGTGGCAGCTCGTGAATCATGCGCGCGCACCGTCTGAGCCCTTCTTCCACTCTCTCTTTCCTGCGGCTGAAACGGATACGGCTCTAGATACGCGCAGCTCTTCTAGCTCCACAACGTCCGCCGTAGCGTGACGTTCGCGTCCCAGCTCACAATCGATTCTGCGGCCAACATCCGACAACCCGCAACAGACTTGAGCCATGTCCACCTCGCACCTCCGATTCCGACGAAAGCTCGGCGACGCGCTCTACGGAGAAGTCATGGAGTGCGAGCTCCACCACTCCGCGCCGCACTACCCGAACCTTCCCCCGAATGATCCACTCGGCGCTCCTGGAGCGCCGAGTCGCCCACCTGCTCGCCTCCAGCGGCGGCCACCGCAACGTCGTGGCCTCCTACTTCCACTTCCAGGAGCACCAGTGCCTCTACCTCGTCGGCGAGTTCTGCAACGACGGAGACCTGTACACGCACCTCACCTCGCACACGCGCAACGGCGTCATGGACGAGCAAAGCTCCGTCCACGTCATGACGCAGATCTTCCACGGCGTCGACTACCTGCACCGCGTGCTCGGCATCGCGCACCGAGACCTGTCGCTCGAGAACGTGCTGCTGCACGACGGCGAGTGCAAGATCTCGGACTTCGGCCTGTCGGTGGACGCCGCGACGCGCTGCAAGGCCCGCGTGGGCAAGGAGTACTACATGGCGCCGGAGGTGGTGGCAGGCAAGACGAACGACCCAGTGAAGGCGGACATTTGGTCGCTGGGCATCATGTGGTTCATCCTGCTCACGGGCTCCCCACTCTGTTGTGAAGTGCGCTCGATCCTGTATGGATGCACACCGCACGGGAAAATGAAGACTGAATATATTGATGTTAGCTGCTCATCTCTCTCGAGCTCCTTCCAACCGTCGTTGACTAGCTCCTCAACTTCCTGTGCTTGACTGTCTTGGTTTCTGGCCAGTTCATTGCAGACCCATGAGCGCTTGACCGTCGCTGGCTGCGACTCCAGCTGGCGACTCCTTCGCCGCTCTTCGCCGTGACTCCGATATGTATTCCAACACGCCTCCCACGAAGCTGAGGCTTCGTACCATGGCCATCTCCGAGTCGAACTAGCTCTCGTAAGCGTCACCAACGCTGATTAGCCCGAGCAACTCCTTGAGGCGTTTCTTGTCAAGTGGCTTCGTGAAGGTGTCTGCTGGATTCACCTCTCCTCGCACTTTGTGCAAGTCAATTGCACCCTTCTGCACCTGTTCCCGAACGAAGTGCCAGCGCAGCTCGATGTGGCGTGTTCGACGGCTGTATGTCGGATCCGTAGCCATTACGTGAGCTGCCTGATTATCAATTCCGATGCGAAGCCGCACCTCACGATGCGGAAGCATCTCCTGGAGGATGTTACTTTCTGCCACAGCCTCCATAGTCGCCTCACACGCGGCAACGTATTCGGCCTCGGCCGTCGATAGAGCAACGATAGACTGGCGCCTGGACATCCAGGAAACTGCACCACCAGCCAGCACAAACACGAAACCCGTCGTGCTGCGTCGAGTGTCTGGGTCGTTGGCCCAATCGCTGTCGCAGAACCCTTCCAACACTACGTTCTGTGATCCTTGTGCTCGCCGCTCATACGTAATTCCATAACTTTGCGTACCAGCCAGGTAACGCAGCGTCCTCTTCAACGTTCCGACATGCTTCGCTGAGGGCTTGGCTACAAATCGACTCAACTGTCCGAGCGTAAATGCCAAATCCGGCCTCGTGCACGTTGCGAGATACATCAACATGCCGACGCCCTCTCGATAGGCGAAGCTGGTGTCACACTCCTCACCTTCTGTCAGCGCTACAAGTCGAGTATTTACCTCCATGGGATTGCCCACAGGATGCGCGTCTTCGTATCCAAATTTCTCGAGAATCTCACGACAGTACTTGAACTGCCTGATAGTGATACTGTGCGCAGACTGCTCAACTTCGACTCCAAGGTATTGAGTCAGCAACCCCTGATCTTTGATTCCGTACTCGCTGTCCAGCTCTGCAAAGAGCTCCAGCTTGATCTTCTCGCTGTTCGTCGCTACAAGTATGTCGTCAACATACACCAGTACGTAGGCGATCGCTCCGTCCTCAAACCAGTAGTACAAGCACGGTTCGGTTAGCGAGCGTTGGTATCCTCGACGCAGTAGCCACTCATTCAATTCTGTATTCCACTCTCGGCCAGACTGTCGAAGTCCATAGAGAGCTTTGAGCACCACATACTTGTGTCCAGGTACACGACACGGATACCCCTCAATCGAACTTAGGTACTGACGGATGCCCAGTGGTGCGTTCAAGTAGGCAGTGTTGACATCACCACCGTAAACTTGCAGATTTAACTCTGCTGCCAGCGCCAGAAGCAGCCTGAACGATGACATCCTTGCCACCGGTGCAAACGTCTCGCGGAAGTCGATCCCTGGTCGCTGATGGTTCCCGAGAGCCACGATGCGCGCCTTGAACCTGATCACAAAGCCCTGTTGATCAGCTTTGATTGAATAGACCCACATCGTGTTGATGGTCTTCGCATCTTCTGGAACCTCGGTGCTTGGTATCTCTTCGATGACCCCTTTTGCCTCCAGTGCCGCGACCTCCTCCATCTCCCCCATGAGCCAGAACTCTGCGAACTTCGACCTCACGGCCCTGCGATGGTTATGAGGGATGATGACATCACTGGCTCGTATTGGCTTGCCGTTCTTGTCGAGCACGCGCGCGGTTTTCTGCAAGACGTTCACCACGTAGTCGTCCAGATACTGTGGACGTCGGCGCTCGTGGGCTTCGCGAAGGCCTGTGCGTTTGCGCTTCGTTTCCATTTTGTCAGCGCTGCGCTCAACGCGCTCCTCTTTAGATGGGGTTTCGTCACGATGGGTACGTTTACCCGTTTGCTGTGGTTGCTGCACATTTGCACTAACTTCATGGTGAGCATCTTCGTGTTCTGCTCCAGTGCCAGCGAGAAGTACGTCTTCGTGCCTGACCCCACGGTCGACACCTACAGTACTAGCCACCGTAATATCCTCATCGCCCTCTGCTAAGTCGTCTTCGCGGTCAATATCAGCATCTCGTCCATCCAATGCAGACCCATACTCCCCGACAAGTGAATCGGACCCATCACATGACTCGGCATCGTTTCGTTGCGAGGACCAACTCTCATACGAGGGTAGCGGGGATTGCGGTAATGGTATCTGAGCAGGTAATGGGATCTGTGAGTGAGGGCTTTCACACTCATCGGCTAATCCAGGTTCTTCTGTGCTGCGGTTCCTCGCTGCTAACAGTACACTAGATGCCGAATTCTCTGCTCGTGGAACGCTAGAGGATAGCGATACGACGTGGGAACCACTCCGTGCAGGCTTTGGTAATTCGCTTGGCAACACTGCCGTTATACCTTCCACCTCAGAGCCGTTCACAGCACTTCCTGCTTCGCCACTGACGTCAGCATCGTTTCCCAGACCAGCTTCAGTGTCACCTTCGTTATCCAGCGCAGCGTCAGTGTCGTTTTCAGCGTTGTTCTTCTCTTTCGACTCACTTTCATCACCTCCCACAAGACTATTGGTGTTGATTGACACCTTTGGCTTGTCTTGATGAGTCGCTCCAGCCTGAACTACGCTTCCTTCGCGCAAAGGGCTAGGCCTCAACGCCGCAGTTGCAGTCGGCATACTCTCGTCGCTGGTGGCAGAAGCTGCATTGTCAGTGCCACTTAATACATTTGATGCTCTCTCGAAGTGCAAGGACTCAAGATCGTCCTCAGCACTCAAGCTAGCTGCGTGTCGGTCACGATACATCACATTTTCTGCCACTCGAATATCCACCACAAACTTCGCGGTGTGTTCACTCGGGAAGTACACTTTGCAACCGACGACATCTTCTGCATAACCCAACACGAATCCCAACTTCGCGTTTGCATCGTGCTTGCGTCATCCCGGCGCAACCGGAACGTGGACATACGCCAAAGCCCCAAACGTGCGGACGTGATGGAGATCAGGTTTAACTCCAAACATTTGCTCATACGGGATGGCCTGTGTGCCTTTGTTGAAGACTCTGTTCTTGATGTAGACAGCGTTGCGAAGTGCTTCCGGCCACAATGCTCGTGGGAATCCCGCGTGGTGCATCATCGCTTTAGTCATCTCCACTAAGGACTGGTGGGTGCGCTCACAAAGATTTAGCTGAGAACTCTTAGGGCCGACTTTGATGTGCTCAATTCCTTTGCTGGCATACCACTTCTCTATTTCCGAGTTCACGAACTCGCCTCCCTTGTCGGTAAGCATCTGCTGCACAAGATACTTAACTTTCACTCCTTCCCCATTGTTCTCACGGCGCCCAGCCTGTCTTTCAGCCCACAGCACGTACTCTTTGATGTGGTCATTTACCACGTCGCTCGATTTCCCAGTCAGCATGTGCACTGTGACGAATCTCGAGAATCCATCCATGATCACCAGCACTGCCTCATATCGAGTCCCGTTTCCCTGACTTGGGATGAGAAGGTCTGCATAGACCACTTGATTTGGTTTGAACGTCTCGCGGTCGAGCTTCTTCCAGTGCGCCTGCTTCTTTTGTTTACCAACGTGGCAAGCATCACACGTTTCTTGCTGGCGCTCGGTCAGCATCATGCCGCGCACTCCACCATTGTCTTTAGGTACTGTTGACATGTATGGCCGAGTCTGCGGTGCCAAGTGGTCAATGAAGCCACTCCCTCGGCTGCAGTAAAGTTGCATAGTGCCACAGTTTCCAGCTTGGACACACGATCCTTCGTAGCACGCGTGGCGCAGAACCCCCATGTTGCATCTTGTGGCGTGGCAATGGCTACAAGTTGTCCATCCAGTAGTACATGAAAGCTCTGTGTTGCACGATCCAAGTCGAGTTCGAAGCCTTGTTCACACGCAAGCCCTGGTGAGAAGAGTCCGCTGTCTGCGCCTGGTACGTAGAGAACGTCATCGATGTAAACTACCATTTGAGTTCCGTCCACTTCCGTAACCAGCGCCACCGTTCCCACTCCAGAAACCCGAGAAGCCAGACTCGGAGTTACTCCACGGATACTTTGGCTTCCATGAGTGTCCTCTTTGAAGGATATGTAGTTCGCGCGATCACCAGTCACGTGCGCATTTGACGCAGTATCGAAATACCACCACTGCTCGCTGCTGCTTTGGTCAGCCACTTGGGGTTCACTAACCACTCCCACTTCCTGGTCAAGGTCACCTACGGGAAGTGGATGGTTATCAGGTTCAGCCGTCGCAGCGGCTGTGTTTGACCGAGCTTCCAGTGCACCCGCCACGACTCCTGCTTCTTCAATGCACTTGGTGTCTGGAGGCGCACTAAGTTTCTGGCGAATTGTGCAGTTGCCTCGCGGCTTTCGCTTCTGCTCGATCTCTTTGGCATCAGCGCCGCTCTGTTTCTTCGCGTTCTCCGGGCAGTAGCCCTCAGGTGCTCCGTGCTACCACAGGTGTAGCACTTTCGAGGCTGCTTGTAGCTCGAATGTCCTTGCTGGTGGGTATCACCACGACCTCTGCCCCCATTCTTGAGACCACCACTCTTCTGGTGCTCGCGCTTTCCCCCACCTCGCTTGCTCCTGAACTCGTTTTTCTCGAAGCTGCAGCTCGAATCAGTTCACGAACCTTGGTGTGTGTGTGTGTACACACTTGTGTCTGCACAATAGCGAATGGACGCCTTCAACGTCTCAAACTCGGCTTGTTCTGGCAAGCTCTCCAAGAGCATCTCCACCATGTCGATGTCGTCGACGGTGTACTGCAAGCTGGCCAGCTCCGTTCGAACGTTGAACATTTTGCACAGGTGCAGGTTTGCATCACCACCGGGGGTGAGCTTCATACTCCAGAGCTCATCCACCAAGCGACGTATATTGTGCACCTTTACTGTCTTGTTGATCTTGTTCTCGAACAAGTCGCACAATGCATCCCACATGTCGGAACCTGTGTCCTTGTCCCAAATTTGATGCAGGATCTCTGACGGTACCGACGTACCGATCATCCTCATGATCTTGTTCTGCTTCTTAGTGAAGTCCGCCTCCTTGTCATGGTCGCCCTTGCACTCCACGATCTCGAGCAGCTCGTTCTCCCCGAAGACGGCCGTCATGGCCCACTTGTACGTCTGCCAGTCCTTCCCATCCCAGTTCTTGGGAATGCCTTCTGCGGTGTATTTCATCGGTTTCGCCATCTTAGGACCCTTAGCAGTGGCGCGTTCCGCCAGGAAGTTCCGTAAGTTGGGCTCAGTACCCTGTTGTGAAGTGCACTCGATCCTGTATGGGTGCACACCGCACGGGAAAATGAAGACTGAATATATTGATGTTAGCTGCTCATCTCTCTCGAGCTCCTTCCAACCGTACGGGCGAAGCCCGCCGACTCATGCAACGGCTATATCTGCGTTGACTAGCTCCTCAACTTCCTGTGCTTAACTGTCTTGGTTTCTGGCCAGTTCATTGCAGACCCATGAGCGCTTGACCGTCGCTGGCTGCGACTCCAGCTGGCGACTCCTTCGCCGCTCTTCGCCGTGACTCCGATATGTATTCCAACACACTCATCTCGGTCGCCTCAGAACGCAACAAAGCTTTCGTGGCGTTGGCTCAGTGTGGGGTCACAGCCGTCTTCGAGTCGTGGAAGGTCTGTGACAAGCTGTCGGTGGAAGTCATGGACCTCATCTCGAAGATGCTGAGTATTGACCCTAGCGAGAGGGTTTCTCTTGAAGAGATCTTCGAGCACCCGTGTCTGAAGACTGGACGCGCATGCTAGCCCAAACTATCGGCATACTTGCATATAACGATGTAAATGGCAAGACGCCACTATCAATTTTAAGCTTAAAAATAATTAAACTTTATAATTGTTGACTAACAGTAACCTCAGCGATGATAATTTATCGGTAGATGGTCGACCGTAGTCGATTGATACTAATCTTTGCAAGTTGGTTGTGTGTTTGTCGGCGGTGGGGTGGATTATGGAGTGGACCAAGACCGGTTTAAGTGGCCTTCTATTTGAGCTTAATTAACTGACCTATAGAAGCCTTGATATGTAGTGAGTGGAGTGGACCAAGACCGTCATCATGGAACTGTAATAATGTGCTCCTAGTTCCGCGTCTTCGAGTTCAGCAACTTTCTGTGGATACCTGCCACCTTCTCGCTCTACGAGCTGACAGGGATGAGTAAGCCAGGGCTTTAGCGGCGTGAGCGATGGAGTTTCTTCGCCTAGATTGTTTTGATTGGGAGAGGGAACTAACAGGGCCATATTTGATTTCCGATGCCAACAGAAACGCAACTCGTTGTGGTTGGCGAAATAGTGAAATTGGAGGGTGCAGTCTGTCCATTCTATCGGGTGTTGGTAATTAAGCGCGGCTAGATCCGCGATAACAGTTGCCACTGTTTTCTTCGTCCTACGTTCTGGCTGCACAGTCACTGTCCAGCCAAACGAAGGTGTCATGATTCGCTAGTGTTCACTTCAACTTCATCCTCCAATCGGATCCGAACCATGGGAACGCCGGCCAGTTCAACCTGCCAGCGGATCTTTAGGAGCTAGTCGGCTTCGAGACAGATAAACTCAGTTGAATTCGACCACCAGTATCATCAGTATTGCAATCGACCAGAGCTCAGTCGTGATCCCCCGCACAACTGGTCAGCTCGTTTTCTGAGGATTCCCGAGCAGTGCTAACCCCAACGCGTGTGTGCCTTACACGTTCTCGAGCGCGCGTCATCGACGAAACACTGACAGGAATAAGCGAGCAACGCTGTCGCCACCAAAGCCGGAGCAGACAGAGAAATCGAATTCCCTAGCTGTGACGCCGCCAACGTCGCAACTACAGCTCAACACCGCGGTAGGTGCTGGTGAATGAATATGTGGCTCGTGTGGCCCAGCGCTGCGTGCTCAGCGGGAATATACTAGCCGACTTGGTTGATGCGTAGCTGACATCTTCCTCGACTGCACTCAGGACAAGCAATTGACTGTGTAGCTAACATCTCAGCAATACGAAAGGTGCGGCTCTCAGAGGCTGGTAGGCTGGAAGGAAGCGCGTTCATATCGCAGTTCATGCCAGGATTCCACCGGCGCTTATCGAAACCACTGCCGTATCCATCAAAAAGGACGAGTTGCGAAATCGCAATCTCCATCCGTTTATTTCCCGAGCGCATGCACGGTCCGACGTATTCGTCGCTCACAACCGATTCCGCTGCTTCTAGTGAACGTTGATCAACTCCTTGGTAGGTCCTATTCGCAATGTCCACCTCGCACCTCCGATTCCGACGAAAGCTCGGCGACGCGCTCTACGGAGAAGTCATGGAGTGCGAGCTCCACCACTCCGCGCCGCACTACCCGAACCTTCCCCCGAATGATCCACTCGGCGCTCCAGGAGCGCCGAGTCGCCCACCTGCTCGCCTCCAGCGGCGGCCACCGCAACGTCGTGGCCTCCTACTTCCACTTCCAGGAGCACCAGTGCCTCTACCTCGTCGGCGAGTTCTGCAACGACGGAGACCTGTACACGCACCTCACCTCGCACACGCGCAACGGCGTCATGGACGAGCAAAGCTCCGTCCACGTCATGACGCAGATCTTCCACGGCATCGACTACCTGCACCGCGTGCTCGGCATCGCGCACCGAGACCTGTCGCTCGAGAACGTGCTGCTGCACGACGGCGAGTGCAAGATCTCGGACTTCGGCCTGTCGGTGGACGCCGCGACGCGCTGCAAGGCCCGCGTGGGCAAGGAGTACTACATGGCGCCGGAGGTGGTGGCAGGCAAGACAAACGACCCACATTTGGTCATTTGGTCGCTGGGCGTCATGTGGTTCATCCTGCTCACAGGCACCCCTCTGGTTCCGCTCGCTTCTCCGAAGGTTGACTCGTTCCTCGCGTTTCAACGCTGTGGCCTCACCATCGTCTTCGAATCCTGGGGACTCGCTTCAAAGTTGTCGCCGTGGGCTGTCGACCTCCTGTCTCGAATGTTGACTGTTAACCCGAGCAAGCGGATCTCGCTCAAGGAGATCTTAACTCGCCTCTCATCTCAGTAATCACCATTGTCAGATATCTTCTCAATAATAATGTTGTATGTCAATTGGCGTTTTCCGTTCGTTGTCGACGCATTTGATTCAAATGTCAAGGAATGACGCTTTGAACGTATCGCCCGCTCTGCGTTACAAGGGCGAACCATTCGTTTGTTTTCTCGCTTTGTTCACAGTGCAGCGTCACCAAGTCGTGGACCTCCCTCACCATGGTCGCGGTGCCGCAAACGTACAAGCGCGATTCGTGGGAGCTAGCCATGAGCGAGGAGATCTGCTGCCAGTGCTGGTCGACCAGGTTCTGGACCACCTTGTGAGGTTTGTCGGCATCGTCGTGGAAAGCAACGCGCAGATCAATCACGCCTTTCTTCTTCAGATCCAGGAGCTCGGACTCGAACAGCAGCGAGTCTTGGTTCGAGCATCCGAGAAGAACCAGATTCTTGGCATGTGAGTGGTGGTGCGACGACTTCCTCGATAGCAGTGAGGAGAAGGAGGAAAACCGATCAGTTTCGAGCTGCCGCTGCATGAGCAGCGCTCGGAAAGGGACGATACCGACCCCTTCGGCGATCATCAACATCGGCGCAGACCGATCGGATGGCGTAGAGAAGGCCGACTCGGAGAAGAAGCCGCGCAGAAGTGGCGTCGCGGGCGTGAAGACGTTCGTCTCCTTGAGGTGCTCGTGCGATATGGGTCTTGTGAATAAATACTGCCAATTCGATAGCACGAGACCGTCGGTGTCGTCATAATCTCCTACTGGCACGACGATTTCGAACTCGCCTGCGCTTTGGACAGGGGATGTGGCGATCAAATGGAAGCGGGGTTTGATCAGAGGCGTGATGTTTATCAGCACTTCGAACGGAATGCGTAGACTTGGCGCAAGCTCCAATATCTTTAGGACACCGCCTTTCTCGAGCGTAAAGTGCCGTCTGAACGCAGCCGCTCCGTCTGTAGACGACAGCATCTCGAGCAATTCGTGCTCCTTGGGGACCGTCACGAAGCCTGAGGCTAGTCGGACGAACTCTCGCGATACCGTCCGTAACTCGAGAAAGTTTCTTAGTAATGTTCGGACAGTGCAAATACGCGGGAACGGAAGCGCTTCTCCTGCTTGCTGCACGAGCGCAGTCATTGAGACGTCGGGGTCTTTGCTTTGCACTAAAATCTCGATGTATGCATCCAGATCAAACCCGAGCAACCGGGCGATACTATCGACAATTTCTGGCGCGTTGGGAGGGAAGAAGCCGAACGAATCCGCTGCCTCGAAGGTGACTGCCGAGTCTTCAATCGACAGACGGAGAAGAGCCAAACGCTTGAAGTCTTCAACCCCCGAATGAGGCAATATAGACAGCGTTTTCAATCGGAACCACGACTGATGAACACTGTCACCGCCTTGTCTTCCACCTGTGCCCGTGTAGCTGAAGTTGTCTGGTAGGAAGCTGGCCTTCCGAGCTTCTTCGGAGCGTTCGTTAGCCAAAAATCGGCAGCGAAAGCGCAGTCGAACGGGGCGGCCGTCCAGATCCAACACGGTCAGCGTCAATGGAGCAACTGGTTGGTCTTCAAAGTATTCGCGCATCGAAGCGCCTTGGCGTCCGGAGCTTCGGGCGGTTGCGCTGCTGCTTCTCCTCAAAATGGACCCTCGGCGCTGCTGCTGGCGCCCCTGTGATCGAGTCGCGAGCGACGGTCCTGATGGGACGCTGGAGACGCTAAACCTGCGAGGGGTGGTCAACTGGGCTGCACTTCCTGCACTAATTAGAGGTCGAGGAGCGACTTTCTTGGCCGACGCGGCCATGGGAGGGACGCTATCACCAAGTTCAGCCGAGTAATGCGCCAGTTGTTGAAGCAGTTGAGCCTCCCACTTGGCAAACGTAGCTGAAATATCGTTCGAGACGTCACCGAGTCCTAGTGGACACAGTCGCGTCGCGCCCAGAGCATGCAACCGCGCGTCGATCAGCTTCCCCATGGCGTTGTAAGTGAGGTACGTGGAGTTGCCCACCCCGAAAACCGCGTACTGGAGGCGAGCGAAGGCTTTTTTGCGCTTGTTCCGGAACAAATGCCGCCAATTGAGGTTGAAGCCTGAATGGGACGAGTGCGGCACGTTTGAGCGGGATGATGAGGCTGGTGCTGTTGATGACGAGTGCGAGAAGCTCGAGCGTGACGAAGTCGCAGCTGTGGGGGAAGACATGGGGCTGACACGGTTGGAGCGTGTAGCTGGTCCTCCTCCTCCTGGGACGACGGCGGTCATCGGAGTAGTAGAATCTCCGTCGGGAGAAGAAGACACTATGGGGTCTGCAGTGGGTCCTTTGCTAGAGTCGGTAGCCGCACGCAGCCACTGCACGAACATTTCAGCATTGGGTGCTGGGCCTGCGTAGTGGGTCGACACCACGAAGACTGTAGCGCGGGAAGGCGAGTAGTACGAGTCCAGTTCGTCGTCGTCAAAGTGGGTCGGGTCGAACTCGTTCATCTCCTTCAGCAATACAACGACTCCACGCTTCGAGGCCTTGTTAGCGAGATCAGACGCCAGCTCCTTGGCTGTTCCTGTACGAGATCCGAAGAAAACGTCGAGGTGGGTCATGTTGGAAGCGGCGACTTGGTGAGTCCACCAGAACCGCCGCCGACGGGGAGCTGAGGTCTCCGAGCTGTCATCACCGCTGCCCATTGTATGGATGAGAGGCACTATTCAGCAAGTTTAGCGCTGAGCTGTTTCTGGCAGGAGCCTCAAGTGAGCGATTGCGAACCAGACAGCCTACATACACTAAAGATAGGATCTAGTCTCGCTAGTGTTTCTCGAAATCAGATTTATCCTTTGTCTAGCCAGTCAGCTACGGATAGGGGCAGTGGAACGTCAACCATCGCCATAAAGAAGGACGAATACTAGAAGCATTCCCTTATTTAAAAATAATGTCAATACACTTACGACAATATTTTGTACGGGCCATTGTATTATTATGTTGCATAGATACTCCTAATAGGGGGAGTCGAACATCTCAAAAACGCCAAAAATAATGAGCAAAACCGAGCCAGAATTCTGAGCAGTAAAGTGTCGAAAAGATGTCGATCCCTCCATTTTTCGGACTTAGTCGAGTGGAGGGAACTTTTCCGCCATCTGACCCACTACAGATCCCGACCAGTTTCTTCAACAAATGCTGGTGTGTAACTTTGTAGGGAATACTGATTATGCAATAGACATGCGATACCAAAGTGCATACTGAGAACAAGGTAATTTGATGTAGCCCTTTCTAACAGCATTGAATAGCTAGAGCGTGTATCACAGGATATTGTCTATAAGGATAATTTGGAGGTATTTGTGGAGGAGGGAACAAAGAAGGGAATTGCTTATCTCTGAAACTAGGGCTCCGCGAAGGCTGGGATAGGATGTTTTTGGTATAATCGCTTTCTATTATTATGAGGTTTTTTACGAACCACGGGCATCTCCTGCGCCTGCTTCGCAGCCGCAGCGTCTGCCCGGTAATTCACCTCAAAACTGTAGATAGTGCTTATACACAGTGATAAAACGAACCTTGCTCGAGATCCGTTTGTAGCTTGTAGAAAGTGAAAATGTTTACCCTTGTATGCTTCTGCAGCAGTTCGTCCATCATTCACTTTACTTCACTCCTACTATTCGATATATGCTACTGACTCATACCGGTTCAATCTGCCCACGCATATAAACCTTTTGGAGGGCCCAGTGCAGCACCGCGGCCGTACCGGTGTAATGGGTTTTCTACCAGTTCAGCTTGCCCACGCATATAAACCTTTTGGAGGGCCCACCGGGGCCACACCGGTTTCAGGACAATGTACCAGTTAGGTGTCAAGAGCGGTCACCTTTTGACTCAGCGTACCACGGATATAATCATGTTTGGTCTGCGATAGCAGCACTAACGTTGCTTCCTATCCCAGTATAAGCAGCTCATTTCAGAGATAAGCCACCTCCGGAGGCGGCTTGTTTCAGAGTTAAGCAAAACGCTGTCGAGATTGTGAGCACGGCCAAGCTCAAAACTTGAGCACGTTTTTGGCAATGTTCGACTCCCCCCTAATATCATATTAAAGCTTTCGCATGACGCAAAATTATCATAGATCACAAAAAGCACCCGCCAAAAGTGCAATATTCTTTATTTTAAGTTACAACATACAATATTCATTTTTAATAAGAGACCGCGTCAAAAGAAATGATGCTTACGAACCTAAGTATTGTGCCTTTCGGTCATTTTGTCGAGTCCTACGTAGGGCTTTGGAGGTCAGTTAATCTGAGGTTGGAGGTCTATAAATCTGAGATGCAAATCTCGGACGTGTCCGATGAGCGGTCTCCCGGAGTCTCTCCGTTCAATGGACTCCGGTTGGAGTCCAAGCCAAGCAAGTTTTGTTTAGGGAAGCAAGCAATGCCGGAACCCGCGAAGGCGAAGAGCGAAGACTGGAGTGTTTAACGTATCGACTGCATCGTGTTTCCCTAAGTTTATTCTGCGTTTGACATACGCCGTATTAGAGTCAGCTCGTATGAAAGTCCTGCCACAAGACTTGGCAGGAGTCCTTCGTAAGACCTCAAACCCCGAATGCCGTGAAAATGGGCGACATTCGGGCTTTCGGCTGTTTGTAGGACCTGCGCAAGTGCTTCCATCGGACTACACCTTTTCAACTTCAAAACGGCAAATTGTAAGTTCAAAACAGCAAAACGTAAAGTCAAAACTGCAGACCTTGCGAAAATCATAATCGAAGCTGTATCGCCTTTGACGGGGAATACTCGGGTACGGTGGGTGGCGCGAAGTGCTTCGCGCCAAAACTAATGGACCGAGACGCTTTCTGTACTTGTGCCGATGCAGTGCCTCGGGCTCCAGTCTCCCATTCTGCAATTTGCGCCCCCACAGCACAGTCTCCCCCAACACGCCCACCACACCGCAGCGCTATGATCTACGACGACGACACTATTCTGCGCGTTCTCCGCGCCGCCCGTGCCGGCCAAGACCGGCAGGATGTGGCTGCCAAGAACGACGTCAGCATGCGCACCGCGTACAAGTGGGTCTCCGCCGCGCGGGACAACGATACGTGGAATGTGTCGCCGCGTAAACCGCGTGGTGGGAGGCGCAACGCGAAGGTTTCCGACACCCACGTGGACTACCTACTAGGCCTACTGGACGAGAACTGCTACCTGACCCTAAACGAGATGGTCGACGCGCTAGAAGCTCAGTTTGGGCTACACGTATCGCGCCAAACCGTCAAGCACCACATCGGCGGCCGCATGTACACGGTGAAGCAAACGCATCAAGACAACGACTACCGCAACCTGCCCCACAACAAGATCCTTCGACGCGACTACGTAGTCAACCTGATTGCCTACAAAGCTGAAGGTAAGAAAATATTTTATGTTGACGAAACTAACTTTAACTTGTGGTGTTCTCGTCGACGTGGCCGCAGCTTGAAAGGCAAGCGTGCTGTCGATAAGAACACCGCGAGCAAAGGGTCAAACATCCACGTCATTGCGTGCATCTCTGAGGACGGGTTGGCGTACTCGGAGAAGCGCTTTGGCTCCTATACGTCGGACGAGTGCAACAAGTTCATTCGGCGGCTGCTGAGGCACATCGGTCAGACCACGCCCCTCGACAACATCGTGCCCGTCTGTGATAATGCGCCCTGTCACACAAGCATCGAGGAGGTGTTCGACGAAGAAGAGTTCGCACCCGCCAAGCTGCTGCGCCTGGGGCCCTACTCGCCAATGCTCAATCCGATTGAGAACTGTTTTTCCACTTTCAAGTCCATGGTCAAGTGCTTCCTGGCGCGCCACCGCCAAGCCATCCTCCAAGTGCCGCCTCATCTCACGATCAAGCAGCACCGCGAAGGGTACCTCAAGATGGCGGCAGATCTACTTGTGGGTGAGGCAATCACTCCCTACATCTGCTACAAGTGCACGTTGCACACGATGAAGTTCCATGCGAGAGCCATGCCAGTTGGCGAGTAACCGCAAAAATAAAATTTCGCGTCAGCGGCTGTTTAGGCTTTGCAGTTTTGACTTTACGTTTTGCTGTTTTGAACTTACAATTTGCCGTTTTGAAGTTGAATAGGTGTAGCAATTCTTGGTCCTAATTCCCTACGAGGGACCTGCTAATCTGCTCCGATAACCTAGCCCCATCTTAGTAGGTAGCTGTTTTACACGTCCGATTCGCCAAAACAACTGAAAAGCACAATACGGATCGCGATTTAACCGCATACATCGACAGGTGTCTTGTGCGTCTTTTAAGCTATTGAGCACTTCAAAATGTTGAGAACTCGTGAAGTGACACCGGTGTAAACAACTTATCTCAATTTCCGGACCCCCCCCCCCAATCCCGGATTTTGTAAGGGGCGTGTGACCTCACTATTTATTCATTTTTTCGTGCTGTACATTATTGGAAAGCTAGTGATAAAAGCAAGCGAATTAACGTAATTTCCGCTTTCTACGAGTGATTTTCACTTTCCAATTTTTAAAGTCCGATTAGGTACGAAATTTGATTGGTCAACTCTAAACGCGATTATCTTTAAAACTCCAAATGGTTCGTAAGCCTCCTTTTGTGTGACGCGGTCTCGTTATATCATATAAAGCACGCGGCATAATGTGTTAGCCTCTCCTCTACAGGCCAAAAGCGTACCGGTAGACAGGATCCACGCATACATGTATGTTTTGGCGAAAATTAGTTTATATGGAAGTTTGTATCGAAGTCCATGTGGTATTCATAAACGGATCTCTGGGATTTCACATAAAAGCAACCACGATTTGTAGTACTTCCACTGCGGCATATCATTTTCGTACTGAAAACTAAGCGAAATCTAACCTGCATCTTTGCTTTGTCTACGAGACCGTTGAACTTCAGGAAACGTAGACAATGAAGTTAGACGCTTCAGCTATCGTACAAACTTTAAAATACTACACAAGTCCCTTTGTAGCTTGCAAAGTCTCATGTTGAAGCTGCGCATACCGGTATCCACATTGGAGAGGAAAGGTTAAGAAAAAACTTATGAAAAGATTAAAATCAATCTGTGCGAAAAGCAGCGACATTTTTTACAATTTTGGTGGTAGCATTTTCACCTCTCTTGGCAAGTGTTTCTTTTTACTTTTGCCATCTGCGGTATTGCAATAGTTGGTGAATACTTGTATTTTTGTGAGAGCCACTTGGAATATCTAGTTAGATAATAAATCCGCCGATTTACTATAACCGACCTCCGAATCAGACTGACATACCTTGATTAATATTCAAAACTAACAGCAAAAGGGACTGGCAGAATCGAGTTATCTGCATCGATTTCAATCTGCTGATCAGCCCATTTAGCCAAAGCCGGTCGATTGGCTTGCTTTTCAGCAGGAATGTTCGACGTGCAACCGGCGTTCAGTCTGCAAGACAACAATCGTTGTAGTTGATATATTAAATTTCAGTGAGCTCGTGGTTTTTTTAGAGCGGTTACGCCTAGACTAGGTATGGATCTATACCCAAATCTGGGTTACAATTACTATGCTAGGACACTTAGGTAGGAAAGAGAGCCGGTAGTTGGCAGGGTCCAAGTCGGATGGGAAGGCGGGATACAAGCTAACATAGTCGAATTTGCTTGGTAACCACACACTTGGCCCTTAGTATCAGGACCAGTATTGGTCCATACGTAAATCAAGTGATTTGCCCCCACACACGTGGCGGACTGCTAGATAGCTTGGCCAGCAGCTCGTGCCCCCCCCCCCATCTCCCTAAGTCCCCGCCATGTTGGAGCAACAGGCTCAAAGTGCTTCAAGTCGATGTCGTCAATTGCAGGCAGGTACCGTAGGCTAGAAACGCAAACTCCAGCAGTGGCAAAGGCCTCTCTCACTCTAAAATATACCTCCTCGGTGAACAACCTACCTCCCCACTGGACTCGCCTCCGCAACAGATTAAGAGGCTTGTCAGCAGCATGACCAAAAGCTCAACGACAGTGCAAGAGAAGCCCAAGTCCATGTTCGGCAAGTAGAAGTTCATCATTCTGACTGCGCTGTAGAATTAAGGTAGCTCGCTCGTGACGCCAGGCACATCCATCGCGCAGAAGCCTGCCGCCACTGGCCCAATACGCAGTGAGAAGGGAGTGCTGTAACTTGACGACAAACAGTCTGCGGGAGTAAACCAGCCTGACGCGGACCAAATCGTACTTGATTTGGACACACACACACACACGGTACTTCCGATACACCGCCCACGCCGGCGGCGTTCAGGGAGACCATGATGGTGTGGTGTAGTTGAACGCACAAAGTTAGTCCTTGCCACAGACACAACAATCGCCAAGCAAGTCGGCGTTTATCGGCCTGAGCTAGGTTGTTCCCAGCGGTTCGGCCCTCCCGGGACAGCAGTGATGGTCCTCGCCAAGGCCAGGCAACCAAGCCAGTCAATTGTCCTTCCGCAAGTCAGCTGAGCTCGCTGACCCCGTTCCCAGAACCCCGTGCTCTCCACTAAAGGATGGACGACGGCGCGCGAGTGCTTTTACGGGTCGTCGAGAGCAACAGCTTCTCGACTGAAAGAGTTACGGCACCCGGGCTGTCCGGCGTACCGGCTCGATGGCTTCGGCGAGACTTGTTCCTAGCGCACTCGGCGGGATTGCTGGGATCCCGGTTAGGAGTACCGTGAATGCTCTCAACTTGAAGCACCACACCGCGGTCAATCTGAGTCACATACTCTTCACCAAGTTTTCGCATGGCACTATACCACAAAGGAGACTCCAGAGGTGGAAGCAGCAGCAGTTTAAGTGACGATGATGCCTTGGAAGAACTTTAAACAGATCATCTGGTCTTTTTTGGTCTCGAGTGACTGAAGGGGCCATAACAGAAACCTAAAAAAAAGTTTAATCACTGAAAACCGGTTTATCATTACATACAGGCGAAATATCTATTAATTAACTTTCGCAGGTCAAATGATTTTTCAATGCCATGCCATAGTAAACCTATTTGTACAACGAGCAGGTCGTGTACCGCAAGACGAAGGAGAAGTTGCTGCTGTCTTCTGATCCGTTGGCGCGAGCAGGTGTCCGCTTTAACGATGCTTTAATTAGGACAATTAATTTTATGAGGTCATCACTAAATTCTGTTGTCCTGTGTCGTTGGTGCGCTGTACACGTACCAAGAGGGGGAACGCTACTGGAGTCCAGCCTGATATGAACTCGATGACTCTCCTACTAAAAACAGGTGTCATCGCTAGAGCAATCGTGAGCAAGAGGTGGCAGATGTTGTGGCTACGATAAAGCGGCCTGCACGAGTAACCGTGGTACAGGACACTGAAGACTGCCAAAATAATAGTGTATCCTGGTTGGGATGTCAGCTCCCAACGCGTCCCTGCGCATGGCACCCATCCCAAACTGCAATAGCATACCCTCGTGGCGAACTCCATGCTAAAATCCATCCTCTAGTGGTCACGAGGACACTGTAGTCAACTTGACCCGTCTTATTTCTAATGTCGTGTTTAAGAATAATTCATTATCAGGACTTAGAGAATTTATAGTTGACGCGCTTTGGCCAGAGATGGTTAGGACCCCACATCAATGAGGGACCCAAACTAAATACACTATATTTCTGATTTGGTTCTGCATGGATTATAGGCGACCCTAACGGGATCAAAATTGCAGGTGACTCGATTAAAACCTTACCGATACATTTGACGTGCCCAGCATCCCCGTAAACGCCGGTAGCCCAGAGTCAAGGTCGCAATCATGGACGACTACCTAGGCGGCATGGCGAAGGACTGGCACGACGAGATGAGGCCTAGACTGATCGAGATGCCGTTCCAAGACTCTGGCGAAGCACTCATCAGGCGTTTCCGCAAACGCACCGACAAGCAGGTCATGACGGAGATCTGCAACGCACGAAAGAAGCCGGAGGACACGCACGAGCAGTTTGCAAATCGCCTCAAGCGCATAGCTAGCCTAGGCCGCCACAGACGCAGACATACCATCGGTGCCTCTCCAAGTGGTTCGAAGGACCGAGCGACACCGTGCGCGGCCAAGGAGCCCCTCAAAGCGATAGTCACGCCGTGTGACTCGTAAGGGCGAGCCCTCTGCTCGGCGACGAAGTCCCTGACGCCTTGAGACTGACATTGCCTCGGCGGACCTGAAACCAGCACCTCAATCCCTCGTAGACTCGGCAGCCTCCTGCCACATGAAAGCCAAATGGGCAAGACTGGAAAACGTGCAGTAGGCGCCTCCCTTGGACGTTATTATCGATGATGACAGCAAGGTTCTCGCGAACCTAACCGGATCCATCGACATACCCGTGATTGCTACACAAGATGACGGTACCGCAAGACTGGGTACACTTCGCCTAAACGATGTCGGTTTTGTGCATTAGCTACCAGGAACTCTAATCTCGACCAGCAAGCTAGATGCGGAAGGCATATCGGTGACAATTCGTCGCGGTACATGCATCGTACGCAACCGAAGTACTGGCTTCGTCGTGCTCACTGCCGCAGAGGAGAATGATGTCTTCCCGGTACTTCCAAACGCTGAGAGCTCCACGCCAGCATTCATCAGCCTTAGCATCGGAGACACCCTGCAGAACTGGTACAACAGGCTCGGCCACTTTAGCACGCGGGCGATTAAGCACACGGCATGAGCCGGCACAGTTGAGGGGCCCATCATAACCGACTACAAATCTTTCAAGTGTTTGTCGTGCCTGTATGTCAAAATGACGCGCGCCTGATCAAGAGACAGCGCGTGTCGAGCGATGTATGAGCGGTGCAAATCTATCACACTGATCTGTGCCGCCCATTCCACCGTTCTGTACATGGCAATAAACATATCATGCTGGTTTCGTGGCGGAACTACGCGTGATACTATTTCTTACAGCTCAAACGCGACGTGGCTCATTGCGTTGAATCTTCATGGAAATTCTGGACCGCCAAATATACATCGACAAGCGTTCATTAAAGGTACTTCGGTCCTACGGCAGTGGCGAATTTATTGACGAGAAATGCCGCCAAGAGTGCCTCAAGCGTGGCGTACTGCTGCATTTGGTCAACTTAGATTCGCCGTTTAAAAAGGGTATAGCCGAGCGTGCCAACAGAACAGTGAACGACATGATCACAACAATGGTGATTGACGCCAAGCTGCCACACACTCTGTGGGAGTATGCTGCCCGTCATGCCGTGTATGTCCACAGCCAAGTGGCGGTTACTCGTAACATCTGAACAACAACAAACGGCGTTGCGATTCGTGCCGCGAGGTCTACCCGCAGTGTCCATCGGTTTCCAAGAAGACCGCACAGGAACTCATGCCTACACGCAAGAGCCAACTGCAAAGGTCTGGCATATCCGTGACTTCGAGTTCATTGCCCCTGTCGACAGCAGTAGCGTAGGATGCCAAGTTCCGCTTACGCAAGATCGAAAATGAGAGGATGCCGGCAGCGAAGAAGACGCAGCACCCGCGCCAACTAACTCAGGCCAAAGGCGCAACCTACATGGCGGCTTGCCTGCAGACGTCGTGGTAGAAAGCAACGGCCAGCCAAATCTCAATTCATAAAGTGTGGAACGTATTTCGGCGCGGCAAGTAGGAACCGCCCTAGTTGCAGCTGGAGAAGTTGTCCGCTAGCCGTTGAACACGAGTGAGGCAAAACACAGCAAGTGATGGCCGCACGGGCAGAAGGTGATCGTTAGAGAGCTGAAAGCGCTCGAGGAAACCAACACTGGGGCGCTGATCGAGCTCCCTCCAGGTGAAACAACACTAGGCTACATCCTCCAGTATCGACTGAAGCATGACGCCAACATGGAGCTGACCTACAAGGCCCGCGTGCGCGCCAGAGACGATCGAAAGGACTTTGTGTTCGGTGAAGTGGAAGTATACGCCCCCGTCGCGAAGCTGGCTTCATGTTCGCGATCGTCGTAAACTTCGGCCTCTGGATGTGCCCCAAGCCGGCCTTCCCAGTACATACGTCAAGGACCCACTGAAGGAAACGGTGTATCTTTTACAGGTCAAGGGGTTTGAGGCGCCTGGCCGTGAGCACTGCGTGTGGAGGCTAAACAAAGCGTTGTACGGATTGCGTCGATCCGGAGCCGCGTGACACAAGGAGATGGACTCGTTCGTCTGCATCATGGACTGGAACCGACTCGATCCAACCCGTGTGTACACACGAGCACCAAGGCAACGCGTAAGATCATTCTTGCCCTCTATATCGACGATATCCTTATTGCCTACAAGAATCTGACCGAGATGACACGGCCTCGAGGCTAGATACAGCGTCAAGAATCTCGGAGAACCAAAGCGGAGTCTGGGTATGTCGGCGACGTAGCGAAGCGTGCGCCTCAACTAACACGTGCAGGTCCGCAAGATACTGCACAGATTTCGCATGGAACACACACACACACACTGACACGGGCCTTAACCGATCACCAAACTCGATGTACAAACTCGCAGCAAGAGCACGAAGCAGACCTCCCGCACGCTTTCCACATAGTCATGACAGTATTGGTGGTGGCAGATACTTTTTTTTACTGAAGTACTTTGCCTTGTAAACTATGCGCTAACTTGGCGTTCTTATTGCGCTTGATGAAATAAGTCGTGGAATCCAGGAAGCGATGGCTGGTCTTGCTGCGATGGGAAGAATGGTCGCGTTGGCCCCGTTGGGGTAATTATTGCTTGCGCACTGGCGGCATCTATCTCCGACATCTCCCATGTAGACAACTCTCGCCGGTTCCCTTGCGGACCTGCACCTTTAGAAAGCCTGGTAGCTCTCGTGCTCTTCCTTTTTACCGTCTCCTTCGCCTTCGGTTTTTCGATTTGAGGCTCACGAAGAGCCTTTCGTTTAGCTCCTGCAGCTTTCCGTGCGGCTACCTTGGCTTTTGCTTCATTAGCCTTGGTACGTGCTCGCTCAGTACGAAGGTCTTGTATTGTGTGCGGGGATTTTGTACGTGGCTTGTCAGGAACTGGTGCAAGGCTTCTGTCGACCCACCAGTGCGCATGGAAATCACTAGGTTGTAGATTCTTTCCAGTCTCGAGAAGTGACTTCAAGTGGTGGATGCAGGGTAGTCCTGTTGTTCTAGTGTATGTTCCTGAACAAGGCCGTTCCGATGCTATGTTCTGGATGAGCTCTGCACACTTTTCAGCGCGTGATTGTGGATCTTCAACACGACATCTTCGTAGACACCCTTTCTGAAGGCGGTCAGTATGCTATCTGTCTCGGAGCTGACGGCGTGCTCGTGTTTTTCGATGCTTTCAGTCCACCAACGTACCATTGGCTTATATATAGTGAGTAGATCGGATGTGGCGTTGCGAAGCCATAGTTTCATTGCAGCGTGGTAGCCTTCGACTCGAGATGTCGACTGCAGCCCCAAATGCGAAATCGAGTTTGGTCATCATATTACAATGCAATATATCCGGATATAGAGCCATGTTGCATCAATGTACTTCGCCTCAATAGCGCGCAGAGTGGCGAGCAAGACGAGCTACGAGGCGCTAAAAGCGGCAGCAGCTGCGAGTTTGCGCATCGAGTTTGGTGGTCGGTTTCGAGCCGTGGAAGTCTGTGTGTGAGGAGTGCACGCATTGGCAGCGCGTGTGGTGGCGTATGTGTGCGTGGTTGTGTTTTTCCGCGTGTTTGCGTATTGTGTGCGTAGCGCTGGATTTTGTTGTCTTTGGTTTTGTTGTTGGTTAACCCGTCAGTTTGCCCGAGTGGTCTAAGGGGTTACGTTCAGGTCGTAATGTTTTCGAACGCGTGGGTTCAAATCCCACAGCTGACATATCCTTTTGCTGCAAACCGCAAGCCAACGCTGCAACGCCTCCTGCGCGCGCTGGCGCCTCTCTTTGCCCGTGCATCGGCCTGTCGGCTCGCCCAGCACCACCGGGCGCTACCATACCACTCAAACGACCCGTGTCAAGTCTCGACAGCTCGATCCGCCGGTAACGCTTGGCCTACACGCCGACCTCGAGTGTCCGTCGTCGTTTGCCCTGCCGCCCACGATAGCTAGTCGAGTCAGCAACCCGCTGCGCGCACCTGTCCGTACCGTTGGCACGCGTGCGCGAGGCAACTGGTTGCCAAACCCGGGCCATACTGGGACTCGATGCTGGCCCGGGTGGTGTCGGCCACCCCGGCGGTGGCTTGGTGACGATGATGGCCCGGGTTTGCAACGTCGCTGTGGGGCATACCATCGTAGTCGGCAGACGTCCAGAGCGCGCGGAGTGGCGAGCAAGACGAGCTACGAAGCGCAAAAAGCGGCAGCAGCTGCGAGTTTGCGCATCGAGTTTGGTGGTCGGTTTCGAGCCGTGGAAGTCTGTGTGTGAGGAGTGCACGCATTGGCAGCGCGTGTGGTGGCGTATGTGTGCGTGGTTGTGTTTTTCCGCGTGTTTGCGTATTGTGTGCGTAGCGCTGGATTTTGTTGTCTTTGGTTTTGTTGTTGGTTAACCCGTCAGTTTGCCCGAGTGGTCTAAGGGGTTACGTTCAGGTCGTAATGTTTTCGAACGCGTGGGTTCAAATCCCACAGCTGACATATCCTTTTGCTGCAAACCGCAAGCCAACGCTGCAACGCCTCCTGCGCGCGCTGGCGCCTCTCTTTGCCCGTGCATCGGCCTGTCGGCTCGCCCAGCACCACCGGGCGCTACCATACCACTCAAACGACCCGTGTCAAGTCTCGACAGCTCGATCCGCCGGTAACGCTTGGCCTACACGCCGACCTCGAGTGTCCGTCGTCGTTTGCCCTGCCGCCCACGATAGCTAGTCGAGTCAGCAACCCGCTGCGCGCACCTGTCCGTACCGTTGGCACGCGTGCGCGAGGCAACTGGTTGCCAAACCCGGGCCATACTGGGACTCGATGCTGGCCCGGGTGGTGTCGGCCACCCCGGCGGTGGCTTGGTGACGATGATGGCCCGGGTTTGCAACGTCGCTGTGGGGCATACCATCGTAGTCGGCAGACGTCCAGAGCGCGCGGAGTGGCGAGCAAGACGAGCTACGAAGCGCAAAAAGCGGCAGCAGCTGCGAGTTTGCGCATCGAGTTTGGTGGTCGGTTTCGAGCCGTGGAAGTCTGTGTGTGAGGAGTGCACGCATTGGCAGCGCGTGTGGTGGCGTATGTGTGCGTGGTTGTGTTTTTCCGCGTGTTTGCGTATTGTGTGCGTAGCGCTGGATTTTGTTGTCTTTGGTTTTGTTGTTGGTTAACCCGTCAGTTTGCCCGAGTGGTCTAAGGGGTTACGTTCAGGTCGTAATGTTTTCGAACGCGTGGGTTCAAATCCCACAGCTGACATATCCTTTTGCTGCAAACCGCAAGCCAACGCTGCACTTCCAGCCCTGGTCGTCGTTTGCCCTGGCGCCCACGATAGCTAGTCGAGTCAGCAACCCGCTGCGCGCACCTGTCCGTACCGTTGGCACGCGTGCGCGAGGCAATTGGTTGCCAAACCCGGACCATACTGGGACTCGATGCTGGCCCGGGTGGTGTCGGCCACCCCGGCGGTGGCTTGGTGACGATGATGGCCCGGGTTTGCAACGTCGCTGTGGGGCATACCATCGTAGTCGGCAGGCGTCCAGAGCGCGCGGAGAGGCGAGCAAGACGAGCTACGAAGCGCAAAAAGCGGCAGCAGCTGCGAGTTTGCGCATCGAGTTTGGTGGTCGGTTTCGAGCCGTGGAAGTCTGTGTGTGAGGAGTGCACGCATTGGCAGCGCGTGTGGTGGCGTATGTGTGCGTGGTTGTGTTTTTCCGCGTGTTTGCGTATTGTGTGCGTAGCGCTGGATTTTGTTGTCTTTGGTTTTGTTGTTGGTTAACCCGTCAGTTTGCCCGAGTGGTCTAAGGGGTTACGTTCAGGTCGTAATGTTTTCGAACGCGTGGGTTCAAATCCCACAGCTGACATATCCTTTTGCTGCAAACCGCAAGCCAACGCTGCAACGCCTCCTGCGCGCGCTGGCGCCTCTCTTTGCCCGTGCATCGGCCTGTCGGCTCGCCCAGCACCACCGGGCGCTACCATACCACTCAAACGACCCGTGTCAAGTCTCGACAGCTCGATCCGCCGGTAACGCTTGGCCTACACGCCGACCTCGAGTGTCCGTCGTCGTTTGCCCTGCCGCCCACGATAGCTAGTCGAGTCAGCAACCCGCTGCGCGCACCTGTCCGTACCGTTGGCACGCGTGCGCGAGGCAACTGGTTGCCAAACCCGGACCATACTGGGACTCGATGCTGGCCCGGGTGGTGTCGGCCACCCCGGCGGTGGCTTGGTGACGATGATGGCCCGGGTTTGCAACGTCGCTGTGGGGCATACCATCGTAGTCGGCAGGCGTCCAGAGCGCGCGGAGAGGCGAGCAAGACGAGCTACGAAGCGCAAAAAGCGGCAGCAGCTGCGAGTTTGCGCATCGAGTTTGGTGGTCGGTTTCGAGCCGTGGAAGTCTGTGTGTGAGGAGTGCACGCATTGGCAGCGCGTGTGGTGGCGTATGTGTGCGTGGTTGTGGTTTTCCGCGTGTTTGCGTATTGTGTGCGTAGCGCTGGATTTTGTTGTCTTTGGTTTTGTTGTTGGTTAACCCGTCAGTTTGCCCGAGTGGTCTAAGGGGTTACGTTCAGGTCGTAATGTTTTCGAACGCGTGGGTTCAAATCCCACAGCTGACATATCCTTTTGCTGCAAACCGCAAGCCAACGCTGCAACGCCTCCTGCGCGCGCTGGCGCCTCTCTTTGCCCGTGCATCGGCCTGTCGGCTCGCCCAGCACCACCGGGCGCTACCATACCACTCAAACGACCCGTGTCAAGTCTCGACAGCTCGATCCGCCGGTAACGCTTGGCCTACACGCCGACCTCGAGTGTCCGTCGTCGTTTGCCCTGCCGCCCACGATAGCTAGTCGAGTCAGCAACCCGCTGCGCGCACCTGTCCGTACCGTTGGCACGCGTGCGCGAGGCAACTGGTTGCCAAACCCGGACCATACTGGGACTCGATGCTGGCCCGGGTGGTGTCGGCCACCCCGGCGGTGGCTTGGTGACGATGATGGCCCGGGTTTGCAACGTCGCTGTGGGGCATACCATCGTAGTCGGCAGGCGTCCAGAGCACGCGGAGTGGCAAGCAAGACGAGCTACGAAGCGCTAAAAGCGGCAGCAGCTGCGAGTTTGCGCATCGAGTTTGGTGGTCGGTTTCGAGCCGTGGAAGTCTGTGTGTGAGGAGTGCACGCATTGGCAGCGCGTGTGGTGGCGTATGTGTGCGTGGTTGTGGTTTTCCGCGTGTTTGCGTATTGTGTGCGTAGCGCTGGATTTTGTTGTCTTTGGTTTTGTTGTTGGTTAACCCGTCAGTTTGCCCGAGTGGTCTAAGGGGTTACGTTCAGGTCGTAATGTTTTCGAACGCGTGGGTTCAAATCCCACAGCTGACATATCCTTTTGCTGCAAACCGCAAGCCAACGCTGCAACGCCTCCTGCGCGCGCTGGCGCCTCTCTTTGCCCGTGCATCGGCCTGTCGGCTCGCCCAGCACCACCGGGCGCTACCATACCACTCAAACGACCCGTGTCAAGTCTCGACAGCTCCATCCGCCGGTAACGCTTGGCCTACACGCCGACCTCGAGTGTCCGTCGTCGTTTGCCCTGCCGCCCACGATAGCTAGTCGAGTCAGCAACCCGCTGCGCGCACCTGTCCGTACCGTTGGCACGCGTGCGCGAGGCAACTGGTTGCCAAACCCGGACCATACTGGGACTCGATGCTGGCCCGGGTGGTGTCGGCCACCCCGGCGGTGGCTTGGTGACGATGATGGCCCGGGTTTGCAACGTCGCTGTGGGGCATACCATCGTAGTCGGCAGGCGTCCAGGGCGCGCGGAGAGGCGAGCAAGACGAGCTACGAAGCGCTAAAAGCGGCAGCAGCTGCGAGTTTGCGCATCGAGTTTGGTGGTCGGTTTCGAGCCGTGGAAGTCTGTGTGTGAGGAGTGCACGCATTGGCAGCGCGTGTGGTGGCGTATGTGTGCGTGGTTGTGGTTTTCCGCGTGTTTGCGTATTGTGTGCGTAGCGCTGGATTTTGTTGTCTTTGGTTTTGTTGTTGGTTAACCCGTCAGTTTGCCCGAGTGGTCTAAGGGGTTACGTTCAGGTCGTAATGTTTTCGAACGCGTGGGTTCAAATCCCACAGCTGACATATCCTTTTGCTGCAAACCGCAAGCCAACGCTGCAACGCCTCCTGCGCGCGCTGGCGCCTCTCTTTGCCCGTGCATCGGCCTGTCGGCTCGCCCAGCACCACCGGGCGCTACCATACCACTCAAACGACCCGTGTCAAGTCTCGACAGCTCCATCCGCCGGTAACGCTTGGCCTACACGCCGACCTCGAGTGTCCGTCGTCGTTTGCCCTGCCGCCCACGATAGCTAGTCGAGTCAGCAACCCGCTGCGCGCACCTGTCCGTACCGTTGGCACGCGTGCGCGAGGCATTTGGTTGCCAAACCCGGACCATACTGGGACTCGATGCTGGCCCGGGTGGTGTCGGCCACCCCGGCGGTGGCTTGGTGACGATGATGGCCCGGGTTTGCAACGTCGCTGTGGGGCATACCATCGTAGTCGGCAGGCGTCCAGAGCGCGCGGAGAGGCGAGCAAGACGAGCTACGAAGCGCTAAAAGCGGCAGCAGCTGCGAGTTTGCGCATCGAGTTTGGTGGTCGGTTTCGAGCCGTGGAAGTCTGTGTGTGAGGAGTGCACGCATTGGCAGCGCGTGTGGTGGCGTATGTGTGCGTGGTTGTGGTTTTCCGCGTGTTTGCGTATTGTGTGCGTAGCGCTGGATTTTGTTGTCTTTGGTTTTGTTGTTGGTTAACCCGTCAGTTTGCCCGAGTGGTCTAAGGGGTTACGTTCAGGTCGTAATGTTTTCGAACGCGTGGGTTCAAATCCCACAGCTGACATATCCTTTTGCTGCAAACCGCAAGCCAACGCTGCAACGCCTCCTGCGCGCGCTGGCGCCTCTCTTTGCCCGTGCATCGGCCTGTCGGCTCGCCCAGCACCACCGGGCGCTACCATACCACTCAAACGACCCGTGTCAAGTCTCGACAGCTCCATCCGCCGGTAACGCTTGGCCTACACGCCGACCTCGAGTGTCCGTCGTCGTTTGCCCTGCCGCCCACGATAGCTAGTCGAGTCAGCAACCCGCTGCGCGCACCTGTCCGTACCGTTGGCACGCGTGCGCGAGGCAACTGGTTGCCAAACCCGGGCCATACTGGGACTCGATGCTGGCCCGGGTGGTGTCGGCCACCCCGGCGGTGGCTTGGTGACGATGATGGCCCGGGTTTGCAACGTCGCTGTGGGGCATACCATCGTAGTCGGCAGGCGTCCAGAGCGCGCGGAGAGGCGAGCAAGACGAGCTACGAAGCGCTAAAAGCGGCAGCAGCTGCGAGTTTGCGCATCGAGTTTGGTGGTCGGTTTCGAGCCGTGGAAGTCTGTGTGTGAGGAGTGCACGCATTGGCAGCGCGTGTGGTGGCGTATGTGTGCGTGGTTGTGGTTTTCCGCGTGTTTGCGTATTGTGTGCGTAGCGCTGGATTTTGTTGTCTTTGGTTTTGTTGTTGGTTAACCCGTCAGTTTGCCCGAGTGGTCTAAGGGGTTACGTTCAGGTCGTAATGTTTTCGAACGCGTGGGTTCAAATCCCACAGCTGACATATCCTTTTGCTGCAAACCGCAAGCCAACGCTGCAACGCCTCCTGCGCGCGCTGGCGCCTCTCTTTGCCCGTGCATCGGCCTGTCGGCTCGCCCAGCACCACCGGGCGCTACCATACCACTCAAACGACCCGTGTCAAGTCTCGACAGCTCCATCCGCCGGTAACGCTTGGCCTACACGCCGACCTCGAGTGTCCGTCGTCGTTTGCCCTGCCGCCCACGATAGCTAGTCGAGTCAGCAACCCGCTGCGCGCACCTGTCCGTACCGTTGGCACGCGTGCGCGAGGCAACTGGTTGCCAAACCCGGACCATACTGGGACTCGATGCTGGCCCGGGTGGTGTCGGCCACCCCGGCGGTGGCTTGGTGACGATGATGGCCCGGGTTTGCAACGTCGCTGTGGGGCATACCATCGTAGTCGGCAGGCGTCCAGGGCGCGCGGAGAGGCGAGCAAGACGAGCTACGAAGCGCTAAAAGCGGCAGCAGCTGCGAGTTTGCGCATCGAGTTTGGTGGTCGGTTTCGAGCCGTGGAAGTCTGTGTGTGAGGAGTGCACGCATTGGCAGCGCGTGTGGTGGCGTATGTGTGCGTGGTTGTGGTTTTCCGCGTGTTTGCGTATTGTGTGCGTAGCGCTGGATTTTGTTGTCTTTGGTTTTGTTGTTGGTTAACCCGTCAGTTTGCCCGAGTGGTCTAAGGGGTTACGTTCAGGTCGTAATGTTTTCGAACGCGTGGGTTCAAATCCCACAGCTGACATATCCTTTTGCTGCAAACCGCAAGCCAACGCTGCAACGCCACCTGCGCGCGCTGGCGCCTCTCTTTGCCCGTGCATCGGCCTGTCGGCTCGCCCAGCACCACCGGGCGCTACCATACCACTCAAACGACCCGTGTCAAGTCTCGACAGCTCGATCCGCCGGTAACGCTTGGCCTACACGCCGACCGCTTGGCTCTGTCTTTGACTGTTTACCTTTGTTAACCCCTCTAGCCCCGCGATTTTGGGCAAAAGTTACCTTGTATTCTACAGGATAAGGAAATGCCTTGATTTTACTATTGTGGAGTTTTTGCAAGGATGGTGAAACTCACAATCAATTCTTGTTTTCTACAGTGTGCTGTACAGGGTATCATTGGTAGCTGTCTTGTGATACCCTGTATTCTCCGTATCCAAATTATAGGTTTGTAGAGAAAAATGCCAAAATTCAACAAATACCATCACTCACAAACTATCTGCATTCATTCTTGATTATTGCCTGCATCACTGGGAACACTGTTCGAACTTCGTGCACTACACGACCTGACACTTGAGCTTGAGCTGCCGTCGCTATCACTGGAGTCGTCGGCAGCTCCGCTGGCTTGTTGTACGTCACGTACTTTTGCAGTGCGCAGTCTGATCGCCTTGAGTCCTGGAGGAATGTTGTCACCACCACGCCAAAGGTCATGCCAAATTTGGCTGCAGGTCGCAGAGTTTGTCGGCGCGCTTGGATCGTGCTGGCGAACCTTTTGGCAGAGGTAAACCTTTCCTTTGGCGCGTGCAGCGTCGTCCGCAGCCCCTTTTGACCTTGCCTCAGTACACTCAACGCAGTAGAAGGTCGTCTCCCACGGATTCATCCCCGGCCGAAGGAGTGAACACACCTTGCAACCATACTGGCGACGCTTCCTCGTCTCTTCGCCGTTCTTCCCCCGCGTGACGCGGTAGGTGTCCACTTGTTTTGTCGTGTGACGTCCTGGTAGCGTGTAGCGCGGTGTTGGCGACGGCGGTACTGGCGTGTCCACCAGCGCTCGGACAGACAAGTCACCTTCGAAGTCCGCGGCCCCCACTCCCAGCAGCGCCGTCTGCATCAATCGCATGAACTCGGCATGAGTAGGTGGAGCTTTGCCGGGTGCACGCTCAGCTTGGACACGTCGATAAATGATGTAAGCGTTGACCAACGCCATATCAACCAGCCCGAGAAAAATCGTGAGATAATACTTCCTCATTTTCATGGTTCGCTGTAGAATACAAAATAACAATCGTTTGTCAGCAACACAATCTGGGGAATTACAGGATAAGAAAGATAAAGCAAAACCGACCTGAATTGAATATCGCTGAAGACGTAGTTGATCGTGCAAGTCCGCGCCGCCCATCCCGTCTTGGTAGTCCTTCACAAGCTGTGGCGCAGGAACGTCGACAACTTCAGCACCTGCACGCCTTGACAATCTCGTCGGTCGTGTGCCGCAGCCCGTGGCAATGAAGTGCACCGGTCGATTGTCCATCCAGGACACGGCTAACATGCCGGGCACTGTTTTCGAATGCGCAATTCGATAAGACCCACTTTGACCGCTTCGCTTGTTTGTAAGGGATCGTCTTGCAGTATCCTCATCGATTGGTCTGGATCGTGCCGACATGGTACAGGCCCCGTTGCAGGCGGATGGAGGACAGCAGCACACTGGAGTAGAACCGATCCGTGATAATGAGTCGACGCTTTGGCAGCCCTTCGAGTACCTCTTCAACGTTGCGTATGACAGCGTTGGGCCCTTGGTTCAAATCGGCACTATCGCTGTTGAGTCGCCCCTGGTAGATCTCGGCCCTGTACAGGATAACGAACACACAGAGTAAGTTGTTATCCTGTAGAATACAAGAATCTTAGAACACCATACCTGTCACAGTAGCCACTGTCGGCATCGCACGTCAGGAGGCACTTGGTTCCCCAAGGATGGGGCTTTCCTCGTAGATACTGTCGCATGGGGTTGTACTTGCTTCTCATAGGAATCATTCCTTCGTCGAATGCGATCCGCTGGCCGACCGTCATCCCAAGCTTGAAGGTAGTGTTGATCGTGTCAGCGATGGGCTTGATCTTCCAGGTTTTGTACTTGCGTGCGTCGGACCCGTGGTTGTCGCTAAAGTGTAGGAACCTTACAATTTCCTCGAAGCGCCGCCTTGACATGTAGCGTCCAAACGTGCCTTTGGGCACCGCACCTTGTGCATCCACGGACCAGTACTTCGCCATCTTTTCTCGGAAAGAGCACAACGTGCGAGCGCACAAAAGCCCGATAAAAGTCGTCAGCTCATGCGCTTGTATGGGCTTGAACGCTTGCAGCTCCTTCTGCACTTGATGCAACGTCTTCATCTTGTACCCAGGACGCCTTGCCTTGATGCGTCTTTGGCGATCCATGATCTCGGTCGCAGCCTGGGTTTGGCGCTGTAGCTGATATCAGTTCGACTCGGTTGCAATCGACAGCCACATCGACTTGGGCAAGAACAAGAAGAAGAGCCCTTCAACACTGTTTCCCAGTGCATGTGCCAACTCCGTCGGAGCAGCAGAAGCGTGTGCGAGCTCGGCAGCGGGTAGTTACAGAGAAGTACCTTCAACATCAAGGCAACAAGTTTCGTTAGTGTCTCGTACAGGATAACGCGAGCATCATTAGAACGATATCCTGTATAATACAGATGTGACGAAGCGCCCGTGCCTTTTGAAAGGTCAGGTTGCTAGACCGCTCGACCTTGGTCTTCGCTCAGCCCTGCTTAGCGCTGCAAGAGTTCCGCTCAGCTCCTTCCACTGAGCGAACACTCCCACTCCACTTCGCTAGGCTTAGCCCGCTTGAACGCTTGGCTCAGCTCCGACTCGGGTCGGGCGAGGCGTGTGTTCCTCACTCTGCGGTCCCCTTGGCGGTTCTTTTAATCACGGCTACGCCGTGGGCCCAGACTCGCGTCGGCCACACCAGCTGCTGTCGATGTTGAAGGTCTCCGGAGGTGTTCCCAAACGAAACTTGCTCCCCACTTGGCAAGTCCCAGTCCGCACGTGTTCACAGCCCGAAATGCCCCGGGTTTTCCTTAATGAACACAACACCACACACAATATAGCCTCCACTTCCTCTCTTTGGTTCCGGCTCAGAACCACAATACCCCTTCTTTCCCGGTCGGCCTGGGTCTGGGCCGAGTTCGCCTTTATTTCTCTGAGCCTGGGCGAGGCTCGTACCAGCTTCTCCTTTCTTCTCTTCGAGTCAAGCAACGACCCGGTCTGGAGTTAGTGACTCGGTTAGAGCCTAGTCCGAATCCAAGGCACTCACACACACCCTGGGACTACCCGCGCACCAGGTCCACAATGAACCGATACTAATAATCACACAATGCACCGGGGCACGCCAATGTCCCCAAGCACACAATACAATTACCCTGCCTAAACCTCAGAATGGACCACCTTCCACCCGAAAATATGAAATACACCCTAAGATGTAACAGTAATATGAAATAACCGTACTGCCGTCGCACCGAAGCACTCTGACAACGTTGATATGTTAGCTTGAATTTGTGTGGATGATCGCCAAGACACCTTCTGGCCAAAGACCTCCACCACTTGCGTCCTTCGGGGCAAAACGAGCTCTGTTTAAATGTTTACACATGCACAAACTAGGACTCACTAAGAGGGGACGCAATATCCCCCTGGGTACACACTGACTGGTTGCGCGAAGAGCGTCGGCTGTATGCTTACCAAAGCGCGCTTGAGATCCGCTTATATCTTCGCCTTGACCAATGCCGAGGCTCCATGTCGGCACGTGTCGTCTTGAAGCTGCTGGAAGTCGTTGAAGCTGCTGGAAGTGTCCGCGATCTTGAGCAGTCGCGCCCATTGTAGGCAGGCTTCAAGCTGATTTCACCGGATGAGTGTACTCGCCGGTACCACCCACTTCGCCGTCAGTACCACTGTCTGGACTTACGTCCAGCGACTCTTCACCCGGCACTTCAACTGGACTCCGACAACTCCGCTCAGGTCCACGACGCTCCGCTCAGCTTCTCGACTTGGGCGGGGACTTCGTTCATCACATTTGAGGCTGGGCTCAGACTCTTCGTCACTCCGCTCAGACCTTCGATCCTCGCCCAGCTTGTCGACTTGGGTGAAGGCTCCATGATCACAGTAAAAGCTGGGCTCGGGCTCGGCGCGACCTCGCTCTGACTCCTGCTCCTCGACTCAGCTCGGCATCTTGGACAACGGCCCCGTAACCACTGGGGAGGTTGAGCTCAAACTTCACCCGGCTCCGCTCAGACATCAGCGCCTCTGCTCAGCTCGACGATCTGGGCGAAGACGACATGGTCACGGTGGATGCCGAACTCATGCTGGCGGCGGCTGCAGAAGCCATCGGTCAGACATCAGGGATCAGCTCAGACCGGAGACGCTTAGTGCCAAACATCCCAGACCCCAAACGCTTGACGACCCAGCACAGAGTCTGAGCGGAGACTGCATGACACCAACATCAGCTCAGGTCCATGTTCTCGGATGCTCGAAGGCTGTAAGCACCGATGCGCCACCAAGCTCCAACGATAATCCTGCTACCGGGCTTGGGCGAGATGAACTCAGGCAGACGACGGACGAGGTCGGGAGAAAAAATCTCTCGGGCCTCGTCACACAGATCGGAACTTACTTTCGTCTTCGAAGTATGTCGTCCAACCAGTCTTCGCGTGCTCACTCAACTGGTCCTTGGTCATCTTGTCAAACGGCGTTCCGGCAGATAGATCGACAGCGTCTTCTTCATCGCTTGTCGCTTCATTTTCGCTCACCGAGCTCTCGCTTGTGCCTTCTACATCGGATTCGCCTTCGTCATCGTCGACCCTATAGTCATCATCATCACCAGAGTCCATTTGATCATTGCCGGTAGAGATGTCGGCACTTTCAGCCGGATGACGAGCGCTTCGAGGCGGCTGAACACGTGTAGGGGTCGCTGGCGAAGGGACGACCCGCGTTGGAGATGTTGCTTTCCGCGCGAGCTTCTTTGGGGTCGCTTTTGCTGGTGACTTGGCGGGCGCCTTGGCGGGCGACTTTGCTGGGGTCGTCTCTGCTGACGACTGGGCTGGTGCTTTGGCGGGAGACTTCGCTAGTGACGCGGACGACTGGGACGGCGACTTGGCGGGCACCGTGGTGGGCGTCTTCGTCGGCGACTTGGATGTGGACTTTGGGGCCGGTCTCGAGATCGGGTTCAGAGGTGGAGGTGCGGATTGGCGTGTCGGCGAAGCCTCGACCGGCGAGTCGGACGCCACGGCGGTTGCTGCTGCCGCCCCCGCGGGTGTCTGTGCTTCGCGTTCAATGGCTTCCGTAGCTTGGCGTTTGGTAGGAGGGGCCTCGTCGTACAGAACTGTCGCAGAATCCCCACGGCCCACAGCAGATTCATGGTGTTAGAAAACCAACAAAGCTATTATTGTAACTTGCCGCGTACCGTGGACTGGTAGATGCTTCCAGACTTCATCTGCTCCGTCGAAAATAGTCGACAAGGTGTGTTGCATTCGGTCGTTTCTCCCATCCTGCACGTGTGTAGAAGCGACTTTCGTTGGAGAGGCCCTTCGGCCGCTCAAGCCGCCACCCAAGCTTTTTTAGTTTTGTCCACAGCTTGGACCATGTGAGAGGCTTGATGTGCTTGCGTTTACCCATCACGTGTCTGCCTTCACTTGCCTTCCGTCCGTCCGATTCGCGAATGGCGCGAATGCTGGGCGCGCGCAAATTCCCTAAATCTCGAAAAACCTGGGCCACGAATTATACCCCCCGAGCTTAGCAACAACCTTGCTTATCTTGTGATCGGTTCAAATCACTTGACATTTGTATAGTTTCATTTGATTAAAGTATGCGTGATTTCTTATCCTGTATTATACAGGATAAGAAAAGTGCTTACCCTGTAGATTACAGGAAGAGGGGCTAGAGGGGTTAATGTATGGTTGAATAGCGTCGATTTAGCGTGCGCAAGAGGACCCTAAAGTGTGTTTGGGGTAGTAAATACTCGCTAAACACATATAGCTTGAAATAAATTGTGCTGTGCAGTAGTTTGACACTTTGTACGGTAACTTGTACGACTTATCGAGCACGAGTCGTGCTGCACGACGTATTTATAAAATGGTACTAGAGTACGAATTTTTGTTAGTCGTGTATGGTCAATGATCGACTAGTTGTGCAGATACGCCATCTCCTGCATGATTTAGCACATCCAATACTGATTCACATCCTTTTGGCACTTTCAGTAAGCGCCATTTCTGAACCAAATCGCTTTCGAAACACGATTCGTGCAACTCGCATCCACAGCCCCTATGATCAATCGCCAAGTACGAACACTAATTAGTGCACTAAATAAGAGTGCAAACTGGATGCAAATCACAATAAATGTAATTTCTGTTTTGCGATTCTATCAGGTATGAATAATACGCATAGGCGAATTTTAGGTGCAGCTCACTATATCCAAATCACAGTATTGTATCTTACAATTTTTTTGGCTACAGTAACATCGGGCCTCAGGTCCGATTTTTTACTTTCTAAAATTAGGGGAGGTAGTGACTGGTTACTCTTTGTGGCCTCCACTTTTCATAAGCTCTGCCCGCTCAACTTTGCGCTCATTTACGTTCGAAGTCGCAAATCGCGTTGATTTGCCACTAATCTCGGACTTTGCAAGCGAAACACTGTCGCTTCTCTAGTAAAAAGCAAGGATATATCGAAATCTCGTTGATTTTTCAACCCAGGCCCCTTATTTCACCCTGTAACCCCAACAATTAAAGTTCTCGAGCTCTTTTTTCGCCAAAAAGGATGAAAAAAGCATAATAACGCTAGTTCCTATGTAAAATCGTTTTAACAAAAAACATCTTTTCGGATCAGGCGACAAATCTCGGCTGATGGTATTTACACCGGACGAGACTTTGGTTACGATCTCCCTAAATCAGCCCTAATGAGGATGGAGACCATGGCCCTACAAATTCCAAAATGGAAAAAGCTGGAGGGCTACCGGCTGCCTCTGAATTACATAAAAGAATGACGGGGAGAATTGCACCTCACATAATAGAAGATAATGATGCGCTGCGCTGCATGAAACCATAATACTTAGAATTTGCACGCATTGTCCTATTCGATTCTTCCCCTCTGGCTCGGTTTCTCTGGGTTGGATTCACCCCTCTTCAAATCCTTAGCCTTATCCCAGGCCAAGGAAACAAGCACAGAATTTGGTACCGCACGCACAGGATTTGGCACCAGGCCGTCGATGCTTTGGGACACCGCCCGGTGTGTTTATCCTCACCCGACAAATCTATGGGTCTCTGTAGGTCGGTCAAAGTTCAGAATCTCAAAATGAGGTAATTACTAAATGGATTTTGGTGATTGAAAACAATACAAGATTCTAAGCATAATGCGGGTGCCCTCTTGCCTGGGATCGATTTCTTTTCCAAACAATTTCGCCCAACTGTGAATCACCATATCTTTGTTTTTATCTGACGGTTGACTAGGTTACACCAGGGTGCGATCTATAAGAGAAGCATGTGTGTGTGTGTGTGTGGATTCTTGGATTCTTTGGCAGGAATAAAATGCACGTGAGTTCACGTGACCTAGGGTTGCACTGCTACTAGTATGCAACACGGAGGCTACCCCTGACATAACCCATTATGCAGTATAATATAGTTTACGGTATGGTTATGCTAGAGGGTTGCGTTGGTTACGTTTTGATTTTTTCGCTTACGACTTGGCAATATTTCGGATTGCCTTCAATCGGACAGGTTTGGATGCCTTTGTTTAGAGTACCGTCATGCCACTTACAGCTAGTTTTCGCCTACAACATTTATTTAGTTGTAAAGACGAAGGCACTGCTCAGCTCCTGGTATTAGTCTCCTTTGAGTAGCTAGTATACTTCCCATGATAACTAGCGATCTATCGTTATTTGTAGGAGGATGAATAACTTCACTCATTGATATTGTCGGCAGCACTCGCCCATACACTGACAAAGTCCATCTCGGAGACGCGGACAGGTTTGTAGAGCTAGCGGCTAGAAGAAACTGTCCTCAACCTCCGTACGTTGAGCGGCGTTAACCGAATAGCATCAGCTAGGGGAGGAGACATTGTTCGGCGCTGACAACCTCGGACAGGTCTGAGAGCCCCTCTCCTTGCCACTGTAACTCGATATGTAAGCGTGCAATAAACGACAGCCCATCCTGTGGACACGCAGACCCTCCGGGGTCTGCTCCACAGCCGAGGCACCACACGCACTGGAACCACAGCCTTCATGGTCGCTAACCTATGCAGGTAATCTCATTATCGCCCTGCTAGTCTGTCTTAGTGCTGCTTTACACTGATGCCCCGCCGTCCTGTCAACGCAAAACGAAGCACTTTGCAACCCGTCTGATATTGGGTGAGACCGTCACTCTGCTGCCGCAACACCTCACGCGTAGTTCGTGTTGGTCTCCGACCCGGCAGATTCGCAACTGAGAGCACCCTGAGCCCCCGCTTGGACTAGCTTTCGCTATCACCGACCTAATCTAACTATTTCACAGCCAGGAGGATCTTCCAGCGAGGTCCTCTCCGTCGGCGATTGTCCGTCATCGCTCCTCCACCACTGGTTTCCTTGTCTTGATGTCGTTGTCCTCGCCCGCATACTATCTTCCTCATCGCCAATTGACGTGCCGCCCCTCCTGCTGGCCGTAGACCGCCATACACACATCTACCCCATCACTACGTGTGCTGGTGGCGCTAGACGCCTGATTCCTTCCACGCGGGACATATCGGCCACCATACGGTACCCGACTGCCTTGCATCCAGCACTACACTCCGTCATTTCTTCCTCCTCGTCACTCGCAGTCAGATCGAACGTTGCGACGTGTAAACACTTGAAGTTTGTATGATGATGTTCACACGGGTTGGTGTACAAGCTGTTCAGTCTGCACGCAAGTGGAGGCTGAGGGAAACGAGACTCTGAACGCCGGAATAGCTTCGGCAGAATGCAGGGACTTGGAAGGGGGGGAGGAGGCCTACGCTGCAGGCGGTAAATGTTGGAATGAATGCAGTCCTCCTTCACTCCTTCCTTAACCCAGTGTATGAGCTGTTAGTTCTTGTGCTCGATAAGCCACACGCTAGCGGCCCCTGGAGAACGATCTCGGGCTTCACCCGTACCGCAGCCAGCATCCAGCATTCAGCACACAACAGTGTCGTAGTGGGCATTCGTTGACATGTAAGCGCTGGAGGCGCAGCGCAACATGCAACGTCAGCATGGCGTTGATCATAATGTAGATGGCAGCAGTCGTGACGTTGCTCAGAATGCAGGCAGCAGTAGTGAGAGTAGTGTGGGTTCTTTCGGCACCGGGCTGCAACGCACCAGCCGTTGAGCATCCTCGCAAACTGCGGTTATCTCACAATCGTCACTTGGTCGAGATTGGCTGGCAGTATGGTGCCCTTCGTCACTAAGAACATGTTTTGCCCACAATATAGAGGGTGATATTCGATAGGCAACTGAGGGGCTGGTTGCGTTCTTCGTGTCTGGTGTTGGTGTTGGGAAGGTGTGACATAAACAGGCAACACGTTTTAATATGATCGGCTGAGATTATTTTCATCGGTGTTGACGGCGACACGACTCCCGGAGTCGTGTCGCGGCCAACACCAACAGAAAGGACGGGCATTTCACACAAAGTATTGGATTTCTGAAAAGCCCGAAATGGCGCGGCCACTAGGAACGAGAGCGAGTGAGCGCATCGGGCGCGGTAAACACGTGGAACGGTAGCGGAGTGGCTAGTACAGGGGCTTCTGCACACGTGCTTGCGGTTGCTTATGCCATTTTGTCCCGCTTGGGGGAGCCCAGAAGTGCTGCCATCACTTCCGAAAATACCACCCGAAATACTCGCATAGCCAGAATGTGCTGCTTTCCCAAAACACGGACACGAAAGAGCTAACCAATTGGATAGGTGTAGGAGAGAGTCAAAGGTACACATCAGACACCAAACACCAAACACCAAGAACGCAACCAGCCCCTAAGCTTAATAGTGTAAAGGCTTTGCGTCCAGCCTCGATTTAGGTGCAACCTACGAATTCTCGCCCGATCGTGATAGATAAACTCTGTTATTGCCTTTTAGTAAAAAGTCAATAACAGAGTTTATCTCTCAATCATTTAAAAATGATTATCAACCAATCAAACTGAAGCGTTTATTCAGCCAATCGTAGCGCATATGCAAAAACCTATAGTACGGCTCGTAACGCCCTGGGCCTCCGTCCTTGGACACCGTCGAGATGGACCCGCGCCGCTCCTACATGTGCGTGCTTCTGCCTCTCGCCCTGCCCGTCTAACCGTCCACCCGAGCAGCTCTAACCCGTCGCTCCCCCTCCTCCTCGTGTCTCATCTAACGCCAGGGAGCTCGTGGCGCTGGACAAGCAGCTGCGGGACCTGCTGCGCGCCAACCCTCTCAACGCCCAAGACGCCAATGCGCTGCGCCGCCGGCTCGTGGACGCGGCCACGCGCCTGGCGGACGCGCACCCGGCCTTCGCAGCGTCCAAGGAGGTGGAGCAGGCGCTGTGGAAGCCCTGCTTCTACCGCCGCATCGAGGACTTCCGCCGCCGCATCCGCAAGTACGCGGCGGCGGCGCAGGCGGATCGCAACGTACGCGAGCACTTTGCGCGCGTGTCCAGCGAGTTCCAGCAGTTCCTGACCGAGGCCGCGGGCTTCTACGCGCATCTGAGGGACGTCTTCGCGCTGTGGCTGCAGCGCAACCGACTGGAGAGCGGTGCGGCAGCTGCGAAGACGAAAGACGGCAGCGACGCCGCGCGCTGCCGCCAGAGCTTGTACCGCTGCTACGTGTTTCTAGGAGACCTGGCGCGCTACCGGGAGCTGCATAGCCAGAAGGCCAAGAAGAACTTTGCGGCGGCCGAGGCGCTGTACCACCGCGCGCTGGCGGTTCTGCCCGAGAACGGCAACCCGCACAACCAGTTGGCGGTGCTGGCCACGTATGTGGAGGCCGAGACCGTGGCCGTGTACCGCTACTGCCGCAGTTTGCTGACATCGCAGCCGTTCACGACCGCGGAGGAGAATCTGGCGCTGCTGTTTGAGCGCAGTCGCCAACGCCCGCTGGCTGCGCCGATCACGTTCACGTCGCCGTCCCCATCGTCGAAGGAAAAGTCGGCGTTCTTGAAGAGCTATTTGCACCGGCTCACGCGGATGAATGGTATCTTGTTCGCGCTCTCGTCGCCACGTGGGTCTCCCACGGCTTCTTCGGGAAGGAGCAGCAACAGTGAAGCAGTGACGCCAGTGTACCCGCGGGACATGGAGGCGGTGCTTTTTAAGGACATGCGGACGCTGCTGAATGCAGGTGTGGTGGGCGATGCATTGTTGCTGAAGGTGGTGGTGACAAACATCTTCTGCATCATTCGGGCCTCCGACTCCCGTTCGCAATCCGCCCCCCTTGAGGATGCACTTCGTCTCTCGATTCGTACGACTACCAGCGTGATGGAGTTTCTTTTGGACAGCTTGGACGCCAAGCCAAAGGCAGGTGCCAATGGCAAACCGACAAAAGACGTGACATTGTCGGCGCTCCGCCTTGCAGGCCCCGTGGTTGTCTTTTGTGATTACTTGGAACTGCACCCGGATATGATCGAGCAGCTGGAGCAGCTTTTGGTGCATCGCCAGAAGAAACTCTACAGTGACGTGGCCACGAACAACCAAGGAGCCGGCGCGGATCAATTTGCCTCGGCTTTCCTCGAAACGCTGGCTAAGCTTGTCAACCACGCGCGCGTTCGCGAGTTGTACGCGCCTCTGGTAGCATCCGCTGGTCAACAGCACAATGATGAGGTGCCGTCTGCCGTCCGTGATCAGCAACACTTGCTCAAAGAAAGTTTCGAGCTTCGAGGCTTTGCACCCCTCGAGCAGAACAGCGCTACGCCTAAGTGGCCAGATGAGTGGGCGTTGCAGACGTCGTCGACTGGAGCTAACAGCGCATCGCCAGTGACTCCGTTGGCAGATGCCGAGTCAGCAAAAATCCGTGCGTGGAAGTTGTATCACTTTGCTCGCTACTTGTGCGATGGGTACGAGGGAGACCCGTTGCTCTTCTGCGGCGCGTCTGGGAAGTTTACGACTTCTCCTGTGGTTGGTGAAGCTGGCCCTCAGCAGGACAATGGCACGTCAGAAGCATTTGCCTCGTTAAATCTCGGCTTTCTCTCGGCCAGCAGCTCGAAGCCGCAGCAACAAAGCCAACCACAGGGTGGTGGTGTTAACGACTACCGTTCTGGAACCGGCGTGGATGACGATGACGATTTTGACGACGAGGTGATCGTGTTCCAGCCGTCACCAGCGCTTACTGGAATGTCAGGTAACCATCCCGTGAAGCAGCATGGCGGGTTTATGACTTCTCCGTTGGATACACTTTCCAATGGCGGTGCCTTTAGCCTTCGAGCACCGAGTCTAATTTCGTCTGCAGAGGACCACGGACGTATGAGCGTCAGCAGCCAGAGCAACGCGTTTGGTGGTGCTCACAGCGGGTCATTCGGATCGTCTCTTGGCTACCCAAGCTTCAACACCTTCAACGACGCGGGCAGCCTATCAGGTAATCCGTTGCTGTCCGGATGGGGAAACAGCACTAACAACAACACTAACGGCGGCATGCTAGGAGGCAGCTTGAGCTTGGGTATGGGCATGGGATTTGGCGGCAACACTGGTCTCGACGCTGGATTTATGATGCCTGCTACCACTGCAGCTGGAGGTGCTGCGGGAGCTCCAACCCTTGGAGGCTTCGCAAACCGTGTTGGCGACAGTCAACCCTTCGCTCCCATGGCCGATTTGGCTGCCGTTGAGCGCGAGTCGGCTCTGTACCAGCAGCGGACGTCAAGCTTGAGCGCCTTCCTGGGCGCATCGGCACCTGCCAGCCAGACGCAGGATCCATCTCCTCCTCGCAGTATACCGAGCCGCCCGCCGCCAGGTTTTGCAGCCGCATCAATGGGCGGCCAGCAGCAGCAGACACCGACCTCGTTCTTCAACCCGTAGAGCCCAGTGTAGCTCTTTTGCTACACCGATCAAGGTTTACCGACGGTACGCGAGGTGGTGTGCTGACCGTCGCTGGGCGGCGGATGTGAAGGCGACAGAAGTAGCGGAGATTTCACGCGGCGAGCGTGATGTTCGATAGTCGTGGAGGGCAGATCGACCTTCCCGCCCTCCAGTTCCCGCGTAGCTGGAGACAATGACGCGAGAACTCAACCAACCTGAACAAGACCACCTCACCATTCCCAACCAGCACACGAAGATACGCGAGACGAGCAGCGATTGAAGTGCACCACGAGATGAACATCAGCCTGCAGTGAACGAACGCGTCACCAGCAGAGACTTGCAGCTCCAACCGCTTGCTGGTCGTATCCCGCACTTTGGAGAAGGAAGGCAATGGAAGTCATCTCGTGCACTCAATCAAGCAAGAAACCGATAAAAAAAGGAAAACCAAGACCAACGAACGCTGACAAAAAAGAAAACACAACCAGCAAGATAGCAAAGTCATAACAGAGGACGTAGGAATTGCAGCAGCTTCACAGTGAACCACCGGAATTCCGTCTAAGTACGAACCCGCTCACCCGCTCATTTGACATTGTCTGACGTAGCGCACGAAGAAACCATGGGATCCGCCGCCAGCAAGACGTCGGCGTCTGTGGCCTCGGCATCGCGCAACCGCGTGATCCGCACCAACGTGTCCCTGGAGCAGCTGGTCGCTCTATCGCGCGGCTCGTCGTCCGAGCTGCCCACCCAAGCGCAAGCCATGGCGGTCGAGACGTCGTCTACGCCCATCGACGCGCACGGCTCCAAGGTGGAACTCATGGAGATGCAGCAGCGTCTGCTGCAGGACGTGCAGAAGATCGACGACTTCGACCGCGTCAAGTTCCTGGAGGAGAGCACGCGCGCCTTCGAGGCCACCGCCAGCAGCCACCGGCCGCGCTCGTCGCAGCCCGTTCGGCTGCCGACCGACAAGACGAACGCCGCGTCGTCCACGGGCGTGGGCGGCGCGGACGAGGAGCAAGTGCGCGGCCGCCTCACCGGGCGGGACCTGCGGACGCTGCTGCGTCTCCACTACGAGAAGCCCGAGAGCTGGACGCCCGAGGTTCTGGCCGACAAGTACGGACTCGACGCGGCGGACATGCACTGCATCCTCAACAGCGTGGGTCCGCCCAACGTTCTTCCGCCGCGAGGCTCGTCCGAGCATCCTCTCGGCGTGTGGTTTGACGCACCGGGCATGTTGCCAGCGCAGTCCAAGCAGCAGAAGACGTTGGCGTAGCGTAGTCTAGCCTAGCCTAGATGAATATATACGGTAAATGATCATATTCTAGACCCACCTTGCACGTTATGTTAGTTAGTATCCATATCCCAGGTCACCCCAAAGAAGACGTTCGCACGGATAGGAAGGGTTCGAAAGAAAAAGCTATTTAGCCACGCGAGGGTGTGCATATACATAAGCGAAAGTGAGGCAGAGCAGCGACTACGAGGTCCTAGCACAAGGCCATAGCCAAAACCTACATTCGGCCCACCATCTCCAGCACAGGATCGGAGGGTACAACTGCAACGAGTGCGAATGCGGCCATGACTTCAACAGCTCGACGTGCGGTCAGATTCCAGCGCCTTACCGTCGGTTAAGCTGTGCGCGAAGCTGCTCGTTCTCATCCTCCAGACGCACCAGCTTGGGAACGACTTCCGAGTCCACTTCCTCAATCTGATTCTTGAGGTGGTGGTTCTCTTCACGCAGTCGCGAAACCTCTTCACGCAAGTACGTGTTGATGTCCAGCTGCTGCTCTAGCGACGTCTTGGCCTCCAGCAGGGCATCCTCCACCTCCAGCTGCTTGACGTGAGCCAAATCGGCTTGTTCCTGCATCATGCGGTTGCAGTCGGCCATGATCTTCTCGACTTCCTCCTCCTTCTGAGCAATCTCGCTCTTCTTTGCCTCCAGCGACACCTCGTAGCTCGAAATCTGCTCTTGACTGGTATTGACCTGTTCCTGTCGCTTGCGGAGAGCCTCCTCGTTCTTCTCCAGCTGCTCGCGTAGCGTCTGCATCTCCAGCTCATACTGCACCTGTCCCTGCTGCTTGCTCTGCGCAGCGCGCAGCGTCTCCTGCTCGTTGAGCAGCTCAGTGATCATCTGCTCATCTGCAGCGCGCTGACTCTTGACCGTCTGCAGTGCTGCGGCCTGGGCACTGAGCTCCTGCTGCAGCTTCATGAGCCTCGTGTCGATGATGCGGCGACTGGCCAGCATGTCCTCGTGCAGCTGCACCTTGTTGTCCGTCTCGCGAGCCGTCTTCCGTTCGTCCAGCATACCTGTGAGCTTGGAGATCTGGCCCTGCAGGATGGTTTTCTGCTCCCGCTCGAGCTTGAGCGCGTGCTCGAATACGGTGCCTGAGCGTTTGGCGTCCTCCTCCTCCGTGAACGTGCGCACGTACGGTGTCAGCGCCGACCACTCGCCGCACTGGCGCGCAGCCTCATCCACTACACGCACCCGGAACACGTACGTCTGTCGGCGCCATAAAATAAATAGTTCATAAAAACAATTATCAGATAAGAAAAAAATGGGTTGAAGAAATCGCGCACCGTGTTGGACTTGAGGCCCTTGACCGGGAACATCTTGCCCGTGAAGAGCACCGAATCGTTCCACGAGTAGTACACATAGCCATGCTCGCTGTGGCTCTGCAGCGGATAAAAGGCGTCAGCGTGAGAACAGAGAGGCAAATCACTGGGGGAGAAGGCGTGAGAGAGAAACCGACCGCCTGCAGCTTGTAGTCCGCGTCGCCGTCCGCGTGCGGCGGCTTCTGCACGCGCAGGGTGATGGACTGGTCCGTCTTGGAGACGACTTCGGGCGCGGACAGCGTCGGCAGCTCTGGCATGACAGTGAAGTGCATAGCGAAGGCGAAGGCGAACGCTTCTTCCTACTGTAGTGATCCCAGGCTTTGGCTCAACTTTCGCAAACTGCCAGAACCCTACTGCGATTATGCCGTTAGAAAATGCCATTATTATCGCGATTTCGAACCAATCACAGCAGCGGAACGTTCACTTTGTGGTCGTCAATTTTCATGTTGTGCTCGTTAATGGGCATCTTATCATCATCGTCGCGTGCCTGCTGCGTGCCTGCTCGTAGACCCTCTTGACCTCGCCGCAGCGCAGCGTAACAGAGCTGCCGCTAGTTTACCAGCAGATTTACCAGCGCATGACGCGGCTCTGCGCGGGGAAGTCCCAGACGAAGGGGCGGCCGGGCACGGGCGGCAGGTTCTTGGCGTCGGCGTCCTCGAGGATGTCCTTCTCGGCGTCGCCCTCCCACTCGAAGCGCACGTTGTGCGTGGACGCATGCTGCAGGATGAGCTTGTCGCGCGCCTCGTGGGTCGTCGACATGGCCGAGCGCGTGCCCGTGGGGTCGTAGCGCAACACGGCCGGGTTCTTGTTGCCGGGCGAGCCGCGCTTGGCGTCCGCCGGGATCTCGGCGCGCTTCTGCACGGGGATGGACGGGTGCATGCCCACCTCCGTCGGGTACGGGAAGCGGCGGATGTCGCGCGTGTAGTACTGGATGTTGTAGATGCTGTCCTTGGAGTCGCTGGACGGCACGTGCACGCCCTCCGCCTGCTTGTCGGGCGACGGGTAGCGGTAGCCCTGCGACACCGCCGGCGACTGGTGCACTTGCTTGGTGCCCGTGGCCTCCGTGAACACGAGCATCTTGCGGAGCTGCAGCAATTAAACACCCAAGAACTAGTCAGCATCGCGCTCTTCCCTGCTACTTCCGAGACGGCAGGCGACGCACCTTGTTACGCAGCTCTGCCGGCAGCAGGTTCTGGTACTCGAACTTGACGAAGGGCTTCCACGCCTCCTTGCCGCTCATGATTCCTCGCTTCGCTTGCCTGTAGACTCTTCCCCCTGCTTGACAGCGGCCTGCACCCTCGGAAATGGCCCGAAGTCGCCGCTAGCCGCACGATGATTTTCCACCAATCAGCGACCTTAACGTTTACTTTTATCCAATCACTCTGAAATTTATGTGATGCACACCACCTAGGTAAAATCGACCTTCATTCCTCAACGTCATGGCGGAGCGGCAGTACGCCGAGGCGCTCGAGGCTACCGAGCGCGCGCAGAGCTTCGAGCGCGCCGGCCAGGCGGCGCAGGCCGTGCCGCTGTTCCAGAAGGCGCTGAGAATCCTCAAGCGCCTGGCGGTGGTCGAGTCGGCGACGCAGCGCGCTCGTCTGCAGCCCACGATCGCGGAGCTCTCGACGCGTGTGCAGACGCTGCAGCAGTCAAGCGACTTCCTGCTGACGCGCGCCATGGAGCTGCACGCGGAGGCCAGGGAATCAGAGGAGACAGGGGCCGCCAAAGTGGACATCGTGATAGAGAAGTACATCGCCGCAGCGGAGACCTACATGCAGGCGCTCAATGCTCTTCCCCCCAAGGAGACGACAGCCAAAGCTGCCGTCAAGGAGCAGCTCGAGTACGTCATCAACTACGTGTCCAAGCTAAAAGTGCAGACTCAGACGCAGAATCAGGTTCAGCAGGTTGAAGTGCAGGACATGGACGTTGCAGCGCTGCAGTGGCCCGAGCCGCCCGTGCAGCCGCACCACAAGGCGGCGGAGGTGACGCCCGCCTACGCCTCGGCTGCTGCTGCTACGCCGCCACCTAGTGTTGGAGATGTTGCAGTTGATGTGAAGAAGGTGGAGGAGGAGATGCCCGGAGCAGCGTACACGCTGCAGGAACTGGACGTGCTGCGCAGGTCCTCGCAGATCAACGGCCACTTGTTTGTGCCGTGGCTGGATGATCTGGATGCGCAGGAGAAGTTTAGTCTACCCGAGCCGTTTGATGACCCAGACGGACTTGTGCCGCTGTCGGCTAAGCAGAAGAAAAAGGAGGCGACGTGGATGAGACCCAGTGACTATGCTGCGAAGTGTGGGCATGCACCAGTGATGATCGCAGAAGGAGGAGTGAACCCGTTAGTGGTGAAGCAGGACATTGTCACGGATTGCTCGTTTGTGGCGTCGCTGTGCATCGCCGCAGCGTATGAGCAGAGATTTCAGAAGCGGCTGATCACAAACATTATTTTCCCGGCAGACCCGAGGACCAAACAGCCAATGTATAACCCCTTCGGTAAGTACGTTGTGAAGCTATGGGCTAATGGTGTGCCACGTAAGGTGGTTATTGACGACCTGCTGCCGATGAGTTCATCCACCGGACAGCTACTTTCAAGCTGCACGACTCGTAAGAACGAACTGTGGGTGAGTCTCATTGAAAAAGCGTACCTGAAGCTCAATGGAGGCTACGACTTTCCCGGCGGAAATTCAGGCATTGACCTGTTTGCGCTGACAGGGTGGATTCCTGAACGTGTCCCTGTCAACGAGCTACTTGATGCACCGTCTAAGGAAGAACGACTTTGGGAGCAACTGAAAAGCGCTTTTCACTATGGAGACTGCATCATTACGATGTCTACAGGGGACATCCCCAAGCAAGAAGCCAAGGCGATCGGTCTCGTTCCGATGCACGTGTATGCTGTACTAAATGTGTATGAGCTCGCTAGTTCTGGTCCCGACCCAGCATCCGGCGGCGATGGTAAGAAGACGCGGTTGCTTCAGGTGAAAAATCCGTGGCGCAAGATGAGCTGGAAGGGTCCATACTCCCGCCACGACAAGGAAAGATGGGACAGTGCTATCGGCGACGAACTACGAGCATATCAACGCCAGTTCTACGCAGCCGAAGAAACTGAAACTGAAGACTCGAGTGGACAACAAGATGATGGTTTGTTTTGGATCGACTTTGAATCAGTGAAGAAGTATTTCGAGAGCTTATACATGAACTGGAACCCCGAGCTATTCCCCTACAAAGGTGTGTGTCATGAGCACTGGCCGGTAGAGCTGGGCCCAGTGAATGATTCGCTCACACTAGGTTTCAACCCGCAGTACTCCCTCACATTCAGCAAGTGCTCGCCAACCAAAGGAACGACGACTTCAGCTGGATCGTGTACTGTGTGGGTGCTCCTTTCGCGACACGTGAGCACTATTGAGCGGGACACAGACTACTCTAATCAGCAGTTCCTGACGCTACACGTGTATCGCGGATCACCAGGGAAGCGCGTTTTCTACAATCACTGCGCCGTGTCAAGAGGAACGTACAGCAATAATCCGCACACGCTCGTGAGTCTGGATCTGGATCTAGCGGACGACTCTGAGCCGTCTTTTACACTCGTGGCTTCCCAGTACGAGAAATTCGCAGCGCTTGATTACACTTTGTCGATATTTTCCACTCGGCCGTTTACCTGTGAACCGATCCCACAATTGGAGACGACAGCACCAACGTCAGTTGTGATTCCAGGCGCTTGGAGCACTGCCTGTGCTGGTGGTCGTCCATTTTACTCGACATTCATGGACAACCCACAGTTTCATTTACAGCTGCAGAAGCCATGCCGGTCACTGTTTTTGTTTCTCGAGACTGAAGCCTTCTTTTCCAAGGACACAAAGAATGCTAGTTTCCCGATCAACTTGCGTGCTGCGTTGCATACGCGGCAACGGGTTTGTGATCTGCACACCACTGTCAATGAGACCCCAGAGGACGCGGAACCATTGAAAGTACTCAGCTCTGGTGAATATCGGCCCGGGTTTTGCTTCATCGAGGTGGGTGGAAGCATTCTAGCTTCAGGTGTGCACGACATTGTGTTGATCCCATCCACTTTCGAGCCAGGCGTTGTGGGCAAGTTTACGCTGCGTGTGGTTAGTGATCCTCCTGCTGGTGCCAGTATCACGTATCGGCAACTTCCTCCTGAAGGCCATGGCTTGGAGCTTACTCGATTGCGCGGCAAGTGGGATATCCAGACTGGCTCAGCTGCGGGCTGCTCCAACTACGGTTGCTATATTTTCAACCCCAAGTATTTGGTGCACGTGACGCAAGAGTGCGATATACTCGCAAGGCTTTTAGTCCTTCAGCCCGAGGCAGACGCATCACCCGGGGAGGCTACGGCGAAAGAAGGTGGCGTTGCTCCATCCATTAACGTGTCGGTGTTTGCGAGTACGTCGGAAGGCGATTTGTTACTTTCTACAAATCCTAAACAAGCATTTGCCGGTGCCACATCGGCGCACGGTGTGTATGTTAGTGGCGCTCCCAGTGGTGTTTTGGCCACAGCTTCTCGACGATACCCCCCTGGGTGGTACATCGTTCTCCCATCCACCTTTGAACCACAAGAATTGCACTACGAGATTCGGCTGTACGCTTCCACTCATGTTGACGTGCATTCTCTCTAGCCAAGACAAGTATGAGAGACAAGACTGCGCATGACAAGTGTTTCGCGGCTTAGTGGAAATACAAACGGGAATACGATAAACATCATCAAGGATGCGCTCCGAGACAGGGGCAATGAAGCGCTCCGAATGCGACTAAACAAATTGCGGCTGGTTCTCAATGTTGTTTTCGTCACCTCCAGTTCACTTGCAACTCGTAATTGTATCGTGTGGGACGATGATTGAAGGTGGCGCGTTGGGGAGGCAATAGCCTGTAGCAACAGTTGCAACTGCAACTGCGACGGCGCTCCACCCTGTTTACGTCTTGGTATCAAGATCAACGTGGTAAACCTCACTTGTGTTGAGCATTCGTAAGACAGTTTGACGACAAATCAAATTTAGCCATGTGATTGGCTAATATTATGCGTGGTGTTGTCCGTGTATGCCCTTGGCCGGGCCGTCTGCGTCGCCGTCGTGGCATGCACCAGCAACGGATAGCCGTGCTGACGAGCAGAATCGGCAGCATGAACGTGTATTTGTTTCGTTTTCGATTTCGTAGTAATGTGAAGTGCATCACAGTTATTTGGCCTAACTAGCGACCTACTAAATGCCAGGTCCTTCAAATGAAAGTGTGTATTATACATATTTTATGAGGTCCGAGGAGCTCTTCCATGAAGCCGCGTAGTCGGCGTAAGTAGGGAGATGCCCTTCGGAGGACACGACGCGGTTGGTACACGGAGAACTGAATTGTGCTTGAGCGTACATTGAATAGCAAACGAGTAGAATGTACGCTCGAGCACTCTCTAGAAACTTGTCAACAAAGCCGAAACGGAAACACTACGTAGATTCAAGCTTAGCAGACAGCAATAGACTGGCGCGGTTATAAGCGCTCTAGATTTCAGAATCGCTGCCTCTTATGCTACGTAACTAACCCCGTTATTGAAGGAAGGCTTGCCCGTATCATGATACGTACAATGCAACCTGACAGTACGAAAACTCCTACAATATTTCCCTCCTGACACTATTCCTGTTGTGTTTGGGCACGGCGCGGCGAGGAAGGGTGGAGGTTGAAAGCAGTTGAGGGGGCGAAGCTGGTGTAGTGTAGTGTTGTTGAGGTGATGCTTGGGGTTCGAGGCAAATTGAAAAGTGAGATTGAGACTTAGAGGTAAAGACTGCTATCACTGTGAGACTGGCTGGCAGCAGAGGAGCTCTGCTGTCGAATCTCGGGCCCCATACACTACAAGTAATAGATCTAAAGCGCCTACAGCGCACCTCTGAATCTTGTACTTCGGCGGTGCGAGTAATCCCGTGCCGGCCGCATCAGATTCGAGTGCTCGGTCAACGCATCCAGCTTCTCCGTTCGGACGGAGGCATTTTGTTCACAAAGAGAGATTCGCTTGCCTGTGGCGAGCTGCGAAAACGCAAGGAGTGCGGCGCAATCCTTACAATTCCTTACCATCCAGGCACTGAAAAGCTCTGGGCGTGGCATTTTAAGAGCAACAGATCACAACAGCCTTAGCGCTAAGGCTTCACGCAAGGCCTGGCGCGGCCGCCGTGGCTGCAGCTAGAATATCATCCTGTTGTCGACGGACCTACGCGCCATGCAACTGCGTCGTCTTGGCGAACAAAGGTGCACCAACACAGCCTGCATCCGCACCGCTGTCGTGGTTGAGTGGGCCCGAGCATGTGCATGCAGCTCTGCACGTCAAGTTGAGCTTTTGACCAATAATATGGCGTGACAAAATACAATGTAGCCACTGGTATACTAAAATCAAGATGTAATCAAAATGCGTTGATTGCAAAACGTAAGACGCTTTGTCTTACGGTATGCTCTCTAGGGACCAGTATCGTCTTACGAAAGAGCATGAATCGTAATTGTATCGTGTGGGACGATGATTGAAGGTGGCGCGTTGGGGAGGCAATAGCCTGTAGCAACAGTTGCAACTGCAACTGCGACGGCGCTCCACCCTGTTTACGTCTTGGTATCAAGATCAACGTGGTAAACCGACCGAGTCATTGGAGAGTGTACGTGGCATATTGTGTGTGGAAAGGATGCTGCATTATTATGCCCGCGCTGTAGATTGACCAGAGTCAAACGTGTGCCTTGTCGCAGTGGGCCCGGTAATCAATCGTATCGTGATCAAGCCGTTCTGACGGACAATGGATCCGTGTAAGTGCAAGACAATCGTGAAGGAGCGATATTTGCGACTGCACAGTGATGAGAAGCAGCAGTGACGAGCACCATTCAAAGGGCGACAGTCTCCCACCCAGCAAGCTACAAGAGAAACGAATCAGTTCACTGTTAAATTTACAAACAGCGATGACGAGAGGTGCTAGGTCACTGCCACCTTTGAGCCAAGAAACCCACCCCGATGGCGACGATGATGACGACGGCCAAGACCCCGCTAAGAATGTCAAGCATCAGGCTTCTGCTAAAACGTCTAACTATGAGCGACAACAACGCTATCGGGACAAACAGCGACAATACGTCATTCGCCTCGAGTCTACCGTGAAGCGTCTTCGGATAGACGTTGATCAGCTGCTCATAGTGCGCCACAGAGCCCAAGAAACGCAGAGAGAGGCTCGTTCTGGTGTCTGCGCAAGTCTGATAAGCACTGCAACGATGACGGCGTTTGTGACAACCATGTGTGAATGCATGCAGTCATTTGAGTCTGGAGCCCGAGAACAGCAAGCGAAGTTTCTCGAGTCGTCTATGCGCGAAGACGTGCAGTACGGCGATCTAGTCGGCCGCCAGATCGTCCTGGATCAGTGGACGCAATTTGCGCCCAGCTTCGATGGTATACCCCCCGTTGTCAAGCATTACACATTCACGGTGGACTTCTCGGAGCAAGGTACAACGGTCGGGCACGCGGGTGCAGTTCTTCTTCTTTGCCTGACAGACGCGAGCCTGGCCAATATCTTCCCAAACACCTGTACCAATCAACACCTGCGGGACAAGCTGCTCCAAAAAACCGTGGTGCCATTTCCGGTGACTGCTTACTTCCAGTTCGATGACCAAGGGAAGGTGTGCCGCTACGACCCCACAATCGACTTCATCAGCGGACTTTACGCAGTTCTGGGGAACTACGGCGACGTGGCGACTACGCTTAAATCGGCAGCTGTCAATGCTGCTGGGCAATTTCGTGGTGGAGTGGCAACTAATCGACATGGCACCAACTCCTGCTCCACGAGCACCACTGCCGCGTTGGAAGCTACGTCCTGCCGCTCTACTTCAACTGTCAACAAACTCTCGGTAGCGTTTATCCTGTCAAACGGGGAAGACTCGTGATATTGGCAGGCAGACTGCGTAGTGAGAGCCGCTTTTTAGTTAGTCGCGATGACGATTGCATATTGTGCAAATGAAATCGAGATGATAAAAGCCACAACTCTTTATCGGAAGGACAAAGAGCTACACGATACAGGATTCAGCGTCTTCTTGTGGCTTTAGGCTGGCCCAACTGCGGTTCCAACGGCTACTGCAGCAAGAGGTTAAGCATTGGCTCGACGAAGAGACAGTGATGGCACTATATCGTCGAGGAGTCAGCACCCGATGTGCGACGGTACTACTAAAATTTTGGATAACTCAACCTGCAACTTGGGCCGAAAGCGTCTAGCGAGCCTTCAGAAGCTGTACAAGCCGTGCTTAGTCACAAAATGTTGCCACACACGGCATGCATATTTTACCTTTACAACATTCGTGGCTGTCGACAAATCCTTGACTGTCCCATTCGCATCGTGTGAACCTACATCCAATGGTTTCAATATATGTCGAAGCAGCCATCGAGAACTGTACGATCGACTGTAGCTTTTCTCGACGCAGCGGGACTGATTTCACAATGCGCTGTACCTCCGCCAATGATCTTCTTTTTGTCAGAATAGACTGTCTTTGCTGCTACCAGACCCGAACACAGTTGACACTCAGCTGGCAGATCGAGCCGAACTTGGGATTTCCGGGTTTATTATTCTATAGACCGGTCTGCACGCACTGGATATCACTTCACACCGGACAATGCGAAATGGGTTAACCAGCAATTGCTGCACAACAGGATACTTACAGTTTTCACCAGTTTTAGGTATTCCAGCTAATGGCAGCAGTCTAGTTATTCTATCTTCTCAACCCCCAATACCTCCTTGAGAATATCGTATGTCGTCAAGCTGATGCCAGTAGATACAGGGCTCTACAACAGTGCACCAAACAGAAAGGTGAGACACGGACAAATGCTCATTCAATAGCTTGAAAGAGCAGTACTTACTCGCATCCAGTTTACCGACACGCCCTTGAAAAGTCCCCGCCAGCCCTCCCGCGCTAGGATAATCCGAGCAGTAGCGATCACACCTGTGTACTGCATTTTCGCTTGAGATCCTGAAACATAGCCGTCCGTCTGAATTCGCCTTCTGATGGTGTCCATGGGGTATGTGCCTGGACAGCAAATACAAGCCGTTAGACCTCTGTTCAAGAAAGGGCACGCACGTCTAAACGACTAGTCTTACTTGTTTGTGCAATGCACGCCGCAAAATACGAGCACACAAACTTGGTCAACGGGTTCAGACTAGCCTTAGGCGCATCTTCACCGTACTTGTGCTCCAATCGTCGACGCTGAAGCTCAAGGGTCTACAAAAATGCGCACAGCACCCGTGAGTTCAACACAATAAAAGAGAACAATGGCCTCAGTGTTGACACGTACCCATATCTTGAACCTTTCATTCAGCGAGAACCCAATGCCAGTGTACGGCAGCGTCCCCAGCAGCGAAGGCACCAGTCCGCGCGAGAAAGAGCGTACTCCTTCCACCTTGTACATGGTCACCACAGCCTCGTAGATGCTCGTGTAGCGGTGCTTCCCCATCTGCACCATGTACCTGGCCCTGACGATATCCAGCGGGTACGCCACCGTCAACGACAAACCTCCAGCCAGCGACCCGGCCGTGACCAGCTGCAAGTTGCTGAGCTTGGGCACCTCCACACTTCCCTCCCTTTCAGCTTTCTGGAAGTTGTAGGCGTGGAATTTATGCCTGAAAAAGTCGAACCCTGAGTGCTGCAGCCCCGCGTAGGGGATGACCCTCAGGATGTTCAGCATATTGCCCCGAAAGAGTGCGTGGAAGCCGTCGTGCACGTAAATGTTCCTGGCCATCCTGGCGGCGTTGCGGAAGTTGAACTTGTGCTGGTCGTTCACCTGGAACAAGATCTTGACGCGGTCCAGCGGCGCCAGCGCCGACTTGGCGACAATGCCCGCCATCCCGCCGGCAATGAACGACTTGGAGACCGTCACCATGGACCCTTTCCTCTCCGCCGCGTCGGCTGCGTCCGCGTGGTCCTGCCTGGACACCTTCTGCTGGACGTCCACCTCGAATGAGTCGTCCGGGTGGACACCATACCCCGCAACGGACGCCTCGTAGTCCTCGTACTGAGCCCCCTCGTGCACCCTGCGCAGCTTCTGCCTGGCCTGCAGCAGCGCGACGATCTCGTCGGCCTCCGAGTCCTGCGGCTGCAGGTCCGGGAAGAGGCCGTCGCCCTCGCTGAGCCCCAGGTCCAGCGCCGCCAGCTGCGCGGCCCACGACGTGTACACCTGCTGCACCTGCTGCGGGTGCTGCGCCTTCCAGCGCATGACCCACTCGCAGAAGCCGCCAAAGTCCAGGCGCTCCTCGCGCCTCGGCAGCAGCTCGCGGCGCACGCGGCGGCGCGTCTCGGCGCTCGGGTCCAGGCGCGCGATCTCGGCCGCCAGCGCCCCGCGCGAGACGGTGCCGCTGGCGTCCGGGCGCAGGTCCGCGAAGAAGGCGCGCATGATCTCCAGCACCTCGGGCGTGAGCGCAAAGTCCGGGTTGTAACACTGCAGCGCCTGCAGCGCGCGCGTGAGCTGCAGCTGCCGCCGCTGGCGCGCGCGGTCGCAGGGCTCCGACTCCGACGAGTCCATGCAGCGAGGATCGGACTGACTGTGCGACTGCGACTGTGAGACGCACGCAGGACGCATACGAAGCGGAGGAACGCGAGTGACAGATTAGGGGGTCGGGTGAGGGTGTTTTGTGTGGTGGCGCGGGGTGTGGGACTGGACCCGGTTCTGGTTAGTGAGGAGCGGATTGGAGGGATAGAAAGGGGAGGAGAGAGGACCCGCTTTTGGCGAGTGTGATGGATAAGCTCCGCATGACGAGCTTGAAGTTGGGGGACGCAAAACGCAATGTTCATCTCATCACGTGACGCCGAAACCAAGGCAAACGAGGAATGAGGTCTGCATGGATCGCTATTAACCGCACGGCCTGTATTACCGGTAACTAACCTCACAGACGAACAAGCGAACAGCTACGAATGGATTTGTTCGTGCCACCTTTGATAGGGGTTGCAAAGGCTCGTAATACGAACAATTGCTTAAACACTTTCTACCAGCTTAGTGCGCTTTTTAATTTTGCTGGCTTGAGCGGCAGCAAGGAGGTCCATGTACTGCTTGTAACTGCTGGCCATGGCGACGTGTCTACCAGCGGACGGCACGGAATCAGGCTGGGGCTTGTGTAGCTGGTCGTCGAGCTTCCCGTAGGCCAGCTTGTTGAACAGCTCTTGATCCATTTCCTTTCTCAAGGCAGCCTTGAGCTTCTTTGCGTCTAGCGTGGCTTTCTTCTCGGCGGCTGCTTTGTTGTGCGGCGCGGTACCCGGGACATGCTTCAGGAATTTCTTTATTAAAGCCGAAAAGTCGATGCGTTCTTCAGCGACGTCGTCGTCGGCGGCCTCTTGGTGCGACTTGAGCGCCCTCAAGTGTCTACTACCGAGGCTTTGGAGTGGCGACTCCACTTGAGAAACTTGGGCTTGCTCAGAATCTGAAGCGGGAGATTGAGCGCTGGCGTGGGCAAGTAGGACGAGACCAAACACCAACTCGAGGTGAGGACTATTCGGACACTTGTCAAATTGCGAAATGGGCTCGTCACGCCGCGAGTCGTGGTCGCGTTTACCGAATCGGATACTGTTTCGAGTCGTGCTCAAAATACTTATCATCCTATCCCATGAGAGCAGCGCGACGCCTCGTGAATCGCAGAATTTCTGGTTGTTTGCCTAAACGCTTGCATTGAAACCCACTTTACCATAAAAATGAACAAAAATACACATAAAAATGAACAAAAAGACACATAAAAATGAACGGTGATGTCGTGCCAATCCTTGTGAATTCCATTTCGAGTATTCTGAACTACCGACACTTCATCAGTTGCATACCTATACATTATTCAAATTTAACTAACTTTATGCTCCCACTGGGTGCCTGCCAAAAGGGTCATAAGGACCTAACATAGTTACCGCAGATATGCGGGTGGATATGTCGACATATAGCCTAGTTGCACCCGCCACAACATGCTTATCGACAACAACTCCGTCCGATTACAAATGCCCAAGTACCACCTCTATTCGCCCTACAGCGTCACTTTGCTCCGGACATTCCTATGGCTAGATCTTTCTGCAGTTTATCTCATCATGCTCATTTACGATTCAGCGCTCTTCTGCCCACGCTGCCGCGGTGATGGAGCTCCAGAATGATACGTGTGGCGCTCTGTGTGTGCTGTGCGAGGCCTACGTGAGCTACAACAAGGATCTGGGCGCTGTTCGACGCGCGATTCACAAGCGGCTGGTGGAAGAAGATATATGACAGCCTGTCATTCTTCACAAGAATGATGGTCGACATATTCAATACAAAGTCGTAGTAAGTCGTTAAGATGGGTACACGGCATAACCGCCAGTTTATCGAGACGATTTTCCGGTCTCACGAGATTTATGTTAGCTAATGCCGAGCATATCTGCTGCATTTACTCCGGGTCCTACAACTTGCACGGTGCCAGACGTTTCACCAGCCTGGATCTGCATGCCGGGTACTGGCAGGTGCCGGTAGCAGAGAAGGACCGAGACAAGACTGGCTTCATCACGAGGAAAGGACTCTTCAGATTTGTGCGGATGCCCTTCGGCTTGGCGAATGCGCCGGGGACATTTCAGAGGATGATGAACGCAGTGTTACGGGGACTAACATGGCAAAGCTGTTTGGTCTATTTAGATGATGTTATTGTCTTCTCTAAAGGAGATGTGGCACAGCACGTCGTGCACTTGGCGTCTGTGCTAGAAAGGTTGTCGAGCGCGGGTCTGTCGCTGAAGGCAAGCAAGTGTGCCTTCGCGTCGACACGTCTGAACTACCTAGGACATGAACTTACGGTGACGGAGTGAGGCCGATGGCGAGTTTAGTGGACAGCGTCGTACGGATTCCCACACCGACAGATGCTGCTGCAGTGAAGAGATTTGAACACATGGCGGGCTACTATCGGCGCTTTGTGCCGAATTTCGCGAGTAAGGCAGCGCCTATGACACTATTGCTACGGAAGGGGGTTGTGTGGCGATGGGCAGAGCCACAGCAAGAAGCATTTGAGCGGCTGAAGATGGAGTTGACGCAGAGGCCTCAGTTGGCCTACCCGGACTTTTCGAAGCCCTTCCGGTTGGTCACGGACGCGTCGAAGGTAAGCCTGGGGCCGCGCTGACCCAAGACCAGGGTCAGCGCGAGCAACCGATCGCCTACGCTTCTAAGATTAATTCGGAGACGGTGGCAGCGTACACGATCACAGAATTAGAATGTGCAGCGGTGGTTTGGGCAGTCAAATTGTTAGACCTTACCTGTACGGACGCAAGTTTGAGCTCGTGACGGATCACGCGGCGCTCAAGTGGTTGATGACGTCGAAGGAGTGGACCGGGCGGCTGCACCGCAGGGCTCTACAACTTCAAGAATACGACTTTGAGATTATCTACAGGCCGGGCTCGAGCAACGCCGTGGCTGACGCGTTGTCGAGGGCGCCGGTAGGAGAAGTGGTAGGAGCATCGGAGCAACGAGCAGCGGTAGCCGACGGGGCAGCCAGCGACGAGCAGCTGACGGATCGTGTCATTCGTGACGAGCAGGCGAAGGATCGCACGGTGAAGAACCTCAGGCGGAAGGGCAAGTACCGTGACAGGGCTATTGTGGTCGAGGACGAAGTCGTCCACATTGTCCAAAGTGATGGCAGTAAGAGAGTGGTGCTACCTACGGCGCTGTGGACGGCAGCATTGAGAGAAGGTCATGACTCGATCTACTCGTGCCATTTGCGCACGCCTCAGACGTACGAGCGCGTGGCGAGGGACTACTGGTGGCCAGATATGCGGGCCTACGTAAGGAGATGGGTGCAGTCGTGCAGAGACTGCGGGTCGAGGAAGACGAAACCGAAGGAGGTGATTCCCCCGCTGAGAAGTCAGGGCGTGGGGAGTGCAGGTGATCGCTGGGCGCTCGACGTGGCGGAGCCGTTGCCCGTCACACAGGAGGGCAATCGGTATGTAGTGGCGGCGGTAGACTACGCTACGAGGTATGCGGTGGTGGCGGCTGTGCCCACGCACACCGCGCCGGACATTGCGAAGTTCATTGCGAACAAGTTGGTGTTCGTGTTCGGCCCCATGCGTGAGGTCGTCATGGACGGTGCGCCGGAGTTGAACGGCAAGGTGTTGGACGCGTTGGTGAAGGCTCTACAGGCTAAGCAGATCACGCCTGTGCCCTACAGACCGGCCTTGCTGGGGCTGGTGGAACGCTTTCATCGGTCCTGGAAGCACATGGTGGCGATGTATGTGGCAGAGGCTCAGGACGATTGGGATTAGTTGCTGCACTGTGCAGCGTACGCGTACAACGGGGCGAGACACTCGGGCACAAGCTACAGCCCGAATGAGCTCGTGATGGAAAGGAAGCTGCGCGCGCCGAGCGAGCCGCTCCGCAGCAGCGGCGTCACGCAGACTGGGCCGTTTGCGGAGTACTACCGCAAGCTGGTCGACAACATGGCAAGGGCCACGGAAGCAGCGCACGCAGCGTTGGCGAAGGACCAACTGCGTCGCGAGAGGTACTACAATCGACGTGTACGGCAGGACACGACGTTCGAGGTTGGAGACTTGGTGTGGGTGCTCAAGCCTCCACGAGGCAAGGGCATCACGAAGTTGGCCCATCAGTGGGTGGGCCCGGCGAGAATCGTGCAGTCGGCAGGGTTCGACAACTGGGAGGTCGTGCGCGACGACACGGACGAGCATTCGATCGCCCACTGCAGCTTCTTGGTGTCGAGCCGCTGTCCGAGCGACTCGTTGGGCATGATCGCGGAGAAGATCATCACAGAGTTGGAGCTGGAGGACGACGACGCAGAGCGGCGGAGGAGCGACGGCGGCGACGAGGAGCAAGTCGCAGTGCAGCCCGGTGACGGCCAGGACGAGGGACAGCACGATGGCAGAGGTGCTGTCGCTACAGCGCACGCGGGCGCTACAGTCGACGGAAGAGTAGTGACTGAAGGCCGAGAAGAAGGCCAAATGACGTCGCAAGCGGAGGAGAGCAGTGTCGCACGGCGAAGTACGAAAGAGACGACTGGTGGCGGAGAATCCACGACGGGCGGAGCAGGAGAGCCCGTACCGACGAGTGCAAATCTGGCCGGACGAGACGCGGAAGAGAAACGACACGATGCAGTGGGTGATGTGACCAGTGGAGTAGCGCGTGCTCCAGCGGTCCGTGCACCCAGTAGTCGCGAAACGGCGAGGACGACGCCGGGAATAGCAACAGCGGCCGCACAGGATGCTGAAGATGTGAGGACGAGCTTGGTGGCGCAGCCTAAGCTGCCAGTAAGGAATCGAGGACGGAAGCGCAAGGTGGAAGCAGATGTCGAAGCCAAGGCCAGTGAAGAGACGAAGCAGCGACGACGACGAGAAGCCGACGCTCGTGAAGCTCGAGCAGCACGACGGCAAGCCGCAGAAGCGAAGACGGCTGGTGCAAACAGAACTACTGGGGATCATGCTGGTGAAGAAGCCGATGGTGACAAGGGAGGCGCTGCGCGACGAAGTGGCGAAGGGCAAGACGAGCACGTGCGCGTCGGAGAAGCTGTCGGCGGTGACGAAGACGCAGAGGGTCGCGGCGAACAAGGTGCGGCGGTGGATATGCTGCGCGGACGAGGACGAGCACGATGGCAGCCGCCAATGCCGGAGCTCCTGCAAGTGGAGACCGCTGGCTACATTGTTGAACGAGCACGCCGGCGAGTGCGCAACCGCGCAGGACGCTACGTGCGTGAGCACCAAGTGGAGTACAGCACTGGGCCATGACGACCAGCGGGACGGCGATGGCTCACTGAAGCAGAGTTCGAGCAGCTCAAAGATGCTGCCAAGGTCGAGGACGACCTTGGAGCCGGGGATGGCGTGTAGTTGGATGGCCTGTCACGTGACGAAGGGCCACGAACAGGCAGCGCCAGACGATCGCGCGCTGGTGATCGACTTGACAGACGAGTAGTGTGTTGGACATCGGCCAGATCGGGTCGTGGTGTACGGCAGGAGGCGTGTGGTGAAGAGGGCAAGCCAGTGGACTAGTGCCACCGGCTGAAGGCGGTCGTTTAGCAAGCAGTGGGAGGTTAAAGTTGGCGACGGCGACGACAGAAGATCGCAGTGCGTGGGGCGACACGCCGGGACAAGGGCGAAGAAGTATACGAGCGAGGATAGGCGAGATCAAGGAGAGGAACGTGAGGCTGTGAGGCCACGAGCATGGAGAAGGAGTCGAAGAGGGAGAGGTCCAGTAGGTAGGCAGGCGCCCATGCGTAGGAGTAGATACAGCGGGGATAGGATTGAGTAGGAGGATACCGAGCGGCGGTCGGCCGACTCGACCCTCAGTTGCGGTTTTCACAGGATTGTGGAGAGTCAAGACTAATATACACGAGTGGCGCCGAACGCACGGGTTTCCGGTCTTTGGAGCAGCGACGAAGGGCGTCGGCCAAAGCGACGGCAATAGCGAAGGTATGGCAGTGCACAGATGAGGGCAGTGTTCGAGTAGGGCGGCAGGACTGTGGAGAGAGACCACGGGGGCTGTGGTGTTGGAGCACCTTGGCCGAGTCAGAGAAACAGAACTTAATAACAGTTTGTATGGAGACAATGAATAGCCTACAGTGTGGCGTGGGCACCACGGAGAGGTGTGGAAGGTCAGTGGGTGCCTCCAGAGTATCATCGATGCGAGGTATGGGGTAGACGTTGCGCTTCGTAATTGCATTGAGGAGCCTGTAGTCGATACAAAATCTCACTGTGCCGTCCTTCTTTCTAACCAGCACGACTGGAAACCCCCACGCGCCGTTCCCTTCCTCGATGACCCCGTCCGTCAACATCTTCTCCACATGTTCATCAACAATCGTCTGCTCTGAGTGTGAGTGCCGCCGTGGCCTCACTTTAATTGGCGCCTTACTCCCTGTGTGGATCTCATGGGTCACGCCCAACTTCGTCATCGGTGGGCATCCCCCTCTCGGCTCTAACAGTTCAGGGTAGTTCCGTAAGAGTTGTAATAGAAGTTCCCTGTCGTGCTCGTCCATTTCTCCAATGTCCAACTCGTCGTCGTTGCTTAACGGCGTCTTGTTCTGGCACAGGTCGTCGAGCCACTGCTTGACTCGGTCATGCCCGTACTCGCCTGTCATCTCAAGTATCTCCACGTCGTCTGCCGTCGACACCCACGTACCCAACGCCTCGCGACTTGGCAGCTTCACGGATCTGCCCTCGATGTTCAACACTGGCACGACCACCCTGCCTCCACGCACTGTCGACAATGTAGGAGCTAGGAACAGGTGTGGCTCTACGCGTTGGGCGGGTACGAACATCCCCACTGTGCCCTCGGGCGCTGCCACTCCCAGCTCCACATTACGACACGTCCACGTCCGCACTCTCGCTGCCTTCGCCAGCCGTACTCTCGCCGCTCTCCCTGGCCGTCCGTCGCCGCCCGAGCACTGAAACGGCACGATCTTCTTCGCGTCGCCCTCGTACCACTTCATCTTGCACGAGACGAAGTCGATCTTGACGCTCTTCTCCAGCATCCAGTTCTCGCCCAACAGGAACTCCTCCGTCGCGCCCTCGACGATCAGCGCATCGACCGTCATGGCCTGCTCGTACTGCGTGCATAACGTGAATCTCCACACGCCCAGGACGCGTGACACTGCGCCCGTAAAGCCCTCAACATAGTCCACTGGAGGTAGCCCGTGCTGCCTCTCGCCGTACTGCCGCCATGCTTCGCCGGCCACACTGTACTGTGCGCCGGTGTCGAGCTTAATTCTCCGTCGCTCGCCGTGAACCTTCACCACCGCCGTTGGTAACGAGTCTACCGTCGGTGCCTGCACTGCACGCAGCTTCCCTACGCGCATCGGTCGCGTCTTGTCGTCCTTCTGCTCCACGCGAGAGCACGCGTACACACTGCCGCTGTGGTACACGTACTACCGTGTATCATCTTCTTGTCGCCTCGGTCGTCGTCTCAGCACCTTCGTCGCGCTGGGCAACACGAACCCAATTGCCTCCGCCTCCTGTCGACTCAGCACTCGCTCGGTGTCGGCTCCCAGTCGCCGGTACACTTCCTCGACTGCCTTGTACGCGAGCGTTGGCTGCGTCAGCTTCGCCAGCGCTGCCCGCAACTCACGCCGCTCCTTCACCCTTGCCTTGCGCATACGCTTCTCGTAACGTCGTCTCGTCCTGGACCGCTGCAGCATTGTGCTGTTCTCGGCCGTCCAGTCCTTCTCGCCAATGGCGTCGAGCCCCGCGGCCGCCACCACCAGCCGCTTCGCCACTTCCTCGCGCATCGCGTCCTCGCCGACCGCATTGCCAGCAGCCAGATCCTCTCGTCGACTCGACTCCGCCACCGCAAGGTCAGCGTAGCCATCTTTCAGCACCTTCTCTCGGGCTCGGAGTTCCTGTAGCGCCTGAGCTGCACGGGCACTCCAGCTCAACACTTCTCGAAACTCGTCGCTCGGCTCGGGCATGACCACATCCGACCCTGCAGCCACACCGTCTGCCAGCTGTACTTGGCCTTCCCTGGGGCCTGGCGCGGGCGTCGACACCGCTGCCACCGTAGCACCGCTCTTCGCCAACTCAGCCGCCATCCGTTCACGCTCAGCACGCCGCTCTCGACGCGCCTTGGTGTGGTCGAGCCGCTTTCGTCGCTTGTGGAGCTGCCGGCCCATCTCCTGCTTCGTCGCCTCGTCATGCGCTTGCTGCCGGGCCTTCACCAGCAATACTCGCCCTTGTTCCTTGTCACGCACGCGCAGCTCCGCCTTCAGCGTGTCGTCCGTCGCGCTGTTGGTGTCTCCCCTGCTCGTGCCTCCCGCACTCATCTCATCCGCGGGGTCCTTCGAGCCCTTCGTACTCATAGCCGCCCGCGTCGACCGATCTACTGACTGCTCGAACGCCGCCAGCGCTGCTGCCAGCTGCGCGTCCACCTTCTTCCGTAGTTCTTCCTCGTCCAGCCTGCCGTCGATCCGACCGCCGTCCGTCGTCCTCAACTTGCCGTAGTCGATTACCACGCGCTTCCCTTCCGCGCGCTGGACCACCATCACGTTCACAGCCCCGCCGCCGTGGTCCGCCACCGCGGCGCTGCTGCATGTCGCCTCCGTGGTGCTCTTCGCGTCCTTCGCCGACGGCTTCTCGTCGCCGTCATCCACGTTGTCCGCGAACTGCACGCGCTTCTTCGTCGACGCTCCGCTGTTGCTGTCCTGGGCGTTGGGCTGGGAGGCCACCGCCACTTGCCGTTCGTCGTCATCCCCAGTCTTAAGCCGCTCATTCCGTTCTTTGCTGCGTCCAGCGCTTCTCGCGCCATCCCCAGTTCCGCTCGTACCGTCGGTCACTCCGCCGCGCTCACGCACGTCATTCTTCGCCGCGCCATCCCCAGACTCGAAGTGACCTTGTTGTCCTCGACGTCCTCGACGTCCTCGGGGTCGTCCGCGGCCTCGACCACGGCCTTCGTCTCGACCGCCATCTCGTCGCCGTCCTTGCCGTTCCACCAACGGCTTTCTCGCCGTCTTACCCGGTCCTGTGCCTGCGAGCAGTAAGGCCGGGGCCCTTACGCTCGCGGGCCGTTTCCCGACGCCTCCGTAGTGTTCTCCGTCGCGTCAGCGGCCGTGTTCTCGCCGCTGGCGTTGAGATCCGCTGCCTTCACCTCGCAGTACCGCGCAAAGTGCCCAGTGCGTCCGCAGTAGTAGCACTCCGTGCCCGGCCGAGGCGTGAACTCGCGCCGTGGCTGCGCTTGCCGCTGCAGATAACGCTGCTGGTTCATCATCCTGCCCTCACGCATCGCAAGCGCAGGGTTGGACAGCTCGCCACTCGCTCCATCGCCGCCGTACTTGCCCTCAACCTTGATTGTCTTGGCCGCTCGCTTCGTGTTCTGGTCCACAGCCGTTGCTGGCCGTTTTCCCCTCGTCTCTTACTGGTCACTGCTGGCCGTTCGAAATTTCGAACCGTCTCCCAAACTGCCACGTGTACCCACCGTTCCCGCGGGCACCAGCTGGAACCCTGGCGGTATCGCCTTCGACCACTCGGTCGCACTGGCTCCTCCAGAGCTCACCTGCCTGCCCTCCGTGTCGTACCTAGGCGGCTTCGCCGCCGTGCCCCACATGGGCCCGTAGCCAGTCACCACACTCCCTTGTTCCCTGCCAGCCCAGACTGTTCCTGGCCGCCGGCTCTCTTCGCGGCCCCCTGCACGGGCCCGCGTCCGCTCGACGTCTCGCGCTCATCCCAGCGATCCATCGCCGTCTCCAACCCGACGCCGTACCCCTCGCCATACTCGCCGATGTGGGGCACCGCCAGGCTCACTGCTTTGTCCAGCGTCTGAGGCCTGTGGCCCCGCACATGGGTCGCGCCCTCGGGGCTGTTCATCCCCTTCAAGAAGGCATTCACCAGCCAATCTTCTCCGACGTCGCCGCGCTCGCCGATCTCGCGCAGCGACTGCGCGTACTCGATCAACCGCTCTCCTCTCATCTGTCGTCTCGCGTTGAGTAGGTCAACCACCTCTGGCCCGGTGCGTTGCGTCATGTACTTGGCGCGCAGCATTCCGGCCAGGGTGCTGATGCTCTCCTCGTCTTCCGGCACGGACTCCATCACCGTAGCGAGTCAGCGCTGCGCCTCGCCTTCGAGGTGCGAAGCGACCTCGTGGTAGAGCTGCTTCTCTTGCCGCGTGACGCCCATCGACACAGCCTGGCGCCTGACCTCCGCGCGCACCGTCTTGAGCCACATCGTCACGGGCATGGAGTCGTCCAAGCCCTTGAACTTCTCCAACTTCAGCGCTTTGGCCTTCTCGCGGACGATGATCGACCGCTGAGGAGCACTCTCACCCGACGGACCATGCCCACTCGATGCCGCCGCCGCTGTGGACGTGGTTGAGGTGGAGGTGGTGGTGGGTGTCCCGCTCCGGCACCGCCAGCACCGCCACTCCCCGTCAAGTCCACCGTCCTCTCCTCCATCGTGCCCGCGTTCGTGTTCGTGTTCGTATTGGTCTGCTGACCAGCCGTACTCGTGTTCTCGCGACCGCTGCCACCGCCGCTCGAACCGTCGCCTTGTCCAGCTGTAGGGTCGCCACCTTGACCTCCGCCAAGGTCGCGTTGTCCAGCGCCGCCTGCTGCCACGGGCGTGTTGCCCGTCGGACGGCGTATCGCCTCCGTACTCAACGTCACCGTGGCGCCGTCTTCCGTTTCCAAAGTCGTCACCGTCGTCGGTTGCTGGGGGAGCCGCTGTTACTTCGCCGCTCGCTCCGCCGACGCAGCTCGGCGTTGAGCCCGTTCGTCACGTGCCATCATTCCCTCGGTCGTCATTCCGTCGCTAGTCTGTTACCGTAATACAAAGATCGTTAGCCCATCGTACACTTCTCGGCTCCTTATCGTTTCCGTTTCCTCTCTTTCCGCCACGGGCTCAGCCCACTGAAGCCAAGCCGCCAGCGCCACTCATGGACACTGCCCGGAAGGCCCCTGGATGACCACCATGTCGTTATCTCCACTCCAGGTGCCCTTCTCCTTGCACCGCGTTGGAGGGAGATCGTTAACACAAGCTGCTCACCTAAGCACCTAGGGAGCGTCTCGGTAAGCAGGGTCTCTTCCAGTGCGAGGCCGTTCAGTGTCGACCAGACGTTACTGGCCTGCACGCATGGCTAGGATAGGGATGGCTAGGAGGAAATGTTATAAGCACTAGTGGTCGGGTAGCACCACTAGCTGTTCCCAGCTCGTAAAACCCGGTTGTATACAGCAGGCAGCAAGAGCCCTTCGCACACTGGCACATGCGAGCTCCGCGCCACTCGGCCAAGGTGCTCCAACACCACAGCCCCCGTGGTCTCTCTCCACAGTCCTGCCGCCCTACTCGAACACTGCCCTCATCTGTGCACTGCCATACCTTCGCTATTGCCGTCGCTTTGGCCGACGCCCTTCGTCGCTGCTCCAAAGACCGGAAACCCGTGCGTTCGGCGCCACTCGTGTATATTAGTCTTGACTCTCCACAATCCTGTGAAAACCGCAACTGAGGGTCGAGTCGGCCGACCGCCGCTCGGTATCCTCCTACTCAATCCTATCCCCGCTGTATCTACTCCTACGCATGGGCGCCTGCCTACCTACTGGACCTCTCCCTCTTCGACTCCTTCTCCATGCTCGTGGCCTCACAGCCTCACGTTCCTCTCCTTGATCTCGCCTATCCTCGCTCGTATACTTCTTCGCCCTTGTCCCGGCGTGTCGCCCCACGCACTGCGATCTTCTGTCGTCGCCGTCGCCAACTTTAACCTCCCACTGCTTGCTAAACGACCGCCTTCAGCCGGTGGCACTAGTCCACTGGCTTGCCCTCTTCACCACACGCCTCCTGCCGTACACCACGACCCGATCTGGCCGATGTCCAACACACCACTCGTGTAAAAGGGTTACACGCACAAGTGGCTGCAGTCACTTGCAACCCTAACAGACACGACGTCTGTTAGAGGTTCGAAAGACTTCCTCGACCTTGGTGTAGACACACCAAAGGCTACATACATTTACGACCACCACGACGGGTGGTCCATAGAGACTTAGGATTCCTATTGGCTGAGAGCAGCATCTCTTAGCCAATGAGCGACATGCATAGCATTGGAAATCTGCCAACCAGCCGTTGGCAGATTCCTATTTTAAAATATTACATTTAGAGGAAGTCAGAAACATAAAACAAAAATAGCAGTTCTCATTTTAACCCAAAAACATTATTTGGATCGTTTATTTAGATTAATCTATGCTCGGAGACCCGAGTATAATTAACTCTAATTTAAACTAGGCTACGCTTCCTCACATACACGCGCACACGTGTAAGCCAAAGTAGTGGGCCAAAGTAGGCCCATTACAACTCGTCTGTCAAGTCGATCACCAGCGCGCGATCGTCTGGCGCTGCCTGTTCGTGGCCCTTTGTCACGTGACAGGCCATCCAACTACAGAAGCATAGCAGCATGCAACATGCGACTTTTTTATGCGACGATATGCATTTTGTTTGGTTGACACCTGCACGGTTAATTCTGAGCTGCAATGCCTCTCATCCTAGCTCTACCGAAGCCGCGTCAGGATATAATGTGAACATGGGCTTTCAGTCCTTATCGAGTCAGAGATCTATCAAAAGGCAGTTAATTAAAAAGTGCGCTTCCAATCGTGATATCGCCACTTCTTCACTTCTACCAGATTCCTTCAGATGCGCTAAATCGTGGCCGTAGGCTACGGCTACGCTGAACTACGGCCCGTAGCTCATGTCTTTTTCGTACCATCTACGGAATAACGTGAATAGGTCGTCGTCGAGCATTCCTTGCGCATACATTCTATACAGCTTGTCTTCTTTTTCTTTTTGTAAAGCCTTCGCCGCTTTGTAGGCAGGAGTTCCTGGAATGGACTTACCCCATTTCTTCACCTTCGCCGACAACACGTTCGTATTTCGTTCTTCAGTGTCGCATCGAACGCCCTCTTCCTGTGACTTGAGTTCCCCGCCGTTGCCCTCGAGTGGTGGCTCAGTTCGAGAAACTTGGCGCATTTCCTTTGCCGTAGATTGTGCGTAGACACCGGCAAGTAGGACAACGAGCAGCAGGAAAATGGTCAACCGCATGACCTACCAACTCGTATCCTTTCGCTGGATCGAAGAGGAAGTGAGGCTTCGTTTGGTCTTATACGTTGACAGGGAAAGTGAGAAATGAGCGAGCTAAGTCGTAAACAGGACATTGCACAGAGTTTTGATCGCATGTGGATTTTGCATGTGGTTTCATGAAACCAGTGTACAGCACTGAAAGCTTCCAGTCCCAATGTGGCTGATCATTATTTCAAACCAGCTAAAGATAATAGGCTTCGTAGTCTATTTTCTGTACAATTGTGCACTGTATTCGCCAGGCTTGGATCGCGTTAGATCGGCATGCACCTCATCAGCCTCGATGATAGTTTTTGAAGTGGTAAGCAACACGTGAGATGTGAATAAATATCACGAGTGACCCAGTTAGCGTCAAACTTTTCATCACTGACCCTTTAAGGGAACATATGTTTAAATTACTTGCTTTTACTATCGCCCTGCACGCGCGATCTCCTAAACCCTAAAGGCTCGCTACGCTCGCTCGGACAGAACCCTAAAAAGCCCGCTTCGGCTCGCACGCGTCGCCTCCGCTTGCTAGGAGGGCAATGCTGGGCCCTGGGTTTGCATCCGCGTGCTTCGCACACGGACTGCCAAACCGCAGGCTGGCTCGCTGCCAGGGGCGGACCCAGAACCAAAATCTGAGGGGGGCCGGGCCAAAAACAGGGGGGTAAGTCTATATGCGGCTCAAAAATAGGGGAGTACGTCGATCCGACAGCTCAGAAATAGGGGGGTAAGTGTGATGTCTTCCCAAAATCTGGGGGGGGGGGGGGCGGTGCCCCCCTAGTTTGTATGTAGGTCCGCCCCTGCTCGCTGCGCTCGCTTCATGAAAGTCACAGTAGCAAAGGCCCATCGGAAAACATATGTTCCCTTAAACGGTCAGTGATGAAAAGTTTGACGCTAATTGGGTCGCACGTGATATTTATTCCGTGAGATGTTTCCCTCTGTAGTGTATTATAGTGCAAGTATGCCCCCCACTTGCATACTGTTAATCAATGCACCTGTCGATCCACTTTGCAATTTGCGTTCCATCCCTGATCTATCCAGCATGCGTATCCACTACGCCCTGCTACTCATTGCTGGGTTCGACCTTGCCCTTGCCAGTAATACCTCCCCTGTCGCCACGCGATCCAAGATCAACGCCTCACCTACGCTTACGGCCCAGCCTGACATCTCGACCCAACGGTCCTCAAGGATTCACTACACGGAAGAGGGAGACGACAGCGAAGAGAGTCCCCGGGTTTTTGCCAGATGATGACACTATTTGATAAGTCTAGACAAATGATGGCACTATCTAATAATTGATAGCACTTGATGGCACTCTATCCAATTGAGAGCTCGACGGTGTTCATTAGCTTCACACCGGGGTGCTCATTAAGAGTTCTGTGCTGTGGCAAGCACGGCGTAGCAAGCACGCTATCCACATGGACGAAAACACCCTGACCAGTACCGATGGGCAAACGATCGACTTTCGATGAAACTCGAGTCTCGACAAGCAACAAATGAGCACATCAAGAATTTGGCTGAAGACCAACAGTGGCCAAGGTTCGACATCAAAAGAAGTGGTTGCCAATAGTGATGAAACACCAAGTCATGTGACAGCAACGCAGCGACGGATGGGGGCTGCGGTCGGCTCGTTCATAATGCGCAGGCATGCTCAGTTGAAGTGCCATTGAAGAGTGATTGGAGGGCAAAATTAAGAGTGCCATCAATTTTTAGATAGTGCCATCATTTGGCAAATGCCAACATCATTTGTCTGGACTTATCAAATAGTGCCATCATCTGGCAAAAACCCTACCGTAACATGATGTAGACTTGTCGTATGGCTGGCTAAGCGAAACCTGAATCGCGTCAACGCTGATGGCATCCATACAGGTGTACAGAAGCTGCGAGTAATAGAAGATAAACTCCGTATATCTTCGTAATACATGTACCGAATTTGTTTTGTAGAGGGATACACCCTACCGGTGCTAAAATACCTGACGCCCGATTTTGCTCAAAAAACGAATCGGCACCAGACGCCCAGATGTATTTATCAAAATTACTAAACTGAGCACTCTACCTCGTCTCTCAAAGCCGAATCTCACCAATGCGGCTGCCGACACAGCCCAACTTATTAGCTTGTTCGCCGCCACCACCCCAACTTGAGATCGAAGTTCAGTAGAGCAAGCTTTGCGTTTGTTCCTGCCGCCGACAGAAGCACCCTCACCACCACTCTTCCCCCTTGATACTTTTCTGTAGGTAGACCCGGAAAGAACGTATCTTCAGCGAAACAAACATTGCAGTGTAGTCTCAGGTGCTCGACCATAGCCTTCTTCATTGCAGCAGTGTAAAATGGTAGGGCCCGCGTCGTTTTCCACCTGCCTTGACCTCTAGACAGGTGAGGGTGACTTGGTGGCGCCCGCGCCGTTGCAGAAATGATCGCGCGCTGAGCGGCCGAGAGTGCAAAAATTACTGGCTTGAAACTGGTGTATCCCTCAACAAGTCAAGCCCTGTCAATCTGAAGACACAATTGTGATTGGCTAATACTATCCTGTATCCCATACGTGGGTGTATCCCTCTACAAAACATATTCGTTAAGCAACACTGTGCTCTAGGCTAGGCGGGCTGAAGCAGGGTGTTGATACCTTCGCGCAACGTCAACGTCGCCGCTAATTTTAAGCACGAAACGACTCAAGAGCCGGAATGGCTACACCATGCCCCATATTCCCAACCCTGGAAGAGCACGACTGAAGCAGGGACGGCAATGGACGCCTGCATCGCCCGGGGAGGAATCTCCCACGTTTTATCGCAGGTAGAGGGAGAGTCAAGGCTGTACATCCATGGCTGCAAACGGAAACTAACCCTTCATTCTGGGGACAGGCTCGAGCGTCGCTCAAGAACCCGTCTCGCCCATTCACGCCGCAGACCTCCGCTCGACCTTTATTCCACGGAGATGACTATCGCCCAGGGTCTCGTCCGAGCTCTTCGTACACAGTGGCGGAGCTTAAACAAATGACTCAACAGCAGACCCAGCAGACGCAGCAGCAGAAGGTGATACCGTCTGTGGCCAAGCCGACGAAGCTCCCGCCGAGACCAAACGGTCTCAAGCCTCGGCCGCCTGTGGCTCCGCAATCTAGCGAGAAGACGTCGCTGACCGGGTCCGCTTCATCCAGCAGCCTCAAGTTGGTGCACGCGCCCATTTTGTCAGATGACGAGTCGAACGACGAGCTATCGGCTGTGAGCCCTGGGCCCTCAGAGACGCAGTTTGATCCGGAGGCCTCTCTGTCACTCCCGTCCAATGTGAGGGCATGCAGCATTTTTTTTACAAGGACAATCTGCGGGTTGGTCTAATCTCTCTTAACCTTTTGTGCTGTTGCAGGACGAGCTCATGCACTCGTACGGCGGAATTGAGCGCTGCATTCGCGACTTGATCGGGCGAGAAGAAGCTCCGGAGTTTGGTGACAGCGTCGGTCGTTTACGAGAGCTGGTGGACGGCTTCGTGGGTCTGAGCTCTTTCCTCCACAAGCAACGCTCGAAGGCAGAGCCGCCTGAAGACGCCGCAGCGTCAAAGCTTCGGTGGCAGCTATTCGACTCGCTGTCGAGTGTTCTGCTGGAAAGTTGGGTCGCGAACGCAGTCTGCGTACAGGAGCTCGCACCCAGTCTCTTTGACTTGTACACTTCTCTACAGGCTCCAACGGATGAGCAGGACAGACCCAGCGCCCAAATGATCAAGCTGGGCAAGACCCTGTTCGTCCTCAGCAAGGACAGCGCGAACGACAGCGCCTTCTGCAGCGTGCGCTACGTTGAGGCAGTTCTCCACGCGATCGCTGGCACCAGCGACGAAGCTTCCAATCACAAGGACGATAAACACTCGAAAGCCCACGACGACGCCATTGTCCTCCCACCCAAGCAGCAAACGATCCCCTTAAAGACCTTGATCTACGCAGCGGGGACCTTGAAGAACATTTCGAGTGCTGAGGACAAGATGTCTCGCCTGCTAGCCACCAACCGCGCTATTGCGATCCTCAGTGAGACGATGTTGTGGCAGGCTGAAGGGGGAGATCCCGCTCAAACCAAAGAGATCGCTCAGTTCCTGATTCAAACGACCGGAATTCTACGCAACCTGTCGGTCTCGAAGTCCAACCACAAACAGTTCCTCGAAGCCCGCATCCCCCTGCGGTTGTGCGGCATGATCCCAGCCTTCATCTCCCATCAGGAACTCATGGTCAACATCTCGCGCATTCTGAGCAAACTCACGCTGCACGAGCTGCCACGCGCGCAGATCAACCAGAGGCCCATCAACCTGCGGAACCTTATGGCGTTAATCAACCATCGTCAGAACTCGTGGCTTTCTCTCGTGGACCAGCAACGCTCCGACATGCGCTTCCAGGACTTGCTCTTCATCCGCGTCTTCTTCGTGCTGGGCAACTTGTGCGCCGGCAACGACCAGAACCGACGGCTGATTGTCAAAAACTTTTCAGGTGTTGAAGTTTTGATGGAGGTGCTGCAATTCTACGCTGCCCGCTATTCGGACGCTCGAAATGATTCCGAGGACGAGAAGGACGGACGTCGTCATGCTTCAGAAGGAGAACAATCCATGGAGGTCTTGATCAAACTGGTCCGTGTGGTTGCGAACCTGGCCATTAGTGCCGATGTGGGAGCTCAATTGAACGCGAGCGAGAGTCTGTCGCCTCTACTGGAGATTCTGGAAGTCGCTCAACGCGCGGGTGATGAAGAGATCATGCTAAACGCCGTGAGCTGCATCACGAACGTGTCGTACTATAGCACGCCGCCCACTGGTAACGCTAACAGTGATGGCTATTGCTTTATTGAGAGCAACCGTATCGCTATCACGCAGCTTCTGTCGAGGATTCTGCTGGACAGGAACGAAGAAGCAGTGGTCGAAGCGGCCAGAGCGTTCGGCAACTTGTCGCGGTTCAAAGACGTGCTGGCGTATATGGGCGAGCTCAAGGTGCTCGACTGCCTGGTGGTCTTGCTGGACCACAGCAACCGGGAGGTCGTGTACACGGTCTGTGGTGTGTTGATGAATGCGGCGCTCGATCCGAGCACACGCAAAGGCTTACTGGCAGTTCGACCCGCTGTTGACAACGACACAGTTGATGTCCGCAACCTTCTCGTTGGGATAGTCGAGTGTGCCGCGGCGGACGACTTGGAGATGACGCTCATCGCTAGCAAGGCTCTCTACAACCTGCTGCTCTCGAAGGACCACGGCGACGGCAAAGCTAACTTTACGGCTGATGCAATGAGCCTACGACGCACAGTTGAAGACGTTCTTGGCACTATCAGCAACGGCAAAAGGGCGAGTGAACCGAATGAAGACGATGAAGAGGAGGAGGAAGAGGGAGAAGAAGGTGCACTGAGTAGTCGACAGGAACTTCGGTTGGTGCTTCCACAGCTTTTAAGGAGTGTTAACTCGCTCGTGAGTGCAACTTAATACACCACTGCTCTTGCTCTCTACAGCCCAACGTGCCTAAATCGGATCAACGCGGCTTTGTTGAGGAGAAAATAGCCTCTCTACTATTAGCAGGCAGACGACTACGTCCAACATGTCTTCACATGGCTGTGAGCATGCGATAAAAATGCAACTGACCAGCTTGGAGCTTAAGACATCGCCACGGTTCTGTCTGCTCGATGAAGGTGCAGCCCGTTCTGCATCATGACCGCCTGAACGTAAGATACAGCCAACCCCAAAGAGTACACAACCGAGTCATGGACCTCTGGCATCGCAGCCAGATCGGACACCGCAGAGCGTCTTCTGGCCTTTCGAGACTATTACCGACGGACTTCCGTCATGCGTGTCGTGGCTGTTTGCGTCTTAACCCCCATTCCTGCCATGGCTGTGACCATCCTGATCGATTGCACCCCACTGCGACCTCCATCCGAGGGCTGGCGAGCTAACTACGCCTTCTGGATCCGCTGGTTTCTAGCGCTCGTTGCTGTCTCGGCAGGTGCAACAGCTCAAGTTCGGGAGCTCATTTCGCCCGGAACCATCTCAAATACCGGAGCGGTCGTGATCACGCTGGCAACGGCTACGACGGACTTACTGGTAGCGATGATGTTAGCAGCTCTGTGGCGATTTCCGATTCCGTTTGGCTACGTTATCATGGTCGGACCGTACCTGGTGATTCTGGTGGGCTTCACGCTTTTAGTGGTCGGACGACGCTCGTTTGCTGAGTCATCAACGCTCGTTTGCTGAGTCATCAACGTTCCGTGAGCAGCTTAAGTCGCAGGCTACGATAATCTTTGCACAAGGTGTTGTGGCAATGATGTATCCCTTCCTAACAGCAGTTTTCTCCCGACTATCGGGGCCTCAGCAGACTGTGCTGGTTGTAGTGATGCCCGCCTTTAAGTACGTGACGAAACACGTGATCGCTAACGCAGCGGTGGGACTTCACGAACACGTCGGCCCGATTGTGGTCTTCTCGGTAGATGTCTTCAGTGTGTTTTACGTCGCCATGTGCATGCAAATATCCAAGACGATGGCAACGACACTCCTGATTATTGCATTCGATAGCTTCCATGTTGTTGCTGCTCTCCGTGATATTCTTCGCCAGGCCACCGCCATCCAAACACGTCAAGAGGGGAAAACGAGTGACATTAATTATCTGGAAGAACTAACAGCCATGGCGCAGACACTTTTCGAAGGTGGCAATGCATCACGGCCTGTTAAAGCTATTCGGATACTCGCTCCACGCCCCCTATATCTCTCGGATGAAAGTTCTACTTTCCTTAATAAAAAGAAGCAGACAACATATCCAAACTTGGAGTAAATCGAGAGAGATCAAGTCAGGCCCGATAATTTTTGCCATAGGTCCAAGCAAAATACCGAGCGTGGACCATATTCAAGTACCTCTGGCCAGACCAAGATCGAGATCTGCCCCTGCAGCTCGACAAGTCCAAGGGAAAACGTTTCAAAGGAAGTTTACTCCTCCGTTCTTGTCACGAATCCCCTCAGCGTTTTCATCCGACGTACTACGCTCCAGTGGGCCTTTGTCGTCAGAGAAAGAAATCGTTCGAGACGCCCTTCAAGCTCTCTTCCACTCGGAGTATCTAATATATTGAATGTGCGCTGCCACTTCTGTACACAGTCTACTTGACGACCGTTTTCCATCTTCCAGTGGCGTCATAATACCCACAGACGGCGTCATCGACCCCCAAGAAGTTGAGCAATGATGTGATCAGCATTTTGAGCTTTTCAACGGCAGAGCTCGTTGGATTCATCGGTCTCCTCTTCTTCCTTAGACGTAAATTCGGCATTTCTCCGCTGTATCAACTGGCGTTTGTGCTGGAGACGCAAGTTCGCACTATACAAGGCCACCTTCTCGTATGGACTGTATTCATTTTGCACATGCCGCTGATGCATTATGGTAAGCCTCGCTATCAACTATAACGCTTGACCCAACTTTAAAACTGACGCATGCGCGTGAATGCGACATAGGCGTAGACTATGACGTTCAGTTCGGCTGAATGCTCCTCTCGACTGGAATAAAAGACAGTCGATGGCCTGGCGATATAAAGAGTGATCCAATCTAGCAGAATTCGTGAACAGAGTTGGTTAGACAGCAACGTCGATTTTGAATGTCTGAGTTCTTTATATTTTTTCAAAAAAATATATCTGTGCAACTCAGGATGGTGGGAGGAGCAAGAGTTTTAGGCCGATCTTGCTCAGTGCAGATAAAACTATGGCACCCCGCTTCGACAAGTATTATTTCCTTCTTCAACAAAATCAAACCCTTACCGACATGACGCTCCGCCGGCTCAAGGTTCAACCAACCACCTCCATTCAAGAGGATTCAGAGCAACCAGGTGGAGGGCTCAATGTGATTCCTGCAGTATACCACTGGATAGCGACGTATTGGCACCGAAGTCAGATTGGACACCGGAGCGAGTACTCCGTCGAGCGGCTCCTAGCTTTCCGAGATTACCACCGACGCGCCTCAATCGCCCGCGTCGTTGCTGTTTGTATACTTGCGCCAATTCCTGCTGTGTGCGTGGCGCTGCTGATCGACTCCACGCCACTGAAGCCTCCTAGCGACGGCTGGCGAGCCAACTCGACCTTCTTCCTGCGTTGGTGTGCTGCTTCATTTTTTGTTGCGATCGGTGCTACGGCTCAACTTCGAGAAGTCATTGTACCCGGGACCCTCTCCGCCATAGGCGCAGTATTGATCGCTATCGGAACTGCCGTCGTCCACATTTCCGTCGTGATCGCTGTCACAGCGAATTGGCGCTTTCCGATTCCTTTTGGCTATGTTCTCCTTATCGGGCCCTTCATGATGATCTACTGGAGCATCACAGTGCTGGTTATCGGGCCCCGCGTAATTGCCAACTCGAAAATACTCCGTCACCAGATGAAAACCCAGTTCATGATTGTCTCGGCGCACGGACTAGTGACGAGTACCTACCCTATTGTTACTGCGATATTCCACCGACTTTCAGGCCCCCAGCAAATCGCCTTCGTGTTCGTTATGCCCTGATCAAGCATTTCACCAAACAAATCATTGCAACCGCCGCTAAGGATTTTCACGAATACGTTGCACCCGTCGTAGTTTTCTCTGTGGATCGTTTCCACGTCTTCTACATTGCAATATGCATGCAGATAGCAAAGTCCACGATCACGACGTTGATCATGATGACTTCGGACAGTTGCTTGTCGCACTTCGCGCCATCTTCCATCAAGCCAATACCTTGAAAATGAGGCGAATACCGAAGCTTTCAGCCGCGTTGCATGCTCATCGGGCTTTAATCTACCTCGAAGACCTACCGGGAATGATACGCAATGTGTTTGAAGACCCTGAAGTATTGGTTCGAACCTCCCGAAGTCGCGTATTCGCGCCATCTTCTCTCCCTCTGTCGGACGAGAGCGTTTGTTTCATGAATGGAATCACAAAGAGTATGCGTGACGCTCATGTGTACGCCTCATCTCGATTGCATGCATGGTGCCCGGCAAAGATTGAGCCCATTTCGCACATTAGTGGCGGGGGCTACCGAAAACAGAATTCAAAACGGAGTTTTCGTCGTCTTGTTTCTCTACAAACCGTCAAGGGTGTACCATCCCCCATAAATGCTGCTGCACCAAAATCATTCAACGCAAACTAAAATTCCAAGGAAAGAGTCGATTCCGAGACGGCTTCTCACGATCATGCGCCCAGACGCTGCTATTTCATCGTATCGCCTACGGTCTACATTGTCTCGGCGGGTGAACGAGGACGCAGTTTTTGACGCCCTCCAAGCTCTGTTCCATTCCGAGTACCTGCTAATGGCGGAGTATGTGGAATTCGCTCTTCCGATCCTCTACGCGGCGTATCTGGCGGCCATTTTCCATCTACCTGTTGCATCTTACTACCCGCAAACCATGTCACTGACTTCTCAGAGCTTGGCAAGGACTGTGGCTACCATTGTAGCCTACGCAGCGGGTGAATTTGTTGGATTCGTAGTACTTCTCTTCCTCTTGTGGCGGAAGTTTGGAATTTCACCATTGCACCAGCGAGCGTTTGCCTTCGAAACGCAGGCTTGGGCTCTACAAGGCCAAGGACTATCTTCATTTCCCACCTACGGCTACAACACTACGGTACGGATATTTTCTCGCCCATCCCTTAGAATCACTGCTAACTGTATGCTGGTATTGATCTAGGCGTGGACTTTGATGTGGACCTCTGATAAGACGTACCGCAATTCCAAACGAAACGGAGTCGTCACGGCACTTCCGATTATTTTTTGTTAGCCTTAATTGATAAGAAGCAGAAGAACTCCCAGCCATAGCGCGCTGAGAGTGTTTGATCCAGTGATCAGGCACTGGACGTAAGAGCACGAGTTAGACGTTGAACTCCTTCTTCTCGTCGCCCGAGCCGGCGTTCAGCAGGGGAGTCGCCTCATCGCCCGATGCCTTGACGATTCGCTGGGTCTTCGAGAGCCAAATGGTGACGACCAGCGCTGGAAGTGACAGCGCCACAAGAAGACCGATGGCGTTCCCAACCACGCAGTCGGAGGCCATGTAGCCCTTGACACTCTCGCCATTGAGCTCTCCGTCCACGTTGCAGCTGGCGTTGAACGAGAGCTTCTCCAGGATCCCAGCCTCCACGGTCGCGACAACGAGTCCAACAATCGACAGGCCAATAGCAATGTGGTAGGGGCCAATGGCTGCGCGGACATCCTGCTGCGCCCCCGGGTAGAAGAAGACAATGAAACTTCCCAGCCACTAGACAACAACATCAACATCAAGCCAGCCTCAGCTCAAAGCCCCTCATCTAGAGCTACGCCGTCACTTACGTGCGCCGCAAAGAGGATCAAGACCGTGAGTCCGAGCCAGCTGTGCAGACTGTAGAGATTGGTGATGCCGTGCTCGTTGTGGAAGCGGAAGACGGCCACAGTCCCCAGCACGGCGCTCAGGAAGCCCAAGGCATGCAGCGACAAGTGGATGCGCTGCAGAACACACACACAACACCATCATCAGTCTTCTCTCACGCCCCACACTCTCTCTATAGAAAGCTCACCTTGTTGACTGTGTGGCTGAAGGGCAGCGAGACGTAGGCCAGCGCCGCCTGCATGGAGCAGAAGACGAAGCCGAAGCTCATGAGCAGCGGGTGCCAGTTGAACACCCGCGGGTCTCCGTAGGCCCACGAGAAGCCGGATGTGTCTCTGGCCGTCACCACGCCGTCCTTCGCAGCGTAGGCAGTCAGCCCGCTGCCCATCCAGTAGCCCATGAGAACCACCACCAGCGCCGGCAGCGTCTGCAGAGTAAATAATGATCCAGTCCAGACAAAAACCACATCTTTTAGTCTACGTCCTTCAATTCTCGGCGGTTGAAGGCGCCGTGCAGTGCATTAGAATCGTCTGGTGATTGTGCGTCGAGTGAGCCATGAGGGGGCTACGTACGTGAGCTAGAACACGCGCTACGAGCTCCATCGCTTTGAGGAATTCCGGGTTCTGGTGGTCTTTCTGGCGGATTGTCGAACGATGTGGAGAACGGTCCGACGCCTGCGTAGATCGCCAGGTGATTGGCTGGTTTAGCGCTGGATGGAGACCGACCTGAGACCGCCAGAACGTATACATGTATGTGTGTACTACCTTCATACCACCCAGAAACTGCAAACCATATAAATTCATACCCCTGTGGAATCATGATAGCTGGTCAGGAGGGAGCGCCCGTCACATTGAAGTACCGCCACTGGGTGGTCTACACATCCCATTTTCATTTGAATCATCCCGCCAAAAGCATGGCGCACTTTTTCCACATACAAACTCAAGGCAGCACTGAGCACAGGATGCCCGGCCTCCAGAGGCGTTCTAAGGGCCCAGAAGCGTACCAAGGGTGTGTGTGGCTAACCATCCAGCAGAAGTGCGATGTTATTGAGGAGTACAACCGCCATCACCCTCTCTCTTAGAAGTAAAAATGAGCTTTGAGGAAATAGTGGTAGTAACGCACCTCAATCACTTATCTCCTTAGATCATATAATTTCCTGTAGGAAATTGGATGTACCACTCTTTGCAGTTTCTGGGTGGCATCTGTAATGCCCCTTTCAGAAATTCCCTAGCGGCACGTTGAAGTCGACGGTTGCCTTTATTTTGGCTCTTATGCCGATCAGGTCCAGGATTTGAACATGCTGATTGTGAGACCGAATCGAAAGACCTGAACCAAACATTCACAGCTCTGGATCATGACATGACTTGGTTCCATAGCGCATGCTCCGTTCGGCTTCCTGCTCTAACAACAGTTCATGAAGCTGTCTCTAGGTGTTACCATCACCTACAATCGGATAGCTAGAACGAGTCGCCGCCGAAATCGAACATGTCTCCCTTATCTACTTCTCTTGACAACAAGATTCGCTGCAATATCACGCGCTATTCATGCTTCTATGGGTGGTGCTCAAGTGTATCCCATTCGCGACTACTGTACAGTGAGCACTGTAGGAGCCTTTTAGTCAAAGCAGTGCACACCTGGGTTGGTGTCCGTTCACACACTCAACAGAGACACTGCACGGATGGCAATTGGCGCATATCTGGTTTAACTAGTTTACTATCAAATAACAGCGGTACGTATACTTTAGAATTGCTAGCCATGACGAGGTGATCGACATGTTTCACTCCTGCTTGGCTGGGAGAAAATTAAAGCGCTTCAACTCGTAGCGAGATGCCACAGCCATAGGACTCGAGTACGGTTGTCCACTGCGGCGGTAAGCGGGAGATATCTTCCGCCGTCGCCTGCTTGCTTTGTTTGGTGTCCATAGCAATGTTTGCTAGGCCGTCCGCTGGTTTTTGAAGTGCCGCAGGTGATGTGACCATGAAGACACCATCAGTCGGTCCGCCAGCACCCGGCACTGTCCGTAAAGCCCTTGTAGGTGACGAGCCCTTGGTACCCGTCGCTTCTGCAATTGTGTTAGGATGAGATTGCTGTCGCCAACAATATGCAATCCCACCAATTGAGTGCCGTACCGCATAACGCAGGCCGTTAAGGAGAGCGCGATATTCAGCGACGTTGTTCGTGGTCTTCGACACGTAGGAAACGCTGGCCAGCCAGAGGACGGCGGGCTGGAGGCTTGCGCCGCCAAGTTGTAGGATCACCGTCCCCGCGCCAGCAGAGCCGGGATTTCCACGAGCCCTGCCATCAAAGTAGAGCAGGGTGTGCTGTGAAGTCGGAGCGGGGCGTGGCAGGCTCTGCGTCTCCGGGGATGGCGAAGTGAGCGCGAGATGGCAAATCCGTGCAGCCGCCCCTTGGTGCGGACTAGCCGTTGTGGACGTAGAGTGGATCCGAACGGTTAGGTATGCGGAACGAAGGCGTCCATGTAGGACGGCAGCCGCCCGTTTCAATGACGCGTCCTCCCTCGGGTCGCGATATAAGCACCTTCTCCGCCAAATCCCTTGCAACGGGGTCACCACTCCAAGCCGCCAGCAGAGGTTGAGTATGGTGTAAATGTGCCCCCGAATGGCTTCACGCGTGCCTTCGGGCTCATGACGATACACGGCATCCAGTAGCGTCCAGATACCGGGTGGTACGGTCTCGAGTCGAAGTCGAAAAGTGGACGAGATCGTGGCGCCCGTTGTTCCGACCCCCAGGGACGTCCATGGGGCATAAAGCACATCCCAGAGTGTAGTAGCTCCCGCACACGTCCAGAAAGTGTGGCACGTGTTCACGTCCCGTTGCAAGCATTCCTCGACTGGACACCCAGGCACCTTACGCGTCGAGTTCCACCAGGTAAAAGCTTGTAGTTTTAGACGGTACAGGACCTGCTCGCCCCAGCTCGTGGCCCCTGTGATGCGTCGGATATCTCGCCACGTGACGTGAGCAAGCGCCTGAGCAATTTGAGGGTGATCTTGGAGCCACGCTGCGCTCCGTCCTGACACATTGCGTTTGCCATGTCGTCCGGTCGTAGCAGTTACGGCCAGTTTGTAGACGTGACGTGCTCGTTTCCAGCTCCGCCGACCCGCCCATAGACATACCATCCTGTCCAGCTGGGGATGTGGGTGAAGATGGCGAACGTTCACTTCTTTTCCGGCGAAGTCATTAAGGGCCCGGGTTGCGTCCAGTCTTGAAGCAGCAACAATCGTGTACAGCGGGCCAGTCACCGAGCTCGCCACGTCGATGCTCACAGTGATCCCAGTGTCCTGATTGCTGGGAGCCTGGACAACCAGGGGATGTTGCACGGGCAGCGCACTTACTCTCAGCTCGGGGGCGCAGCTTGAGGCGTAGACAAGCTCTGGATAGTGCGCCATTAGGTCCAGTAGTAAGCGACGAATCTCATCTCCCTCGACGCGCGAATCCTTGCGCAGTATTAGCCGTCCCGTAGTGATGTGTCTCCAACTGACAACATGATGTAGTAGGCGTCCAGGCGTTGTCGTTCTGGTGGCGAGTGGTCCATATCCCAGCGAAGCAGGAGGCGACACCTGGAATAGGTGCCGGATCTCAGCGTAGGGCAGCCACTGGAGGCAAGGCTGTCCCCCCGCACTGCGTATGGCGTGGCGCGGACTGGCCGTGTCCCCGCCCGCTAGACGCAGCACATTAAGCTCGCATTGATTGATCACCATCCCAGCTCAATACGGCTGGCAATGCCACATCCACGATTTCGTAAACCTCCTTCACGGCGGCCTCGTGTCGAGGCGACAGCTGAGGGAGGCCCGCACGATGAACCATTCCAGCACCAGCCTTCCACATTGTCTGCCCGGCACGAAAGCCCCGCAGAGACTGAGTGTTGACACTCGGGGTTATGTAAATCGGGGGTGCGGCCGTTGTCGCGATGTTGGCGTACAGGATATCTCCTAGCATGTGATCGAGAATTGATCCAGAGAGCGCCCACTCGGAGACAGTTGTGGCCGCCATAGAGAGCAGTTCTGCTCTGAGGTCGGGAATCGCGATCCCACCTTCACGCCGGGGAAGGCGGGTAATAGCCGCTGCGAGCCACGACGTGGCGCCCTCCACACTCTCAGTAAATTGACCGTGAAGTACGAGCAATGTCCCTCTTAACGCGAGCGAGACCGAGACTTTGAATTGGTCGAGGGGTTTGTTCAACTTGTTGTAGATGCCCCAAGATGAGGATCCGCGAGGATACGTACACGTGGCTGTCGCGTTTGACGCGCGTGATGTGGTTCATGAACGCGACGCTTTCATCCGAAAGAGGAAGGGGGAACGGCGCGGAGACGCGGATCCGACGACTTCGAGCGTGAGAGACCTCCGTGTCGCCGAAGATGCTGCGGATCATTTCTGGAAGGTCTCGAAGGTAGTTGAGTTGAGTCGATATGGGTCGACCTTCCAGTGCTAAAACCTCTTCGTTAGTACTAGCGACGTTGACCTGCTGGAAAATGGCGCGGAGAGCGAGAAGCACCTGGAAACTGTCGGACGCGATCATGAGCATCGTCGTGACGGTGGATTTGGCCGTTTGCATGCAAATGGCGACGTAGAAGACGTTGAAGAGATCCACGGAGAAGACGACGACCAGACCCACGTACTCTCGAAGGCCTTCAGCGGAACTGGCGATCATTTGCTTGGTGGCGAATTTGAGGAACGGGGTTATGAAGACGAACGCGATCTGTTGGACCGCTGAGAGGCGGTAGAATACGGCGCTAACGGTGGGAAAGATCACGGCCACGAAGCCCTGAGTCGCCACGATCTTGAGCTGAGACTTTATCTGCTTGCGTAGAACCGGAGAGGACGCCAACATCCTCGGACCAACCGCTAGAACAGTGAAACTACATAGAAAAACGACCATGGGGACCACTGAGATGACAGCGAAAAACGGAATGGGGAAGCGCCACATAGCGGCTACTAGCATAGCTAAAGAGACATAGGACGCCGCAGTTCCAAAAGCTATCGCGAACGCTGCAGTATTCGAGATAATCCCCGTCACGATGACCTCCTTCATTTGAGCGGTCAGACCCATCGCGACGGCAAACGCGTCGAGAAACAAGCGGATCCACACCGTGTAGTTTGCTCTCCAGCCGTCCGAAGGAGGTCTAAACGGGATGCAATCGATCAGGAGGGCCGCCACCATGGCAGGAATCGGCGTGACGATGCAAACTGCTAAAACTCTAGTGATGGAGGTGCGCTGGTGATAGTCTTGGAAAGCCAGGAGACGCTCGACGGAATACTGGCTTCGGTGGCCGATTTGGCTGTGCTGCCACGACTTCAGTAGCTGGTGGTAGGCTCGAACGAGTCCATTGGGATTCTTCACTACTACTGGAGACTGCTGTTGGTGCTCTTTAGGTACTACGCTGCTGCCGGAAAGGCCCATTTGAACAGCTTCACGCTTCGGAGGTGAGCGTAAACCGCTAATAGCATTCTGAATACCTCGCTGACCAACTGATCGAGTTCGGCTTCACCTGCACGTCGCCTTCTTTATTTTTATTCGTTCCTTATGCCTCAACCCTGGAAAGCAAACACACCGGCTCACATTGGATAATGACGAACAGCGCAGGATGCTAATCGCAAATGAGAAATGAATGGTTTCTTCTTCATTTCTTGATGATTTATCTTCAATTTTGTGCTCTCGATCCCGAAAAAAAATCACCGTTCACAGAGATAAGTTGAAGTCAACACCTTGGTCCAGCGAAGCGTTAGACGAACTACCATGGGTGGCAGCACGGTAGGGAATCATTGTACTTACCGTAGTGCGCTAACGGCAAATGTAAAATGAAGATCGTCCATATGAATAACTGGCCTTGCACAATGCGGACTTGCGTCTCCAGCACAAACGCTAGCTGGTACAATGGTGAGATGCCGAATTTCTTGCGGAGTATAAACAATAGCGCGATAAACGATACCGCTGCAAACAATAAAATACTGGCCACCGCACTCTGCAATTTATGGGGAGTCGTGAATGCCGTTTGTGGATAATACGCAGCGACGGGTAGGTGGTAAAGTATGGCGAGATATCCCGAGTAAAGTGCAGGAAGAGCGCACTCAATGTACTCGCCCAGAAGAAGGTACTCGGAGTGGAAGAGCGTCTGAAGAGCGTCCCATACAGCTTCCTCTGCAGCACTTTTCAATAAAACAGCTTGTAAGGCGCCGGACGAGATGGTTGTATCGGCGTTCATGAGTGTGAGAAGTCTGCAAGTCACTGAGCCTTTCCGACTCGTAGTCTTTTGGTGATTCTGCACTCCAGGTTGAAGCTTGAGACTTCGTTTAGATGGAAACCTCTTAAGCTTCTTGGCGACGGCTCCTGTATTTAAACCTCTCTCCCGGGTCTTGCGACGAAGTGAATCAAGTTGCTGCTTTCGCGCTCTGTGGTTGAAACTACAGTAGACCTTCTGGAGCTTGTTTTGCTGCTCTGCAGTTCTGAAAGTAGGTCCCTAGAAGAGGCATACATGTAAAGCTTACGCTTCGCGGTCGTGAGTTCGTCCATGAACACGACGCTTTTTTCCGATAGCGGCAACGGCAAACACTCGAATGCGATCAGTGGATTCATGTGCATTGTTGAATACGCGCTGGATCATGCCAGGCAGGTCCTGGAAGTAGTTAGTGGACGGTCACGGCTCTAGTCTTGACGGCCCTCAATTGGTGGTAAATGGCTCGAAGTGCCGTGACGACGTGAAAGCCGTCTGACGCAATCATGGCCAGCGTGGTGATCGCCGACTTGGACGATTGCATGCAGACCGCCACGTAAAAGACGTTGAAGACGTCCACGGAGAAAACCACAATAACGCCGACGTATTCATGCAACCCCTTGGTTGCATTTGCGATAATCTGTTGGGTGCAGAACCTGATGACTGGAGTCATCAATGCTAATACGGTTTGCTCCGCAGCGGAAAGGTGGTAGAAAACGGCACCGAGCACGGGAAACACCATCGTCACTGTGCCTTGATTCGCAACAATCATAAGCTGCGGGAGCAGCTAAGGAGCTCCCATTTCCGGAGCTCCCATACACAAACAGGCCAACCATATGCATGTGTAACTCCATGTCCCAGCACTTCAAGCTCAACTAAACATCGAAGAGGACTAACGTGGTTTACCAATTCATGACCCGCCAGCAGCACCTCATGCGAAATCGTCGATGACGACACCAATATTAGAGCAGCGATACTACAACGCTAGCATTTATACAAGCAGTCGGTACGCTAAATTTTGAGGGTCCTCGCACCAATTTATGAGCAAATATGAGCAAGCAACAGCGAAGCAAACAAAGCGGAAATTTATTTTTTTATGACGCACTGACCAGATGTTGGACCGACGCGATCCCATACAAAGTCTCATATCAAACTCAAACCGTCGCGCTCTCGATGATGAACAGCGGCTCCACTGCAGGCACTTCGGCGCCATTGTTGTCACGCGCTTGGAGTGCAGCTCCTGCACCATTGCTTGTCGGACCAGACGACGCTGCATTGCAGCGATCCATGTCACTAGATCGGCTTCACACTCGGGAGGCAGCAGGGGGGCAGGTCCGGGCCGTTGGCGCTCAATAGATCGACCTTCGATGCACGCGGCGACTTTGCGCTTTAGTGTTGACAACGACACTGGTGACGAGTCGGCCACGGCTGCGAGCTTCTCTCCTGTGAGGACGCGGTCGATAGCTTCTTCTAGCTGCTTGTCTGTGAAGGCCGCCTTTATCTTACGCTCGACTCGATATCTGACGGGATCAGCGTAAGGAAAAGTGAGGGCCAAGATCTGGTTAAAAAATATTGAGCCAATCAGAGCAATATTAGTCCAAATAAGAAGATTGGATTGGATAATAGTCGCTTTAGTCCATGAACTGGTCAGAGGTCATGAACTGGTAAACCACGTTAGTATAACCATTATAGTTTTTATAGCAACGGGGCCGAACGAGCTAACATCTCACATAACGAGCGTGCTGTCGCTGCCGATGGAGGCAACGTGAGGGACACGCTCGTTAGGGTCAGTGCCACTCACAATGATGTCCTCGCATGTCTTCGACTTCAGGTCGTAGTGGACAGGTGCATCTTGGCGTCGTCACCGTCATCGATGCTCTCCGCTGACCATTACTTGTTGCGCGAAGCGACGGAGTCGGGCACGATGTCACCAAAGTTTTGGCTCGCATGAACACTCTACTGCCACTACACGTGGGCCCTAGCAAAGATGAGTTCACTACCGGTACATATGCTTGACGACGGCTCGATTTCCTGTAACCCTCACCGATCACGAGTTCGCATACAGGGAAGCTACCGGCACGGTCTTCCTAGAGGTCAGTTACTCTGTCGGTAGCACGCTCGACGCAATGTGCTGGTTCAGGAACAACAACAAATTGACCAAGTAACAGTCTAATGCAGGTGTTAAGAGTTCAAGGCATCAATACGTAGATAAAACTTGGTTACTTAAAAAAAAATACATTTAAAAAAATAATGTATCGTAAGGTAACTTCTACGACGACTCCTGCAAGATAAACACGAGCGTCAAGCTTGAAAATACTTCTCAAGAGGAGTTGGTGGTACTGCTAGAGCACCAACGAGACTAACTGCGCAATCTACAAGTCTTGGACAATACCGTTTAATTCGGAGAGTACATGCGTGTGGTTTCGGCTCTCACCTTTAGAGGTATATACATGACAACGGTTGCTCCGTTATACTACGTAGTACATGCGACCAGTATGCAGCAAAGTTATAGTCGACTCGTTGTCGCGTGGGCACACCTGTACTTGCTCACAGTCTTCCAAAATTTACCGCAGTGGTGAGCGTTGAACGCGCCAAGCAAAACTATGACACTCGCTAGAGATTTAGGAGAGAGCATGACGCAACTTCGCGCCGACGACACGTACTACGTTGCCGTAAGGATCATCAGCGTTTGAAACAAGCTCGTCCGGCCCCGTTGCTATAAAAACTATAATGGTTATACTAGTCCTCTTCGATCTTTAGTTTAGCTTGAAGTGCTGGGACATGGAGTTACACATGCATATGGTTGGCCTGTTTGTGTATGGGAGCTCCGGAAATGGGAGCTCCTTAGCTGCTCCCATAAGCTGCGCTTGAATCTGCTGACGCAACACTGAAGACTCCACCAGCTTACGCGGTCCCACAACGAGCACTGCGAAGACACAGAAGAAGAAAACCATCGGCCCCACCGACAGGGCGACTCCAAATGGAACCGGAAAGCTCTACGTAGCCGCAACCAGAACGTAAGTCAGTGCGTAACCTATCGAAACCCCATTGCAATGGCGACCGCTCCACGATTCGATATGGTTCCTTCTACTATCACCGCTATAATTTGAGCTGCCAAGCCCAGCGCTATTGCGAAAGCGTCCACGAATATTCGAATCCAAAGCATGTAGTTAGCTTGCCAGCCTTCCATTGGTGAGCGCAGCGGAATGCAGTCGGTCAGCAGAGCTGCCAAGATGGCGGGGATCGGCGTCAAGACACAAACCGCAACTGCGCGCGTTAATGACGTTCTTTGGTGGTATTCTCGGAAGGACAGAAGGCGCTCAACGGAGTATTGGCTCCGACGTCCTATCTGGTTATCGTACCAAGAGTTGGTGAGACGGTGGTAGACGCGAACGAATGCGCTTTTCTTCTTCTCTTTTGGTCGCTGAGGGGCCAGGGATGGATGAACTTTAACTTGGCGGAGGGCCATGGGTCGTCACAATGAACGCGGAGGGACAATCGTCAAATGTTCGGCCGTTGGAGGTGATCTCCGAGGACGGTCATTATTTTTACTTACTGCGGTCTCCTGCCACGAACGCGCTAAGTATGGAGTATGCGCCGTCTCAGTTCTGTTAGATAAGGAAGTTCTTCGCGCAGGGTTGCATGTTCGGTGCAATAGAAAACCTTATCAGCCCAACATTTCTTGCACAACACTATGGCGTGGCAAGACTGGCACTGATACATGTACTGTACACTGGAGCGGCCACGGGGCATGACGATCTGGTCTTACATCATGTACAAGGTACCAAGAATGAGCACAAGTTATTGTCTGCAATGCAAGTACAGCGGCTTCTGGTCCTCGTAAAACCGCTTCAATAACCAGAGCGCAGACGACCTCCGGCAGAGCCGATCAGCCTCATTCAGCGAGGAATCGGCACAATGACTCACTGTACAGTAGGAAGGCTGGAGTGCAACCCGGCTTTGCGTTAGCGCACGCGATCAAAGATGAGTCGAGCGTATCGCACTTCTCTCGATACAGTCTATTTCAGGATACACCAACATGTAATTGCTGTTGCTACAGAACTGCGGCGCGCCTACTTCGTAATTACTGCGTGACTCAAGATACGTTCGTTTGTGTACATGTACCGTAGTCTACCTGTTTCTAGTCATTTGTTAGGGCGATGGTCAGTATCCTGTCCTTGTGTGCCATCATCCTGTGCACTCAATACCTCGAGCTCAAAGAGTCCGTAGAAATGATCGCCAAGTCTGTGGTGATACTGAGAGACACTCAATGAATTAAAAGTATTATTGTGGATTTCACGCATTTTGGTGTGGACTACACTGACTACCGTAATTAGTCTCACTCAGACTATTTTGTGTGAGGTCCTTGATATCTTGCTCACACAAATTAGACTGAGTGTGGCTACATACGAAGCTAGACTAATTTAGGTATAAAACAAATAGTCACACTCAGACTAATTATGACATCACCTAAAATAGTATCACTGAAGACCTCAAGACAAGTCAAGATATCTCTGCAGACTGGAGTAATTGACAAAAACGGCGTTGTACATTCTTTGAGTTAAGCGATGAAGGAGCCATTGACTAAATGATATCGACAAATTCGATTGTATCGCACGAGGGGACCCAAAAAAACAACCCCTTATTTTCTAGATAAGCGAGTAGAAGCAACAATATCATAAAAAATCTGAAAAGAAGAAAATTTGTATTGTAGAAGTTGTTAACCCCTCTAACCCCGTATTCTGTATCCTACAGAATAAGCATTGCCACAGGACATAATATCCAGCAAACTTGTCCTCTCTTTCGAACTTCGCATATGGATGTTTGTATAGCCGGTATTGTGCACATCTTCCTGTTAGATTAGCGATGGAAAGATAAATGGGATTTATTCCGCGGTAATAGACGGACGAGTATAAACCACCAACAGGTTTGAAAATTCGGGTGGAAGCCTAAAACCGCTGCGTGTCAGCCACTCGTACTTTCCTTCATTC